AGTCCAGGCGGCCCTCGCCCCGCCTTCCCCGAGCGCGCTCCCGGGCCCGGGCGGCCGCGCAGCCCCGTCCGAGCCACTGCGCGCCGCGCGGGCCTCGGCGGGCGACCGGCGACCCGCGGGCCGGGAGGGAGGGGCCGGCAGCCCCGCCAGCGCGCCCGGGCCGCTCCGCGCCGCTCGAGGGCGCTCGGAAGGCGCTCGGGTGCGCTCGGAAGACGCTCGGGTGCGCTCGGAAGGCGCTCGGGTGCGCTCGGAAGCGCCCGGAGTCGGCCGGGAAGCGCTCGGGGGACCTCGCGGCGCACGCCCCGGGGCCTCCTGGGAGCTGTAGTCCGGGCCCGCGGGCGCGGCCGACGCGACCCCGGAGGCCCCGCCCCCGCCGCGGGGCGCCTCGCCCGGGGCGTCGCGTGCCCGGCGCCGGCGGTTCCGACGCGGGGCGGGGCGGGGCGGGCCGGGCTGCCGGGTCGGCGCGGCGCTGGGGAGGCCCCGGAATCTCCCTCCGTCCGCGGGGCGCGCGGTTGCCGGCCCCGCGCTCCGGCCCGACCGGCGCCCTCCGGCCCCCGCCCCCCCGGCCCGCCGCTCCCCCAGGGCTGCCCCGCCTCGCCGGGCGCCGGGCTGTGCTGGCGACGCCCCGCGTGAGGCTCCCCGAGGGGCGCGCGCTCCCGAGTGGCTCCCCGCGGCCGCTGGGACGGCCCCGCGCCCCCCGCGCTGCGTCCACGGCCGGGCAGCACCCGCGGGCCGGGCTGGCCAAGCCGGCGCCGGCGCCTCCCCGAGACCCGCCGCGGGGCCGCCCCCGCCCCCCGGCCCGCGGCCTCGCCCCCACCTTCCCCGCGGGCGGCGCGGCGCCCCCTCCCCCGCCCCGCGTCGCTGGGGCCCAGGCCTGGGGCCGCCGGCCGCGCCGGCCCGACTCCGGCCTCCAGCCCCGCCCGGGCGAGCGCAGGGCCGAGCTGAAGCCGCCCCTGTCCGGCTGTCGGGGCCCCGCGCCCGCTCGTCCCCGGGTCCGCTCCCCGCCGGGCGCTCGGGTCGGCGCCCCCTCCCCGCCAGGGCCGCGGCCGGCCGGGCGCTCGAGGACGGTCCCTCTGGCGCCGCTTCCGAGCCGCGGGCCCAGCCCCCGAGCGGGCCGGAACCGCTGGCTCCGGCCGCGCTGCCCGTGGCCTGCGCCCGCGGAGCCGGGCCGGGTCGGGAGCGGGAAGCCGAGAACACGCCGGGGCCACCTGAGGGCTCCCGGGCCTGCCCTCGGGAGAGGCAGCTTCTGAGGCGCCAGACGTCTCCTGGGCCTCATGTGGCGGGAGCAAAGGCGTTGCGGGAAGAACGGCCAGCGCGCGCCCGGGCCGGGCAGCGGGCTTCCTGGAGGAGGCGCATGGGAACCCTGCAGGCCAGCCCCGGCGGAGGGAGGGCAGCAGAGGGGGCCTGGCTCCCAGATCCTAGAGGTCACTGCACTCCCGACCTTGACTGAGTCTGTCCTGACGGGACCGCTGGCCGGACTAGGGAGGAAAACCCAGACGGGCAGGCGGGGCACGTAGAGCACAGGGGCTGCAGGGGTGGGGGGTTGGCTGTGGTCAGGGGCGCGCCCTGAGAGGGTGCTGGGCCTCAGTGGCCTCAGTCTGGCCGCTCCCTCCCTCTCCCCTGCTGGGTGCAGAGCTCATGCTAGCCAGACACCCCTGCCTGGCACCAGACTCACACGGCTTCCTGGTGAGCAGCTCCCCCACCTGTCAATCCTGGGGGGCAGCCCCAGAGCAGTGGAGAGGGGGTGCCCGGCTCCCCACAGGGGTGTGCAGCTGGCTGCAGGAGCTGCCCCCCAGGCTCTCCCTGTGGAGACAAGACACAGAAGGGGAGACAGAGCTGTCCGGGCCTGGTGACAGACTGGCCCCGCTCATCAGGCGAGCAAAGCTTCATTATCTCTCCGTTTCTGCAGCTCAGGCATCCCGGGGGGCCATCCTGCTGGCCCCGTGTTCCTGCCGCCAGGACCTCACAGCTGCAGTTGGCGTGAGGCAGGACTGGGTCTGGTCTCCAGCCAGGGAGAGGAGGGAGAGGGCCCCCAAGTCCAAGCTGGCCCCGGAGCCTTCTCTTCTGCCTTCTGGCTGAGGCCTCCCTCAGGGGTTTGCAACCCTGGCCTGGAGCAAACCGCCCCCCCCAACAGGCAGCAGCCTCTGCTACCACCTCATCTTATAACCTTATATTCTATTTAATTTTTTTCTGATCTTTGTTTTTTTCCGAGTTGCAAAAGTTTCATTCTGTTGATTACTGTGGCCAGAGGGACATGAAAAATGAGATGCTTCAGAGTAAAAGAGCCAGTCACAATGAACTCACTTGCCATTAGAAATAAAGTTCAAAAAATCTTTGGCTGTCGCATAAAATAGGTGTTTGAAAATCAGCCTCTTGCCTGTTGTTGGGTCTATGTTCTATTAAAATAATTTTTATCATGGGGGAGCAGCGACGGGAGAATTATCGACATGTCTGCCAACCACATCTTTTGCTCACACTCATGCACTCGTTTCTGAAAATTTTTTTAAAGATTTCTTTATTTGTACATATAAGAGCTGGGGTGCAGGCCAGAGATGCAGGGGTTGAGAGGATTCACCAGAGACAGTGGGGAGCAGAACAGGCAGACTGACTGAAACACACTGCTGAGGGGAGCAGTGGGTGAGTCAGGAGAGGTCTGCCGCGCCCTGTGGGTAGCTCCCAGGATTCGAACTCGTGCTGCAGAGGCTGCAGACAGCTTCACGGTGCGGTGCTTAACCCTTTGTGCCACCAGGGAAGCCCAGATCCGCCTGTTCTCCCACTCTGTCTCTGGTGAGCCCTCTCACCCCACGCATCTCTGGCCTACAACCCAGCTTTTGTATGCATAAATCAATCAGTCTTAAAAAAATTTATCAGTAATGTAATAATAACAAATGCATTTCAGTACATTAATAAGGGTTATATTTATCAAGTAGGTGTACATAAAATTTTGTATCAAAAATACAGAAATCAGGGGCCTCTGTGGTGGCGCAGTGGGTTGAGCGCGGGGCTGTGCAGCTATCCGCAGCCTTTGCAGTGAGGGTTCAATCCCCGCCAGCTGGTGAGAGTCCCACATGGCACTGCAGACCCTCCTGTCTCGCCCGCTGCTCCCCTCAGCAGTGTATTTCTGTCATCTGCCTGTTCTGCTCCCTGCTCTGTCTCTGGTGAATCCTCTCACCCTCCCGCGCCTCTGGCCTGTACCCCCGCTCTTGTATAAAAATAAACAAATCTTTAAAGAAATATATAGAAATCAAATTTATATTTGCTGTTGGAAATATAAAATGGGAATAGACACTGTAGAAAAGCTGCATGTAGAATTACCATACAACCCAGCAGTTCCACTCTTAGGTATACTTCAAAGCATTGAAAATGGACCGGGGCAGATAACTGGACACCAGCGTCATAGCTGGGTTAGTCACAATAGCCAAATGGAAAACAACTCGTGACCTAGTCAATATTTGAACAAAATGGGGTCTATTCAGACAGTGGAATATTATTCAGCCATACAAAGACAAAGGAAAAAGGAGGCGTCTGAGCGCCGGGTGGGGGTGTGGACAGAACTTCAAGAGCATAGAATCTCAGTTTCTGATGACGAAAAAGTTCTTACCTCTAAAACGGGGTGAGAATACAAAGGTGCACCCTGCATGTTGCTGCTGCGCCAAGCGACGCGGGAAAGGCTGGGAGGTCACAGGCCAGGCCAGGCTAAGCTTCCCGCAGGCGGGAAATTTATTGCTCCGGGCGGGGACCCCCGCGGGGTAAGTGGCCCCGAGGAGGGGGTACGGGCAAGCTTTCACAGCGCGGGGTCTGGCCTTGGAGGGAGGTGGAGAAGGCAGAGTGGAAGCTGCCTTTCAAAGTTCTCCCGGAACCGGTTGCTCCTTCAGCGCCGCCCGTCAGGCTCCGGGAGGCAGGTGGCAGCAGTTCCAAGTCCCCCCTCTGAACCCCGTCTCTGCCCCTGCCTCCCCCTTACACTATAAACAGTAAAAATACAACGTCTAAACAAGGCTCCTGAGGTGTCCTTCAGGAAACAGTTTATGAAAAAATAAACACGTACATGCAATTTGCTGCATGATATTGATCATGACTTTTAAAGTGCGCTTTGGGAAAACTGCGAAGAAGTCAGTGTCCACGCTGCTTTGTCCAGCTTGACTCTCCGGAACTAGTCCCAGAGCGGGTGGCTGCGCGCGCCGGGCTGCTCCCGAGGCTGGAGCTGCGCCCCCGCACCGCCCCCCGCTGGAGCTGCCCCCCCCACCCCACGCTGGAGCTGCTCCCAGGGCTGGAGCTGCTGCCCCCCCGGGCTGGAGCTGCCCCCCCCCCCGGGCTGGAGCTGCCCCCCCGGGCTGGAGCTGCCCCGAGGCTCGAGCTGCCCGACGAGCCGGCCCCGCGTCTCCCCCGCGCGCAGCCTCCAAGGGGCGGTCGCGAGTCAGGGGGACCCGGCTGGAAAGCGGGCCGCTTGGGCTCCTGGGGGCGCGGGGCCGGGCCCAGCTCCGCCCGGCCAGGGAGTGACCCCGGGCCCCCGCCCCTGCTCCCCAGCACGCGTGCCGGCGGGCCCGCCGCTCTGCAGCACCCACGGGCGTCTTTGGCGGAAGGCCGCCGCCCGGGCCCGCTCTCCCGGGGCCGCTCTCCCGGGCCCGCTCTCCCGGGCCGCTCTCCCGGGGCCGCTCTCCCGGGCGCGGGTCCCGACGCGACCCCGAGGGGCAGCCGCGCCCGGGGAGACGCGGGCGGGCGGGGCGGGCGCGGCGGGGCAGCCCCGTCCCGCCCGCGTGGGGCTCGCGCCCTGAGGCACCGGCGCGGGCTGCGCGCGGCCCGGCCCGGCCCGGCCCGGCCGAGCCTCTCCCCCGCGGGCCGGGCCGGGCCGGGGCCGCCGGGGCTCCCCGCTCGGCGCGCGCTCGACCCGGCGCGGGAAAGGCCCGGCGCGCATGCGCCAGCGCGCCCCGCCCCACCCCGCGCGCAGGACCCTGGGGCGCCCGCCACGCCGCGCGCCGATTGGTGGCGCTCGGGCCCGCCCCCGGGTGATTGACGGCGCCGGCCGCCACCGCCCCGCCGCCCCGCCGCTGCCGCCGCCGCCGCCGCCGGGTGTGGAGGCGCCGCCTCGCGGGCCGCGTGTCCCCCGCCGCCGCCATGGACCTGTTCGGGGACCTGCCGGAGCCCGCGCGCTCGCCGCGCCCGGCTGCCGGTAAGCGGCCGCCCGGAAGGCCGAGGGGGGAGGCCGGCGGGCGGCGGCCTGGAGCGGGCGGACGGGGCGCGCCTCCGCCATCTTCCCGCGGGCGGCGGCCCGACCCGGCCTTTGTGCGCCGCGCGGGGGGGGCGGGGGCGGGGCCGCGCGGGGGGGGGCGGGGCGCGGGGCGCGCGGGGGGGGGGGCGGCCGGGCAGCGTCCACTCGCGGGGCTTGGGGGGGCCAGGCTGCATCCACTGGGGGGCCGGGCAGTGTCCACGTGCGAGGCTGGGGGTCCGGGCAGGGTCCACGGGGAGGCCGGGCTGCGGCCGCACCTGCGGGGCGGGGGTTGGTGCTGGTCCCCCGCGGGCTGGGGGCTCTGGCTGCGTCCAGGCTGGGCGGCGTCCACATGCGGGGCGCGGGGCTGTGCTGGATCTCGGGGCTGGCGGGCTGCGTCCACAGGGCCTGAGGGCAGCCTGGCCTCGCAGGGTGCCGCCCCCCCAGCTCTCCAGCGCCTTCACACGCTTCTCTGTGACACCCACACCCGTGCCAGGAGCTCGGGTTTACATTGCTGTTTCCTGCCCCGTGGGAGCAGCGACCAGGGCATCCCGCCCCTGGAGCCCGTCCCCTGTGCCCTGACCGTGCCCTGGACAGCAGGTTTCGCGCTCTCCGCGTCACGGGAAGTCTCCCGTCCCCAAGTTTTGGGCACTGCCCAGGCCAGCATGTCCGACTGGCCAGCGATCCTGTAGGCCCAGGTCTGTGTGCTCCAGACCAATGTCCCAATGTCCGGGGCCCTGGCTTTGTAGTCCCCTGCGTCCAGTGGGTGCCCCGCCAGGTTTATTTTGGAGGACCCGTGAATGTGCTGCCGGCCGACTTCCAGCAGGATGCAGTCGTGGAAAGCCTTGCTTGGAAACTTAGGGGCAATAAACACGGAAAACTTGAAAACGTGCAGATTTCGAGGCCCACCTCAGTGCCACCAAATCCGGAAACCTGGGAGCGGGGTCCTGAGTCCATGTTGTCAGGCCCCAGGGCATTGTGCCTGGCGGGGCCCTGGAGACCCATCTGCGAAGCCCTGAGGTAGGGAGTACCCCGTGGACAGCCCAGCCTCTGTGTCCAGGGAGCTGAATTCTGAATACGAGCAATTGTGGCCGAAGCCGGTGGAGCTGAGGGCTGCAGGAAATGCTCTGGAGTGGGTTGGCCTCCGAAGGGGGTGGGCTGGTGCGCCGGGACTGCAGGCAGGGGACAGGGCGCTCGCAGGCATGTCGCTCTCCAGCTGGCCAGAGTGGGGCGTGGGCAGGGCAGTGTGGGACAGGGGTGTCGCTGGCAGGACCAGCCCCTGGCTTCTCACGGTGCAGAGCCGCCAGCTTTTTTCGGGCGTTAACCCCAGCGATGGCTCTTTCTTTGCCCCTGTGGCGGCACAGAAGCCTCCCCGCTGCTTGAACCAGGTGTCCATAGGCCGTCAGTTCTGGTCATGGCTGCCTGGCTGTGCAGCTTTTGCTCCATAGAGTACGACTGTCTGTGTCTGGCTGTTTGGATGGGCTGGTGTGGCTATAAGCCACATTGGTTTATTCAATCTCTGTCACTTTTTATCCAAAATTAATTTGGGTTTCCTTAGGGGAAGGCACCCTTGAGGGGATACAAATAGGACTTACAAGCTGGCACCTGGCAGCCTGACCCCAGGTGCAGTGGCGAGGCCACCCTGGCCGAGGTGACAGGGCTGCCTGATGTTTAGACCCCTTCCCTGGAGTGGGTGGTGAGCAGCCCCCGCAGCCGGAGGGCACAGGCCCTGCCTACTGAGTGTATTTTTTAAAGTAGCTTTGAAACAAAGGAGGCGTGCGTCCTGAGGGCACAGGATGCCAGGAGGCCGAGCAGCCGGGCGCCAGGGTGGCGGCTGGCTCGGGTGCTAAGTGGCCTGGACCAGATGAGATTTAACAGGTAAGGAAATCACCTGTGCAGGAACGGGGTCTCAGTTCACACCCTTGGGAACACCATGACTTGGGGAGCGCGGAAGTGCCGGCTTTGTTTCAGTAAATGGATTGTACTGAGAAATTAAAAATGGGGTCAGTGACAGCAAAGTGGGGGTTTCACGACGTGGATGGAAGAGCCTGAACTGCTCGTGCGCCTGGCCCGAGCCGGGTGCCGTGGGTGTCCAAGCTCAGGGCAGGAGCAGCGGTGGACGCGGTGGCGTCACGGGTCCCTGGGAGCCCAGAAATGTGCCCAGACTGGTTCTGGACGGCAGCTCTGCTCGCTGCAGGCCCAGTACCCCGGGCAGGCGAGCCGGTGCCAGCACCAAGGCACCTGTGTACCCTGAGTGAGCGGCCGCCTCCAGGAACTCTCACCGGCACCGCCCGTGTGCCGAGCCCGCCTCACCGTGCTTTTGGGTCTGATCATACCCCCGATGTTGCGGCCCCAAGCCGCCTCCGTCTTTCGGTCAGGGGAGCCGAGCGCAGGGGAGTGGTCGTGCGGGCACGGGAGGTGTGTCCACGCCGGCGCCGCGGGGCAGCCTTCCGGACAGCCGCACAGGTCAGGGGCGTGTGGCGCCCCGCGTCCTCGTGGGTCCTCCCGGCAGGCTGGGGGCCAGCTGTGGGGCGGGGCGGCTTTGCGGCCGTCTTCAGGGAGGGTGAAAGCGCCCCACGCAGAAGACAGCCTAGACGATAGAGTGGGGCTCCCTTATCGCAGAATTGGGGGTTAGGCAAGAAAAAAACCCAAGACAGAAAAATGAAAATCGATTTAACTGCGTGAAAATTAAAATAAAATTCTGCAGGATGAGATACGACCAGGCAGAGCCGCGAGGGCACCCACACGGGTGAGTAGGGAAGGGGTGACGGGGTGCGTCGGGGAGATGCCGGCGCCAGTGGGGTGCAGCCCGGAGCCCCTCACTCCCAGTCTCTGAAGGGAGAACCGCCGGCCCCCGTGTGCCGCGCTTCTCACTGGTCAGACCCGAGACCAGACAGCGTAGGCGCTGGCGAGGACTAGGGCCTGGATGCCCTCGGAAGCGTGGGGGTGCCATGGTTTGGGGGAGAACGGTGGGCATCTGTCGGGTGGAAGGCACCCCGAGCTGTCTCGGGCGGCCTCCCTGCGGTTTGTGCGGTGGCAGCCACGGGGCCGAGAGTCCAGGAGCCTGAGAAGGGGCGCGCTTGGCGGGCGTGCTTGCTGGTGGCGGGGCCAGGCGTGGCCTCTGCAAACGTGGACTCCAGTTGAAGAGAACGCTCGGGGGTAGAAAATCGAGGCCAGGTACTTTCAAGCCTCTTTGTTGCTCTGCTGTCCCCGCCGCAGCCTCCTGGTGGGCGGGTCCACCCGCCGGGCCCACCTGGGGTGACTTGGCTTCGGTGAGATTCACAATGAAGACAGCCTTTGGCCTTGTTTCTTTATTAGGATTCTTATATTTACGAATGAGGGGGCGTCTTCCAAAGTCAGTGATTGCAGCCCCGAGTACTTGGCGTTACATTTACCCAAATAGGGCGTCAGGTTCTGGCCAATCAGACGTGCCCTTCCTGGTGCCCGTCCCCTGCAGGCTGCTGTTTTGCTTCCTTGAGATTCCTGACGCGAAAGGTCGCCCACGGGTCTCACAGAGCCTCTTAGTCCTCTGGGGTCCTGAGGGCTGAACGAGGTGATTTTTGTCAAGTTCCTGAGGGTGCCGGCCGCAGAGGTCGGGGAGGCCCGGCTGCCGGCTCCAGTGCCCCCGGAGCCCTCGGGTGGCTGGTCAGCGGGAGCCTCCGACCACCCCCACGCGCCGCGGCCGGCCTGTAGCTGCCTCAGGTCACTGCAGGGGCTCAGCATGGCCTAGTGGCCTCGAGCAGCCGTTCTCGTCCTTGTCAGCCACGCTCACGTGTGACCAGCAAAAACATGGGGTGGTCGCAGGGTGTCTGCTTGCATTTCCACGCGCAGCGCGGCCTCCGCTGAAGATGGTTCCGCTGCAGTCTTTGGCCTTTGCGACTGCCAGGAGAGCAGCGGGCGCCGATGGGGGCAGCTCTGGCCCGGACTGGCACCCCCTGGTGTGCGGGGCTCCCAGCCAGCACGGCCCCTGGAGGCATCGCCGCTGCATTTCCAGTGCTGGCGATGCAGCCTCGGGCGGGCCTGTGCCATGGCCAGAGGGGCCTGATTGGGGGGGGGGGTATGGGGGGGTGGCAGGCGGGCAGTAGGAGTGAGGAGGGCGCCTTCCTGCCCAGAACTTCTCGGGCGTTTAAGGTGCTTCTGACTGAAACTTGCTTTTCAGGCTTCGGCACCCAGCTCTGGCGTGCAGAGGCAGAGAGCGGGTGAGCCTCGGCGGAGCCCCGCCGCTCGGCTCTGGGGGTCCCCCCGGACGGCGCCATGTCCCGTGGGGTGAAGCCCTAAGCCGGCAGGTCCTGCCGGCTTTGCCCCAGTCACCGCTCCCGTGGGGCTGGAGATGAGGCCCGGCGGGTCAGTGTCACGGGGAAAGGGACAATGAAAGCCAGAACGGCTCAGACAGGGCGCTTCTGCGCGTGCGTCTTCAGATCTTTAATACAAAGTCTCCAGGCTTCGTCCTAAGTCTTGTCTTGGCGCATCTGAAAATCCGCGTCTTCTCCACAGACACTTCCTGACCGGGCTGCCGTGCTGGGCGCCAGGCCGCCCCGGCGCTGCGCGTCTGCCTTAAGGTTCTGTGGGGTGCTTGATTCCGGGCCTTTTTTAGACCTGTAGGTCTTTGACGAGTTCCCTGTCTCTGAAGTTCTATTCTGAGGTTTCTTTTCTTTTTTTAAGATTTATTTATTTATGCATACAAGAACGGGGTGCAGGCCAGGGGGGCGGGGTGAGAGGACTCCCCAGAGCCAGAGCGGGGAGCAGAACAGGCGGATCCACTGAAGCACACTGCTGAGGGGAGCAGCGGGAGACAGGAGGGGTCTGCTGTGCCCTGTGGGTCACTCTGGCCGGCCGGGGATGGCACTCAGGCTGCAGAGGCTGCGGGTACCTTCCCAGTGCTGCGCCCAACCCCTGACGCCACCAGGGAGGCCCCTGTCTTGAGGTTTCAAATCATTATCTTCTTGCCCTGAAGTCTGTTTCTTCCCAGGATTCACTTTTTTTTTTTTTTTTTTTATAGAGGCATGCTTTATTTATTTGTTTGCTGGTTTGTTTGTTTGTTTTGTTTATACATGCACTGGGTACAGTCAGAAGCGCGGGAGGGTGAGAGAATTCACCAGAGCCAGAGCGGGGAGCAGAGCAGGCAGAAGGACCGAAGTACACTGCTGAGGGGAGCAGCGGGCGGCAGGAGAGGACTGCGCGCCATGCGGGACCCTCCTCCGGTGGCCGGGGAGCAGCCGGGGATCGAACCGGCGCCGCAGAGGCCGCGGGCAGCTTCGCAACCCAGCGCTCAACCGCTGCGCCACCGGGAGGCCCAGGATTCACTTTTAAAGAAAGATTTTAAGTGTTTGCTGCTTTCAATAGAAAATTATCAAAAATGTTTGTTTTTCTCAAAATGCCTGCTGGGTCATCTTCCGTTGCTCTTACGGTGCCTCGCTGTTGGGAACAAACGTCCATATTAACCACCGTCAGGAAAATACCGTGTGAAGGAAGTTCTGTCCTAGGGGGGTGAGGAAGCTGAACCCGCGGCAGGGCGGCGTGGCTGCTCCCGCCCGCTCTAAGCAGGTGTTCCCTGTTCCAGGGAGAGACGCCCCGCGGGGACCCCCGCTCCTTGACGCGCGCCCTCCGGCCAGCAGTGCTGACTCAGGTACAGTCTGCAGGCGCCCAGGTGTGTGTCAGCGTGTCCCCTGGGGTTGTAGTGGTCTCCGTCTTTCTCCCTCTCCCCCGCTCTCAGCACAGATGTGTAGGCGTTGGACCGTCTTAAGTTTTGAATCCATGGCTCAGGTAAGGCGGAAAAAGCCACCGGTCACTAGCCCTGAGACGCTGCGCGGATGGCTGAGCGGTTTTCTCCGGTTCTTAAGTGTCTGTTTTACCTGCTGGAATAAGATTTAACTCTTGAAGGCAGATTTTTGCTTCCTTTGGAACAATAGGCCTCGGAGTGAAAATAGGTTTCCACGCGTCAGGCGCTGCGGTGGGCGCCGCCGCTGGATGCACACGCGTGTCCAGGCTGTCTCCAGGCGTCCTGCTCGGGCGTCCCGGGGGGGGGGCTGCTGGCCTGCCGGCCGGGGTCTGGGCTGACGGTGCGTCCTACTGTGTTTCAGGACCGGGGGGACCTTTGCTTTTTGATGATCTCCCACCAGCCAGCAGCGGCGATTCAGGTAAGTGGTTGGGGAGTCAGGGTGCTCACGGCAATCACCCACGTTTACTCTTACGTGACATTTATTTGTAGCTTTAACAGACTTGGTGACGCCAGCGCACAGCATAGCGTGAGCCTTGGGACGACAAGGAGGGGGGGGCAGTGTAGATTCTCACGAGCCAGTCACTTCGATGATGGGTTTTTGCTGCTTGTGGTACAGCTTCTTTTTCTTTTTTTTTTTTTTTTTTTAAAGATTTATTTATTTATTTATTTATACAAGCACTGGGTACAGTCAGAAGCGGGGGACAGTGAGGAATTCACCAGAGCCAGAGCGGGGAGCAGAGCAGGCAGAAGGAGCGAAGTACACTGCTGAGGGGAGCAGTGGGCGGCAGGAGAGGTCGCGCGCCATGTGGGACCCTCGCCAGCCGGGGGCCAGGGATCGAACCGGTGCTGCAGAGGCTGCGGGCAGCTTCGCAACCCAGCGCTCAACCGCTGCACCACCAGGGCGGCTTCTTGCAGCAGACTTTGGGAATTGCAAATGTAGTGATTTACTTTGAAGTTTGTTACTGACAATTAAAAAATGCTCATCTCTTATTCTTGTTTGCCTTTTATGTTCCTGACAGACCGAGATGTATCCAGAAGTGTCTGAAAATGTAAAATAGTTAGTGTCTTCAATATCCTGAACCCACAAATACAAATAATAGGTCTTCAGTTTTATGCCGTTACATGAAAAAGAACTTCATAAGGAAGTGAAATCAGAGTGATGCCAGTTTACAGACTGGGGCAGATCATGTGTGGGAATTTTCTTTTTTTTTTTTTTTTTAAAGAACATGATCTTTATTTCTTTTAAGATTTATTTATTTATACAAGAGCCAGGGTACAAGCCAAAGGTATGGGGGGTGAGAGGATTCACCAGAGGCAGAGTGGGGAGCAGAACAGGCAGACTGACTGAAACACCCTGCTGAGGGGAGCAGCGGGTGAGACAGGAGAGGTCTGCCGCGCCGTGTGGGCTACCCCACGGCCGGCAGGGGTGGAACCAGCACTGCAGAGGCTGCGGACAGCTTCACAGCGCTGCACTCAACCGCCTGCGCCACCAGGGAGGCCCTGCAGGAATTTTCTTGAAAGTCGAGATCTTAGTTATTTTCTAGTCAGCCCTTTGCTCTCAAGATGCCTTTGACTGATTTGCTTTCCTTTTTATCAGGCCTATTAACGTTGGCTCTGCCCGTTCTGGTAAATGTTTGACTTTTTTTTTTTAAGATTTATTTATGCATACAAGAACAGGGGTACAGGCCAGAGTTGTGGGGGTGAAAGGATTCCCCAGAGAGAGCGGGGAGCAGAACAGGCGGATATACTAAAACACTGCTGAGGGGAGCAGCGGGGAGACAGGCGAGGTCTGCTGCACCCTGTAGGTTGCTCCCTGGCTGGGGCTCAAACTCGTGCTGCAGTGGCTGCAGTTAGCTTCATAGGTTGCATCTTAACCCTTTGCACCACCAGGGAGGCCCTGACTTGTCTTTTTATGTCCCAGTTAAGCATAAAGGAATAGAGCGGCTTCCTTTAGGTTATCATATTCAAACTTATTATCCTGTCTCACTAGAACGCACCAGGGTTCCCCTAAGGTGGGGGGCGTGGGGATGCAGGCTGCCTTTTTTTCACAAGCATTTATTTTCTGGCATAAAATCTTTCTTTTGTTGTCAGAGCACATGCTGCTATTCAAGAGCGCTGTTTGGATTATTAGCTCATTACCATAAAGTTGCTGGAATTAGTATTATACTTTTCTTACATAAAAATTGGAAGGTTTTTCGGAGCTGCGGATCCATGCAATCTCATTCATTTTAGCCTAAAACCTTTCCAATAAATACAGTGTTCTTCTTTATTATGGGAATTAATATGTGCAGACAGGCCTTTTAACAAATTTAATAAAAGGACGATTTCAAAGTAGCTACATCTCGGTTAGCCATAGAGCAAAAGACAAGAAAAAACTAGTAACAACTTAGAAGATTCCAGCACCATTATTAGAACGTTTGGCAGCTTTGGTTTATTTTGAATATAGAATCCAGTCTTGCATTTAATATTTTGAATTTCTTGAGAAGTAGGTTCTTCTCAAGCAGGCAAGAACCTTATGAAAATTGACTACATTCTAGGCCAGAAAGTAAGTCCCAGTTAAGAGTGGGTTTCACGGACAGCCCGTGGCCACTGGCTCTCGCGTGACTCAGTCAGAAGTCAGTAACAAAACTTTCATCGTTTCTTGTTTTGCACTTTAAAAGAAAGGGAGGTTTCTCTTCCGTACACGTTGGGAAAACTGGATCACAACCAGTGACAGGGCGGGCGGCTGACATCGGAGGCCACGCACCTGTCGAGGGGCCGGGGCATGTGTGTGAGGGTCACGGTGGGGAGTTGACTCTTTGGGGAGGAGGCGTTTCCTTCCTGTTCCTGTACGCAGAGCTGTCTGCCAGGGAGGACCTGAGGGAGGGGCCCTGTGCTTTGCTACCTCAGTGCAATGCGCTCAGGTCGTGTTTATCGGGCGGCTGGCGGACCAGGAACCAGCCCCGTGCCTTGCACACCTGTCCCCGTCCATCTCCGCCCAGCCCCTGAAGGCCTAGCTGGCCTCCACATTGTGGATGAAGGCGCAGAGGCTGCCGGGCTAACCAGCTTGCCTCAGGGGCACCCCTCTTCTGAGAGGTGGCGTGGGGATTCCAACCTCAAGTGCCCGGTCCTGACCGGGGTACAGGGACCCCCTCTGTGGGAGTGGCCGGCAGCCTCTTCTGCCTTTCAGGACACAACTTCTTAAAGCCTGATATTTACCTCACGTGAGTCTTCTTGGCAGTTGTTCTTGAACTTATTCTTGAACCCGTTCAAGGCAAGGCCATGTCCCGGTGCAGATTGGGGAAGCTTTATAAAGAAGGGCCTGTGGCTGTGAAACCTGTCTGTGCGGGAGCCCAAACACAGACGGGCGTTTTCACTGCTGAGAGGCCTCTGCGGGCTGCCCGTGGGGCCGGAGGAGGCCCGGTCTCAGCCCACGCGCTCCCGCCCTCCGAGCCGGCGCCGCGTCCCGGTCGCCGCCGGCCTGTCTCAGCACTGGGCGGGGGGTCAGGGCGCTCGTGTCCGCGCCTCCAGCTGTGTTCTGCTGGCTTCTGCTTTCCTTCCAGGTTCTCTTGAGACTTCGCTATCCCAGACGGCAAAGAATGAAGGGAAAGGAGCCAAGAGAAAAACCTCCGAAGAAGAGAAGAATGGCAGCGAAGAGCTTGGGGAAAAGAAAGTTTGTAAAGGTTTTCAGACAGTTTGAAAACAAATGTACTAGATCTCCTATTCAGAACCGCCTGAGCGCCCAGCTCCGCTTCCCGGGGCTGCTGCCCCCTTTTCATGCCCGCGGTTAAGGTGCGGGCAGCTTCTCTTGGCGCAAACACTGCCCGGGTTTACCTCTGCTTCCTTCCGCTCTACACTGCGTGCACGTCTCTGGCCCTACCCTCGGGCAGTTGGGAAGCCTGGTCGTCCCCAGGGCCACGGGTCCTGGGCACTTGTTACTCAGCGTCTGTCGCGGTGGGAGGCACAGGACCAGCCGGCCACCTGCCTTCCCGCCTCTGTTGACCACCTGTTGACCAGCACCTGAAACCCCGAGCAGCTCAGCGGCTGTTCCCTAAAGAGCTGGAAAAGCAGCTGGAACTTGCAGCCGGCTCTGTACTTGCCAGAGAGGCTGGGAGGGCACAGAGTATCAGCTAAGGAAAAGCAGTGGCCTCCACGGCCCTGCCGGCCACCTGGCCGAGCGCTGTGGGCACGGCAACAAGGGACAGGCCCCTGGGCTCTGCGGAGAGCGCCCACCCGCAGCCGGCTGGTTCCGGCCTCCAGGCCAGAGCAGCCACCCGTCAGCAGGTGCCCAGTGTCAGAGGGGCTAGGCCTAGTCTGCCCACCAGGCCCACGGGTCTCCACCCGGACGGGGTCCTCACTCCCGTCCTGCTGCAGCTTGAGTCGGCTCCCTCGGCCGCTCCTTCGTCAGCTCTAGCTGCTGGGAGACGTTTCCAGGGAGTCTGATGGGCGTTTGGGGAAACCGCTTACTTGCATTTCTCTAAAGTAGGCATTTACCTGTCGCATTAAAATTATTGGCAAGACTAGACTATCGCTCCTCCCTGGGGTTCAGTCCTCCTCCCTTGGGGAGCTGCACGCCCCGGCCCTGCTGCTCGAGGCCTCTGCTGCCTGCTCTCTCTGCTCTCTGCTGTGCGGCCCGAGGCCGCCTGTCCCGCGTCGGCTCTGGGAGGGCCGGGCCAGCTTGTGTGCGCGCCCACAAGGGCCGCTGAGCGAAGCAGCCGCAGCCCCTCTGCTTGCTCGGCCGGGGCTGCTGGGGAGGGCACAGTTTTGTATTGGCTCCGTTCCTCCCCTCAGCATCCGCAGCCGTCTTTGGTCTGAAAGGCTACGTGGCCGAGCGGAAGGGCGAGCGGGAGGAGATGCAGGACGCCCACGTCATCCTGAACGACATCACGGAGGAGTGCGGCCCCCCGTCCTCCCTCATGTGAGTGTCCACCCCAGCCGGCCGGTGGTGTCAGTCTCTGGGGGTTCCCGGGGGGCTGACACGGGCCGCCAGCCGCCTGTCCCCACTGGTGGTGTCCGCTGACTGGCCGACTCTCCGGCCTCTCCCCAGAGGGCGCGTACCTGGGGTTTCTGCCTGGGGGCCGGGGCGCTGCTGAGGAGCCTCCAGCACACAAGACAGCCCCAGCCGAGGCTCGCAGTCTGCCAAGGTGGCCAGCCCTGCCGGCCGGAAGGTGGCTCCCCACGGGCGGGCCTTCATGCGGCCCTCTCCTCCCAGAGGGAGCAGTGTGGCCACCAGGGAGAGCGAGAGCAGAAATGGCATCAATGGGAAGGAAGATAGAAGTTCCCTGCAAATGTCTGGGAACTAGGATGAGACCAGTGGCTAAGCGCCCAGCGGGGCCTCGGGGTGCTGCGGGGGAGAGCCGGCCGCCTCCAGTCATGAGGAAGGCTGGGCCTGGGCCTGGGCCGGCACTGGCACGGCTCCCACCACTGCTCGGGCGCCGGGCCCCCCACCCCCCACCCCATGCTGAGAGTGAAGCCTGAGGCGGGCTCCAGAGCCGCTAGGCGGCCTTCAGGGCTGGCCCGGCAGCGCTGATGCTTCTGGCGTCCTGCGGTTTAGGTCACGTGGACCTTGTTTTTTTACAACTCGGCGCGTCCCAAGTTAAAACTCGGTGTCCCAGATTGAGGAGGAGATCCAGAAGCGTTAGGGAAACGAGCAGCTCTGCAGAGTACGTCCCTTCCCGTGGGCATTTTGTTCTTTCCTTCTTGGGCGAGTTTATCATCTGCCGTCCTCTGTCTTGTGACTTTTTTTTTTAATAATTTACTTTTTTTTTCCAGTTTTTTTTATGATTTATTTATTTATACAAGCACTGGGGTACAGGCCAGAGGTGCAGGGGTGAGAGGATTCACCAGAGACAGAGCGGGGAACAGAACAGGCAGATAGACCGGAGACACTGCTGAGGGGAGCGGCGGGGAGACAGGAGGGGTCTGCCGTGCTATGTGGGCATCTCCCCGGCCGGCCGGGAATCGAATAGGCGCTGCAGAGGCTGCGGACAGCTCCACAGCGCTGCGCTCAACCCGCTGCACCACCGGGGAGGCCCTGTCTGGTGACTCTTCTGGCAAAACGAGAGGGGGCTGGGGACGGGACAGCTGGGCGGTCTTCAGGTCGGTGTGGCCGGGCGCCTCGCCGGTGTGTTAGGGGTAAAGCTCGTCTGGCTAAGAGAGGAGAAGGTTCTGTGTGTTGGTGTTTCACCAGTGGGAAAGCCGGTGTTAGTTAGCAGAGCCTGATTTTTGAAACGTGAGTTTTCAATGTGTAGTTTTAAAATGCCCCGGAAGTTACTTAAGCGTGTCTCGGTTAACGGCCCGTCTTTCCGTCTGTGGCGAGGTGGCGGGTTCTGACCAGTGGGGCTTCCTCTTAATTACTGTCACCGTTTGAGGTGAAGCCTGGAAGCCTTCGGAGGCGCGGGCTTCTGTGAGGGTCTCGACTCTGACCTCCTCCTTCCAGCACACGGGTTTCCTATTTTGCTGTTTTTGATGGCCATGGAGGAATTCGAGCCTCAAAATTTGCTGCTCAGAATTTGCATCAAAACTTAATCAGGAAATTTCCTAAAGGTGAGACTGGGCGCGCGTCCCTCGCCTCTGGGAACGGGTGCGCTGTCTGGGGCTCTCCCAGTCCGGCCGCGGCGGCTGCAGGAGCAGGGTGGGCCTGGGGCCAGGGCCTGGTGTCTCCGGGAGGGCCCCTGGGGAAGGTGCGTGGGGGTGGGGGATGTCGCCAGGGAGACGCCCAGACTCCGGTGCCCCTCGCACAAGGGAGGGCAGGTGGCCAGTGTGCTCAGGCAGCAGCTGGCAAGGTGGCCAAGCCACAGCGGCGCTGGGGGGCCGCCTTCCCGGTAAGGACGCGCCTCCCCTGTTCCTGCTGCCACAGGCGACGTGGTCAGCGTGGAGAAGACCGTGAAGAGGTGCCTTTTGGACACGTTCAAGCACACGGACGAGGAGTTCCTCAAGCAAGCTTCGAGCCAGTAAGTGGGGCCGCGGGTGGGGGGCGCGCGTGGAGCCCCGCCGCTCCGGCTGCCTGCAGCTCCGGCAGGGCATGAGCCTGTCGCGGTCACCCTGCTCCGCGCGGGAGAAGCGAGCTCTGGGGACCCGGGCGTTTCACAGTGTCCCCCCACCCGTCAGCTCGGCGGCCCAGTGCGGGTGCAGGGGTGACTCTGTCTGGTCTGTTTCCCCAGGAAGCCTGCCTGGAAAGACGGGTCCACGGCCACCTGCGTCCTGGCTGTGGACAACGTTCTGTACATCGCCAACCTGGGAGACAGCAGGGTATGCGCCCGCCCGCTCGGGCAGCTGCGCTGGGGGCCACGCCCCGACGGGCGCCGGCTGCGGGGCTTGCTGCAGCCTGGGGTCTGGGTGGTCACGTGACTGGCGTCTTGTGCTTTACCGCCCTGGCCGTCTGCCCGTCGTCGCCCTGTGTGCGCGCGTCTGCCCGGCGCTGTGGGCCAGAGCCTGGTCGCCCGCACGTGGCATCACAGCCTTGACTTCGTTTCTCTGACCTCAGACGTGGCGGATAAAGGCAGTAGCCCCTGCCCTCAAAGTCATTTCGGTCTCAAAACTGCAAAGCTGCACCTGGGAAGAGCAGGGTGGTGTGGTGTTTGTCCAGCCCAGCGTCCCCGCTGGTGGCACCATGTCCCATCGCCGCCGTGGGGACGCCTTAGCTGGCGGGCAGCTCTCCGGCCCAGCCGGCCCCCGCGGGTGAGCGCCTGCCGCCCTCTGCCAGCACCTCCTGCCCCCTGCTGGCCGCCCTCCCCTCCAGCAGCAGCTTCAGACTTGGAGGGCTCTGCCCCGCCCCACCCTCCTGGGCGGTCATTCCCCTGCCGTGAGGTGGGTCCAGTCCCTGGGGCACGGCAGCAAATGTCCCTGGAGGTCCACCCGGTGGAGTTCGCAGCGTGGACTGTCCCCGATAGGTGGGGGTCAGCCCAGACGGCTTCACAGCAGCCTGAGTAAAACTGCTGAGCGCAGACTGTGTAGTCAGGCGCAGACTCGAGTCCCGGGCCCGCCAAGCGCCTGAGCACAAGGCTTCCCCCGGCCCGGCTTCCTCTGCAGAGACAGTTCACTGAGGCCTGCGCACCGCGTGGCCGGCACGCTAGACTCGGGGGTGGCCACTCTGGGACCTCCCTGCTCTCTGGGAGAGGGTGGCGGCAGCCTGGAGGGGGCACTGGCGGGCTCCTCTCCCTGCGGCTGCTTCTGCAGGCCCTGTGCTGTGTGACGCGGCCCGCTGCTGAGCCTCTGAGCACCTGCTGGTCAGCCAGAGGCTGGCTCAGGCCCTCGTCTTGGTGCCCGAACCTCACCTTTTCTGCTGTTTCCATCCTCCCAGGCCATCCTGTGTCGTTACAACGAGGAGAGCCAGAAGCACACGGCCTTAAGCCTCAGCAGAGAGCATAACCCCACGCAGTACGAGGAGCGCATGAGGATCCAGAAGGCAGGGGGCAACGTCAGGTACGGGCAGGCGGAGCTTTCCCGGCTCTGCTGGCTCCCACGGAGGCGGGTGGAGTTCTGGCCTGGCCAGCAGGGTGAGCGCTGTGTGTCCATGCGGGGCAGGGCGGATGAGGAATGAGCCTCTGCACTTGCAGAGGGAGGGAGCCCAGCCCGGGTTCGGGCACATGCGCAGTGCTCTCTCAGGGCCTCGAGTTGAGCCGGCGGTGGCCCGTGGCCGGGCTCCTGGGCACCCCTCGTGTGGACGGCCGCTCGCTGGGCCGCCCTCTGCCCTGCTGAGGCGCTGCTGGCTGTGTCCTTGCTCACCGCAGCAGATTCTGCCCAAAGTCACCACTGGTGGCATCTGACTGGGTGTTCCTGGTTCACGTCCTAGAGTGGCCTGAGATGTTGCTTCTGCGGGGCCGAGAGAAGCAGCCGCGCACCACTGCCTGGTCCTGGCAGGGTGGCTGTGCCTCTTATTCATCGGGGGTGGGGGGGTGGGGGGGCAGGCTGGGTGTGGCCCGGGACCTCTGCCGCAGGGCAGCCGCTCCTGGGGCGCTCAGGGGCCCCCTGGCGGCAGGAGGACTTTGGTCCCAATTATGGTCTTGGGGGCGGCCCCCAGCACTGCTGTGGCGCTTGCGCCCGGGCGTGGGGGCCTGTGAGCTCTGCGGCTTTTCTGCAGACACTCAGCTTCTGCCTTCTTGCCTGACCCCTTGGGGTGGTGACACCCGGGCATGGCCTGTGCTTCGTCCCAGTCCACCTTGTGCCAGTTCCAGGCCGTGAGTGCTCCCGGGCGCGCCCATCAGGGGAGAGGGTGCCAGCCGGATGTGCAGGCGGGCACGCTCCTCCTGCCTGCGCCGTGGCCCGGTTTCTGCACCGCCACCCCCCACCCCCTTCCTACTAGCAACGTTTTGAATGTGCCAGTGGTCGGCCTTTGCCGGGCTTGTGCTGCGGCGGGCGAGGCTGCGGTACTGGCACGCTCCTTGCACATGGTGCCTGAGGTGGATCCCTGGGTTCCACACAGCCCCCCGCCCCCACCCCCAGAGCGTCTTCACTGCAGACCAGGGTCCCGTTGGCCTCCTGTTCACCTTGAGCACGGGGTGGGGTGCAGACAGGCTCCCCGCACTGGCCGCTGTGTCGGCAGCCCCAGCCTGAGCTTGGCGGCCCCTGTGTGTGACTCAGGCCATGTTTCCATGGTCCTGGATGCGAGGTTGGCACGTGTGCCCACAAACGGGAGGTTGGGCCCACAGGCTTCTTCGGGTTCAGAGCAAACGTTTCTTAGCGGAAATATTTGACGGGAGCTGTTACGCACCTGGTCGTCCCTCACGGCATCGGTGCGCACGGTCTCTGCAGCGAAGCTGACCCAGGGAAAGGACACGCCTGCTGGGAAGCAGTGGGTGGGCTGGGGAGACGGGCCTTGGCGCCTGGGGCCGCCGCGCTTCCTGCCGCCCTCCAGCTAGTGCTCCGCGTCCTCCGGGACCCTCAGGCCTGCTAGAAAGGCTTTCCTCCACGGTGGGGGCCAACCAGCTTCTCCCCGGAAGGAGGCTAGGTGTTTAATTCCGTGCCAGCTTGCAGAGTAAGGGGGCCACCCCTTGGGGTCCGCATCGCCGCAACCACGCCTCCCTGCCCACCTCCCCCCTCCTTGCTCCCTGGTGCAGGGGCTTCCTCTGCTGGCTGCTCTGGTCGGATCAGAGCTGCGGCATCTGTGCTGTGCTGTCACCTCAGATGGGCCTGTGGGTGATGGGCACCGCTCGGGCTGGCCTGCGCCCGTGGATACTCTGCCTTGGCCTTTGAAGCACCTGGTGCTGGGAGGCCGGATCCGGCAAGGGTCAAGCTCACAAACACCACTCAGGCACGAGTTTGTTTATTTATTTTTAAAGATTTATTTATTTATTTATGCAAGCACTGGGTACAGTCAGAAGTGCGGGAGGGTGAGAGAATCCACCAGAGCCAGAGCGGGGAGCAGAGCAGGCAGAAGGACCGAAGGACACTGCTGAGGGGAGCAGCGGGCGGCAGGAGAGGTCTGCGCGCCATGTGGGACCCTCCGGGGATCGAACCAGCGCCGCAGAGGCTTCGGGCAGCTTCACTACCCAGCACTCAACCGCTGCGCCACTGGGGAGGCCCTCTTTTTTTTTTTTTAAAGATTTATTTATGTATGCACGCAAGAGCTGGGGTGCAGGCCAGAGATGCAGGGGTGAGAGGATTCCCCAGGGAACAGAACAGGCAGATGGACCAAAGTACACTGCTGAGGGGAGCAGCAGGGAGGCAGGAGGGGTCTGCTGTGCCATGTGGGTTGCTCCCTGGCCAGCCAGGGATGGAACTCGTGCTGCAGAGGCTGCGGATGCTTCATAGTGCGGCGCTCAACCCCTTGCGCCACCAGGGAGGCCCAGTAAGTCATAGTTTCTGTCACAACTTAAAAACCAAAAAACTCTTTTACGTGGTAAATATCTAAATTAAATAAAAAGCGTGTTTGGGAGAGGCTTTCACGTCTGTCCCCTCATCCTTGTGTGTTGACCCTCTGACAAAACACATCCACGCTTGCGTCTGCGCCCTGTGGGCTCTCCGCGGCGGTGGTGGGGCCGGCTGTTTCCCGCGGGGGGCGTGGTGGGCGCCTGTGTGGGCTTCATCCCGGCCCAGCAAGGACGGTCTCTGGCCCCCAGTCGGGGGGGCACGTGCGGTCCTAGTGGTGCACGGGTGCCGGCCAGGCCAGGCCACTCGCCGGGGCCTCCTGGGTCCGAGAGCCAGGCCCGTGTGCACTCCCAGGCACTGCCAAGTTGAGCGGGTGCTCTCAGGCTGGGGGCCGTGCCAGGTTCCCGGCCTCCCTGGGCCCACGGCATAGACCTGCCGAGCAGAGGCCAGAGGCTCCCCAGAACCAGCGGGTGTGGGGCGGGGCAGCCCTAAGCTGCCTGTGCAGGGCGCTCTGGGGCGCAGGGGCCCTCCAGCCACCTTCGGCTCTGCGTGTTGGCTGCTCTGCTGTGGTCTCCATAACACACCATGCGGCGGCACGGCTGTCTGCGGGGAGGCCGGGCTGCTTCTGGCTGCACGCCGGTGCCCCAGCAAGGACTTCCTGCCACGTGTAGCCACCCGTGCAGTTCTGGGGTTGCCAAACACACCTGCCGGTGGGCGCTCCCAGCTTCCCCAGCAGGGGCTGAGGCTCATTGTGAACGAGGCTGCCCGAGGTCACACCAGGGTGTTCTGGGTCCTCGAAGCCCGGCACTGGCACCCCAGCTGAGCCTGCCGTCGCCCCCACCCCGGGGTGTTGCCCGCACCTGGAAACGGCAGGCAGGTGCGGTGCTGTGCGGAGCACTGGCTCCCTGCACTGCTGGACCCAGCCCAGGCCAAACCCCTGTGCCTCCAGCTGTGGATCGTGGCCCTAGTTGCATCGTTCTCTGCCCCGTTCTCTGCTTTAGCCCCGAGCCCGCGGCCCTGCAGGGGTCTCTGCGGTGACGTCTGCGTGTCCCCCTCATTTCAGGGACGGGCGAGTCTTGGGAGTGCTGGAGGTGTCCCGCTCCATCGGGGACGGGCAGTACAAGCGCTGCGGGGTCACCTCCGTGCCAGACATCAGGCGCTGCCAGCTGACCCCCAACGACAGGTAATCGCCACCTGTGGTCCGGGCCTGTCTCCCGCGAAGCCGGCCTGAGGGCGGGGACAGCTGGTCTCGGTGGTGTTGGGGGGCGGTGTTGTTTTCGGCCTGGTCGGGGAGCGCAGGGGGTGGGGGCTTCCACCCGCTGCTGTGCGTGGGGATGGCCAGGGAGGCGACCCTGATGAGCAGGGGGGGCTTCTGGCAGAGGGGGCGCCGGGCTCTGTTCAGGCGGGGCAGACGAGGGCCTGAGTCTGCTGCTCGGTGCACAGGACGCTGAGGTCCCCTTAGGTCAGACCATCGCGGAGGGTTTTGTTTTTTCTTTTTTAAGATTTATTTATTTATGCTACAAGAGCTGGGGTGCAGGCCAGAGGTGCGGGGTGAGAGGACTCCCCAGAGCACAGTGGGGAGCAGAACAGGCAGATCCGCTGAAATCCACTGCTGAGGGGGCAGCGGGGCACAGAGTCTGCTGCGCCCTGTGGGTCAGCCTCGCACATGCACAGGTGTGTCCCATCAGGCCGTTCGGCCGGGTCCGCCGCTGAGCCGCTTGTGTTCTGGCCCCACACTGCAGGTTCATCTTGCTGGCCTGTGATGGGCTCTTCAAGGTCTTCACCCCAGAAGAAGCTGTGAACTTCATCCTCTCCTGCCTGGAGGTGAGACGGCTGCCGGGGATGCCCGTTCCAGCTCGCCTGGGTCTCAACGAGGCAGTCCTGCCACCTTCCCTTGTGCCCGGGGGTGTGGGTGGGCAGCCCCTGTGCCCCCCAGGTGCTGGCCAGGCCAGGCCACTTGCCGGGGCCTCTTGGGTCCGAGAGCCAGGCCTGTGTGCACTCCCGGGCACTGCCAGGTTGAGCAGGTGCCCGCAGGCCGGGGCCGTGCCAGGTTCCCGGCCTCCCTGGGCCCATGGCATAGACCTGGGGACTGTTGCGGGGCAGGCGGGCTGGGGCTGCGTGCCTGCTCACCGCACTGTCCTGCCCTCCAGGACGAGAAGATCCAGAGCCGGGAGGGGAAACCGGCCATCGATGCCCGCTACGAGGCTGCCTGCAACAGGCTGGCCAGCAAGGCGGTGCAGCGGGGCTCCGCCGACAACGTCACGGTGATGCTGGTGCGGGTCGGGCGCTGAGGGGCGGAGCCGGCGCAGGAGTGAGTGCCCAGCACGTCCGCTCTGCGCGCCCTGGGCTCCGGTGTAAATAAAGGGTTTTCTTTTTTCTAGTCCTTTTGCCTTACTGCACTTAGCGCCTCTCTTGGCCTGCAGAGGCCGTGTTTGCGGGGGCTGTGCAGAGCCCGTCCTGGTTAGAGGCCTGGCTTGGGAGTGCAGCCTGCGCGTGGCCTGCAGTGTCGCCCTCTGGAGCGCACGCACCGCTGCTGCCCTGCGGGGACCTGCGCAGCCAGATGGGCCGGGCCGGAGCCGACGGCTGCGCTCTGGTGTCCTTCCCTCCCAGAAGGGCCTGGCCCTGTGGTTGTGTAACGAGCCACCGACCGGCACGTGGTCCCCTGCAGGTGCCACTGGACACACTGTGCCTCTAGCGCTGTGCGTCTGGCCCACCCTCAGAACAGCTGGACCTCGCGTTCTGATTCCACGCACCCGGGGTGCAAGTGGCCGAGGCTGTGGGGAGAACCACGGTTCTGGGTTTCAGCCCTGGCTCCCGGGTGTCACGTGAGACCGTGGGAGCAGCTGGGCTGCTGTTCAGCATGGCCTCCGGGCCGGCTCGCACTGGGGCTGTGCGTGAAGGGCTGCATGGAGCAGGCGCTTTTCTGTTCGAGGGAGAAAAGCAGGCCAGCTCCCCACAGCACCCCTGAAAGTGCCCCCAGGCTCCTGGGAGATGGTGCTCCCCACCTCGCCAGCTAGTCTTGGGGAAGCAGCTCCTGGCTGTGTGATGTCCTGCGATGATGTAAGAGTCTAGAAATTTGCCTTGAAGAAGCTGCTTGGGTGTTTGCTGGACCTGCCCAGGGTCTTAGCGCCTGTCACCTCGGCTAGCGGGCTGGCCCCTCAGCGGTCCCTGGGAGGGGCTGTCCCACACGCCAGCCCCCCAGCAGAGCTGCTTCTGTTTCTGGGGTCTGACTGCACAGGGAGGCACCTCTGAGAAAAGCACGCAGCGCCGCAGAGGCGGAGGCCAGGACAGCCGAGCCCGCGGACAGCTTCCTCCAGCAAGCCAGGCCTTGGTCTGTGACACCCCCCGAGTCCCCCAGTGCCACTGTCCCAGAGCGGGCGGCCTTGGCTCGGGGGGCAGCGTCCCTGGGAGCCCCCATCTGAGTCATGGGGTCTGAGGTCCCCAGGGGCTGGCCGCCACCCCACCCCACCTCTCCTTCACACCGTCCTGAGCCCGGCCCAGTGGTTAGGAGTTTCCCAGCTCTGCCCTTTTTATTGTCACAACTTGTACAGTCACCGCGCGCGATTCTCCCCGTCACATAACTACATCCCGCCCGGCCAGGTACAATAAATATGTCGCAACCGCTACATAATACTTAGGACGGGGGAATGGGAGGTCTGCGGCTGTTCCAGGGTAAAAGATAACTTCCGTGAGGCACCTCGGCCCCCCAGATACACAGGGCGCTCCCCAGGCCCACCCTCATCGGGAGCCCGGGCAGGCAGGGCGCAGCCAGCCCACACTTCCCGCCGGGGGGGGGCCAGGCCTACTGAGAATGGGCGCCGGACCTGGCCAGGGCACGAGGGGCCGCCTGGAGGGAGGTGCTGACCTGCCTGTGGGGCGAGGGCCGCTTCCTGAAGCAGGGGGGGCTGCCCTGCGTGTGGCGTGGGGGTCGGGCGAAATCCCTGCTAGAGGGACCACTGCTCTGGGGTAGACCTGTCCCCCGGAGACGTGTGTGCAGGCTGACACCCCAGCTCCCGGGGGCCCCTGCCCTCCCGAGACCAGCTCCTGCTCTGCACCGGCCAAGCTGGGGGCCGCCATCCCCCAGGAGAAGAGGCTCTGGAGAGCCCAGGGCTGGCGGGGCCGCCGGGCAGGGGTGGGCGTCAGGAGCTGGCCTGTCGTGGGGCGCCCCTGACCATCTGTGCAGATGGGTGGGCAGGGCCGGCTGCCTGTGCGCTGCAGGGATGTTCTAGGTCTTCCATCTGACGGGTGGGCCCTGGGGTGGGGGGGGGAAGGGCCGGTGCCACAGAGAGCACCCCCACCCGGAACTGCGGATGAACTTGAGCATCAACACTCGGGAGGCTCCTGGAAGCCGGCCTAGGTTCCCCCGCTGTCCTTGGGCCGGCCCGAGGCATAGCTGGAGGAGGAGCAGGCAGGACGTGGGCCGTGGCAGCTTCGCTCTATCAAGCCCGCCTGGCCTTGAGGCTCAGCCCCCTCGGGGTGCCCCTCCCCCATGCACTGGGCCCTCAGTGGGATGTTCCCCCCGCCCAGTGGGCTGGCGCCCCAGTGGTCAGTCACAGGAACACTAGGCTGGGCCCCAGAGAGCAGAGAGCAGCTGAGGCCGGCCAGGTAAGCAGCCCAGTGGGGCCTGGAGGCCTGACTTGGCAAGGGCCCTACCGCCCCCCACTAGGCAGCCTCCCCGACAACGTCCAGCAGGTGCCCCCAGGGTTGGCGTCCTGAAGCCGCTTCTGGCTGTGGGGCTGCCCGTGGTGGCCAGGTTGGGCAGCTCCACTGGCTTCTTCCTGCATGTGGCCTGTCCCTCCAGTGCTGCCCGGAGCTCGCTTCCCCGGCAGCGAGACCAAGGCCTGGTGGCCACTCACACGCCCAGGAGGACGGCGCTGAAGTGGGAGCCGCCGCGCACGGTGAGCGAGGAGCCGCTGGCGTTGTCCAGGAAGATGGAGGCGTACTGGCCGGTCTGCAGGCAGGGAGCCAGGGCGTGGCGGCCTCACCCCCAAAGCCGCACCCCTGTCTCCCAGCCCCCTCCCCCCGGGGACGGCTCCCTACAGCCCCTGAGTGGGGAGACCCCCTGCGCAGGGCCCGGTCGGGGCCCCAGGGTGGAGCAGGCTTCTGGGCCTGGGCTAGAAACGCTCCTTCCCCAGCCCTGCCCCGCCTCCGGCAGATACCCTGGCCAGTACTCAGGCCTGGCTGGTCAGCGCTCCCTGGGCACCCCAGAATGCAGAATCTTTCTAAAGACCCAGATGGGCAGCGTGACCTTGGCGTCACACAGCAGGTGATGCCAGGCCTCCAGTGACCGCCGCGGAGCCGGGGGCCAGTTGGCCTGGGAGCCCTGAGCGCTGAGCCCAGCCCCTGGCGGGGAGAGCAGGCAGCGGCGGCACCCCAGCATCGCCAGGTGAGTAGGGGGCTGACGCCGCGCCCAGAGCGGCCGCATGGTCGTGCCACGGAGCGGCGGGGTCCATGCTGCAGGTCAGGGCGCTTCCTAGGAAACCCCACTGTGACCCGAATTTCTCACCACTTGCCCAGTGCCCGCGCGCTGGAGAGGCGGTCACTTAGGGTTTTGTGTAGGAAGCAGTATCCCCCCTCCCCGGCGCCCCGGCCCGCCCCGGCTGAGTCTGAGGGCCGCCCAGCGCCCTCCCCGCCCAGGCGCCCCACACACCTGCAGGTACAGGACGCCGCTGGCCGAGAGGGTGAAGAGCTCGCCGCTGCTCTCCAGGCCCACGGCCGCCTCCAGAGCACTGCCAAGGGCAGGACAGGCTGCGCCCACTGCAGCAGCTCCCCACCCGCTCCCACGCACCCTCGCAGCCCGCGTGGCCCACAGGGTGCCGGGCAAAGCCTGCGGGCCCAGCGCTGGGGGAGCTGAGCGCAGGCCTGTCTGCCGGGAGGGGTCCCGGCCGGCGCGAGGCCCGCGGGGCCGGGCTCGGAGCCTGTTTCCTGCAGGCTGGCGCAGGGCAGCCTGAGGGCGCTCCCCGGGCGGGGGCGGACCGGCGGGCGCGGAGAGCTCCCGAGGCCTCCGAGGGCGCCTGGGGCGGGTCCTCCGGGAAGGGCCGGCCTGGAGCCTGCGGGGCGGGGCGGGGCGCGCCGGTGCCCCCGGGGCCCGGGCAGGACCGCGAGGAGGGGCCGCCGGGGCGCCCGGGGCCGGGGCCGGGGCGGGGCGCACTCACGCGTGGCTCCGGCAGCGGGACTGGATGCAGATGAGCAGGCGCAGGCGGTCCCGGGGGCGCGCGGGGCCCCGGCGGCGGGGCGGCTCCCCGAGCTCTGCGCGGGAGGCGGGGCGCGGTCAGGGCCGGCGCGCGTCGGGCCCCCCCAGCCCGGGCGCGGGCCTCACCCACGTGCAGCGAGGCGGCGAGCGCGTAGAAGCCCGCGACGGGCGCCGAGTAGCGGCCGCTGGTCAGGTCCAGGCCCGGGCCGCGGCGGAAGGCGCCCTGGGCGTCGGGCTGGGGGCCGGGGCGGTCACCGGTCACCGGGGCCGAGCGGTCACGGGGCCCCCGCCCCCCGCCGCCCGCCGCCCGCCGGCCTCACCAGGTAGAAGGCGCCCAGCTCGTGCAGCGCGCGCCGCTCCACCGACGCGTCCCGGCGCAGGCGGCAGAGGAAGGCGGCCTCGACGCGCCGCGGGCCCCCGGGGGCCGGGGGCCGGGGGCCGGGGGGGCCAGCAGCGCCGGCCCGCGCCCCGCCTCGAGGGCCTCCCGGGCGGCGGCCGGGCCCGGGGCGCGCTCGCGCTGCCGCACCGCGCCTGGCACAGAGGAGCCGTGGCCGCGCGCCCCGCCCGCCGCCCCCAGCCCGGCCCAGCGCCCCGTCCTGGGGCCCCGCGCGGGTCGCCGGGACTCTCGGGGCCCAAGCCCAAGGCCGAGCCCCGCGACACCCAGTCCTGCACCAGCGCCCCCGCCCCCCGGCCCCTCCACACGCTCATGGCAGCAGCCCTGGCCCGCGAGCCAGCCTGTCATTTGGGGAAGATCGGCCGTGGCTACGCTGGGCGCAGCCCGGGCCTTCGGGGCGTAGGTGGTGTCAGCACAGTGACCGCGAGGCCGGGGGCGCCCGGGGTCATCACACATTAGCTGAGGTCAGCAGCCCAGGGCCGCCGGCCAGCCGTACCCACCCCCTGCTGTGCCACGCCGGAGGAGGCAGGCGCCGGGGTGGGGGGCACTATGGGGGTGTTGGTGTAACTGGGGTGAGCCTCATCTCCAGGGTGTCCTCATGGCAGTCAGAGGAGCCTTCGGGGAGCTCCTGACTCCCGGCTGGGGCGTGGGTGCTGGTCCTGGAGCTCCTTCTGGACCTCGAGTGGCCAAGTCCACCTTCCCAGTCCACTGCACCCCTCCCAGCCCCAGCCATGGCCCTGGTCGGCTGGGCAGGCCTCCTTGGGCGCTGCGCACTTGGGGGTGTGCCAAGCGGGGGCAGATCCCTACCTTGCAGCAGCAGCTTGAACTCCTTCAGCAGGACCTCCATGGGGATGATGGGGCCCGGGGGCCCGGGGGCCCGGGGGGCCCTGGGGGCCCTGGCAGGCCAAGCTGGACGGGAATCCGCACAGTGAGGACACTTCTGCAGGCAGGCCAGTGCCAGCTGCACCCTCTTTGACTCTTGCACTAAGGTGAGAGGGGCTCCCCTTCACCTCCAGGGGGGAGGCCAGCCGCCAGGGCCTCAGACTCCTCAGATGGACTCTCCTGGGTCTCCAGGGGCCGGAGGTCAGCCCTTGCGGTGAACTCACCCCAACCTCATGCAGAAGGCCCCGCCTTGACCCACCGCTCCCCCCCAGAGGACACGGTGCTTTCTTTGGGCTCGCGGCAAGAGAGCTGTGGGGACCAGGGCCCTGGCCAGGCCCAAGGCTGCAAGTGGTCACCCCACCGCCTCCACGCCCCATGTTCCCTGCCCACTGGGGAGCAGGTCAGTGGCCCACTCAGGCTGCTGCAGGCCCCTGCAGCCTGGCTCCTGAGTGTACTCCCACGCAGTTATGCAGAGGCAAGACAAAGTGGGGAGCAACGGGCTGCCTGGCACTCTAGGGGTGCAGGACAAGTGGAGAGAACAGCCAGCCCCCAAGCTCAGGGCTGCCTGGGCCCCCAGCTTGGCATTTTCTGTGACCTCCGGCCCCCGGCGGAGGGCGAGGGTCTGCGGGAGATGCTCAGGCTATGCAGGGGCGGGGCCTGGCCGGGGCGGGCGCTGAGGCTGGGGCCCAGGGGAGCTTGCAGGTGCAGGCCCTCGCTCAGATCCCCCCAGGCACACGCGAAGGGGGACCCCCCCCCCCGCACACCCCCCCTGCTCTCTGCTCACCTTGAGCTTCTTGGCCCTGCCTCTGCCCGCCGTCTTGCCATTGGCGCCCTTGTTGCTCTGCCTGACGAAGAGCATCCAGGCGTCCCGGGGGTCGACGCGCGCTCGCTGGGCGCTGGGCTCCTGGAACACAGGCCACGGCGGTCACGGCACATGGCCGGCCTCGGCGCCCCCGGCCCCGGCTCTCACACAGGTGTCCTGGCGCTCGGCGGCGAGCCCTGGGAGCGGCTGCACCTGCCGGGAAGGGCCTGGGCAGAGGAAGTGGGGGCGAGGCCGCGGCTGGGCCACCGGGCCTCTCCAACCCGCTGCGCCGGAGCCCCGTGAGCACCCTCCAGGGAGTCACCAGGACCCACAGGGGCTCAGGATTATTGGGGACCCCAGGGCTGCCAGCGGCGTACAGGCCGGCCGGGCACAGAGTTGCCCCAGCTCCGGTCCCTCGTGGGGACTGAGCTGCTCCTCTCAGGGCTCCTAGGAAGCCTGGCCCACGCAAGGGCACTGCCAGTTCCAGAAATGCCCACTCCCCTGCCCGCTCCCCATCCTGCCCCCACCGAGGGCAGTCCCGGGGCACCGTGCGGGCAGAGGCCTCTGGCCCACTGGGCTTGGATTCCTGGGCTCCCGGCCAGGCTGCCAGCGGGAAAGGAGGCTTGGCTGAGGCTGTGGGCGCCGGGGGGCTGCGGGAAGCCTGGAGCTCAGCTCAGCCTGGTGGTCCTGCCCTCCTGGGGGCCCCCAGACACCCGCGGGCCTGGGGCCTCCCCCACCGTGCGCTGTGGGGCAGGGGCGTCCCCTCTGGCAAGAAACTGGGATCCACGGGAGACAGGCCTGCAGTGTCCCGGCCCTGTCCGGGCACCCCCACATCTCCCTGGGCAACGGGCCCTGCTCCCCACTGCCGGGGCCCTGCTCCCCCCCTCCGGCCTCGGCTGCGGGGCGGGGAGAGGCGCTCAGGCCCAGCTGGCGGCGCCCCGCGGGACAGGAGCCCCCCGCCCCGGCCGCCGGCTGGGAGGGCGGCTCGGCGCAGCCCAGGGCAGGCGCGGGGTGGGGGCCCGGGGACCCGAGCAGGGCGCGCGGCGCCTCCCGCCGGCCCCTCACCCCGCGGAGCGACCCCGCGCGCGGGTCCCGTCAGGGCGCCCCGGCCCCAGCGCCCGCCGGCGGAGGCGCCTCGGTCTCTCCAGGGGCGCTGCGGGGGGCGGGGCGGCCGGGCCGCGTCTCCCCGCCCCGGCCCTCCCGTCGGGCGGCGCCTCTCACCGGCGGGCGGGCGGCGGGGCCCGCGGGCAGCGCGTTCCGGGGCGGCGCGCGGGGCTCGGGGGCGGCCGGGCGGGCGGCGGCGGCCAGCAGCCCCGCGCAGGCGAGCAGCAGGCGGGCGCGGGCCATGGGGCGGCGGCGGCGCGGCGGGCGGGCGGCGGGCGGCCCTTATGGGCGCAGAACCCCGCCCCGCGCCCCCTGCCGGCGCGCCCCGCCGCTTGGGGGGGGAGAGGGGCGCGCCCTGCCGCGGGGGGGGGGGGGGCGCGGGGGGAGGGGACGGCCGCGGCAGGGGTGCGAGGGGAGGAGGCGCACGGCCAGGGCGCGGGGAGGGGCCGCGCGGGAGCGCCCCGTCCAGCCCCCCGTCCAGCGCCCCGTCCAGCGCCCCGTCCAGCTCCCGGCCCGCCCCGCCCCGGGCGCCCGCAGCCTCCCTCCTGGCCACACCCGGAGGCGCATCCCGCCCCTTCCCCTGGTCCCTGCCCTGCCCCGCTCTGCCGGCCCCAGGCCCCTCCCCGGGAGCTCCAGGCTCCCCACACGGCCCAGCCAGTGGAGCGGAGCCCCCTCCCTCCCCAGCAGAGCCCGCTGGGAGGTGGGGGTGACAGGGTGTCTGGGGTGCACTGAGCAGGCCCTTCCCCACCCCGGGGCACCTGCAGGCCAGGGCCGGGAGTGCCCCCCACTGAGAAGGTGCCACCGCCCTGCACAGACGGGACCCTCAGGAGGCCACACCTGCCCACCGCCAGGGTCCAGTCCGCCTCTGCCCACCGGGTCGGTGCAGGCGCCGGGCTGGACAGTGTGAGGGGAGCCGAAGGCCCGGCCCCTGGCCCCTCGCGGAAGTGCCAGCTCTCCTCCGGGTGCCGGCCCCCTCCGGCTGGAAGCAGTGGCCCCAGGGGGGCACTTGTGCTTGTCTTTGGGGGGTGAAAAGACTCCTGGAATGCGCTTCCCCAGGGCCCCCGTGCTGAGAGGGGGGCAGCCCTGGTCCTCTCTCTCAGAGGGGCACCACCACCCAAAGGGGGTTCCAGGTCGGGGAGGCACCACCTCCCCCAGCAGGGGCAGTGTGCAGGGCCACCCTCCTGGGAGCTCACTGGCACCCCCTGGTCCCCCGGACCACGCAGGCCCCTCCCAGCAGGGACTGTGGGGAGCTGTGCCCGCACCCACTGAGCCCGGGGCACCCGCTTTTCCTCCAGGAGGCCCAGGGGGGTGCTTATGTCTTCGGGGGAAGTGTTTAAAGACAGATCAGTTGCCTGCAGGGGCAGCGTGTCCACAGCTCACTCGGGGGGTCTTTCCATGGTGAACAGAGCTGGTGCAGAGGAGGGGTCCGGTGGGGAGAGGCCCCCTGAGCGGCAGGCTCTCCCAGCCCCCCGGGAAGCCTGGCGTGAGCGCTGGCCCGCCCGCCTGCCAGCACACCCTCGTGGCCCACACCCTCGTGGCCCACCTCCTGCCTGCAGGAGAGGCGGCGCTGGGGAGCCTGCGGGGGGCTCTGGGCTCTCTGCCCTGGTCCCATGAGCACTGCCGGGAGCCGGGCTCGGGACGGCCCCGTGCGGGTGGGCTCAGGGCTGTCTTCGGCGACCCTTGACCTGTGCGATGCTCCCGCCACTGCTTTCTGCGGGAAGGCGAGCGGCCGGCCACCCTGCGCCTCCCACCTGCGCCTCTGTGGTGGCGCCTCGGGCCGGCACAGCACACAGGCGCCCCCGCGGCTCCTGCGCAGGCTGCGTCCGCGCCCAGAGCTGTGGCGGCCGAGACACTCGGCCCGGCTGGGGCACAGCCAGGCCCTCCCGCCGCCCGAGGTTGCTCCCCGACCCTGGGCTTTCCCGCGTGTGGGACCCTGTGTGGGTGTGGCTGAGGGAAGCCTGGGACACACGTTCACCGGCCACTCTGGAAGGCGGGGGCTTGTCCCCGGATCCCCCCTTGGGTAGGAAGGCCCTGGGGAGTCCTGACGTGGTGGGAGGACAGGGGCTCACGGGCCCTGTCCCTGAGGGTGGCCAGCCCCTCCCCACTCCCGGAGCCTTGAGGACTCCCCTTGGGCTGTAGGGGAGCGGTGGGCCTGGTGGCCTCTCGGCTCCCTGAGGGTGAGGGGCCTGGCCGAGGTTGTGAGCACTGTGCCATGCACGTGCAGGGCTGGAGCCCTGGACAGTCCAGCAGGTCAGGCCCTTGCCTGGCCATCTGGGTGGAGGCCAGATGAGGCTTTGTAGGAGGTACGTCCAGGGCCCGGGCCTCAGCCCTCCGAGCCTGCTTGCTGGCTGGTCCCGGGGGCAGCAGCGGGCAGCCCGTGTCCACGCCTGGAGCCCCGCCCCCAGGTGTGAGCAGACTCGGCCAAGGCCAGGGGCAGGTGGCCGTGGTGCTCACGCCCAGCAGGAGGCCAGGCTGCGGGGCCCCAGGACGGGTGGCGCCTGGACCCTGCCCTCCGGGGCGTGAGCTCCGGGCCTGACCTGCACCCCGGCAGGGGACCTCGGGCTCGGTCACCTTTGGGCACGTGCGTGGACGGAGGGACCCGACTCAGGGACTTGATCCTTGGGGTGTGGGCGTGACATCACCCCCCCTCACCGTGGGTCCTGCCTGCCTGGAGCCCGTGTCGAGGACGGGGCTGTTGCCATGTGAAAGCCGTTATTTTCCCAAACAGCCGACAGCCTGGTGAGGTCATGGGCCGGCCCCGGCACCCGGATCAAATCGTTCCTGGTGCTGCCGAGCGTCCTGGAGCTCTGCCGGGGATGACCTAAGCCTGGCCCTGGCAGGAGGGTACGGACTGGGCTGAGCCGGCAGGTGGGGCTCCCTGCCTGTTTCTGGGTCATATTTCAAAAACATCCTCCACTCAGAAAAGGGGGAGCTGAGCGGAGCGACACCCAGGTGAGGGCCCCCCCGGAACAGGCTGAGAGCGCCGGAGCCCCTCCCCGCAGCTCCCGCCCGGGGACTCAGGAGTGGGGTGGCGGCCGACCTCACGCCCCAGGGTGGAGGGACGATTTGGGGTCACAGCAGGGCCCCCCCACATGCTCCAGGGGCCGCCCCACGTGCCTCCAGCCTGGCTGACATCCGATTCCCGATCCTCGTTCTTGGCCCAAACGGCCGGGCCCTGATGGCTCAAGCTGTTCCCACCCCTCCCTCCAGAGGAGGGGCCTTCCCGGTGAGGTCATGGGAACGAACGCTCCCGGACCCGAAAACAACGGGAGCCCGAGGTCAGCTTGTGTGGCCTCCGCAGCGTGGCCTCCTCTGGCCAGGCCCGCCGGGCTCACGACGTCATCTCATGGCCCGATCCCGGGACCGTGGCCCAGATGAGGACACTGAGGCCGGCGCCTCGGGACGGCCGGGCCACGGAGCACCTGACACAGCCAGGTGCAGCCTCCACGGCTCGGGGTACCCCCAAACTCACTTCAACCCCGCGAACACTAGCTGAGCCCCTGGTGCAGGCCGGGGCAGGGTGGGGGGCCGGGGTTAGGCTGTGACTCTGCGGGTATGACCCGGACGAGGTTCCCCTTTCTATTTGCGCTTCTCGGCAGCCGCCCCCGTTCCTTCCTGCTGGTTGTCTCGTGGTCTCGATGGCGCCATGGCAGGCAAGAGCCCAGGGCCGCCGGTGGGTGGTGCAGGGAGAGGCCCGTGGCTCCTTGCCGCCCTGCTGTCCCGGCGTCTCAGCGCCCCCCAGGCCTGCGGGGGAGGCAGTGCACCTGGCCGAGACCAGCGCCTGGCGGGTGGGGGGGCCTTGTGGGGCTCCCTGGTTCTAACCTCCTTTTTTAGGGGACCAGCCCCAAGCTGTCTCACAAGCCAGGGTTTCCTCAGGGGCTTTGACAGGGAGGAGCACAGACGTCCTGGTGTGAACTCGGGACACTCCCGAGCGCTTGGCCCCATGCCCGCCCGGTGCCCGCCCGCCCTCCGGCCCCTGGGCTGGTGCTGGGGGCATCCATGGGCTCTTTCCCTGATGCTGCTGGGTTGGCCAGCGGGAGGCGCTCTCCGGAGGCTGGGGGCGTCTGCTCCGGCGCGTTGTCCCTGGTGGCCCGGGGACGTGGCACTGCCCCTGTGGAAAGTCTGTAGTCTCTCCCGTGGCCTATTTTCGGGGTGTCTCTTTCCTCCGATAATGGAGAGAACGGTGCCTGCAGGCACCGTTATCTCTGCACGGGCAGCTGGGCTGAGGCGGGGAGGGGCTGTTGGCGTCCACGTTTGGGGAACAGACCCCGGAGTGGATTGCTCCCCCAGCCCGGGAACCGCCCCCTCGTGGCCATGAGGGTCAGCAGAAGGCAGGCCTTATGCCGGCACATGGCCTCCACCGCCCGCCTGTGAGCTAGTTAGAGCATCTGACACGGAGGCCGTAGGTTGAATCAGCACTTGGCCGAGTGCCTTTAAGAATTGTCTAGAAACATCTCACGTTGTCATACAGAAAGAGCCAGGGATCCGGACTCCTCCGCCTGGTTCCCCCCTCTGCCCGCTCCGGGGTCTGTAGGAGCGTCCGGGCAGTACCGGGCAGGAGCTGGCTCCCCAGGCCCACCCTGCGTCCCGGCTCCTGGTGAAAGTGTGGCCAAGGCAGGGTCGCCCCTTCCAGAGGCCCTCGCTGCCCCCAGGTTCACAGCACGGGCCGCGTGCAGGAGCGAGGCAGGGGCACTGAGCTGGCACCGGGGGCTTGCCCTGAGCCCCCCACCCTGAAGCTCCCCATGTGCTGGCAGGATGGTCCTTCGGGCGTCCCCTTGCCCCAAAGCCTCAGGAGACAAGCTGCCGGGACACCCGAGAGCCAGCCAGACATGCTGCAGGAGGCCCGTCTCGAGGTCCTTCTGCCGGGCCTGTCACTCCGGGGGTGCTCGGAAGCAAACTGCCCCCCACCGCTTCCAGGGCCCGTGTGGGTGCTGCCAGGGGGTGACAAGGAGGTGGGAGAGGTGAGCGAGGCCTCCTCTTCTGGCCTGGGAGTAGAGGCCGTGGCCATGGCCGCACAGCTCGGTCAGGCAGGCCGCCGGGCCGTCCGCTCAGTGTGCCCCTGTCGGCCCCCAGCTCCCCCAGCTCAGAGCCCCAGCCCTCCGCCGCCCGCGCCGGTGCATGGGGCCGAGGCAGGAAGGCGGTGTCTCCTGCGTGCTCCCTCCCCGGAGGCTGCCGCGGGGGCAGGAGTGCACCGGGGTCCCAGCCCTTTGTACCCCTCGGCTCAGAGTTTGGTGAGAAGCTGTGACGGAGCGTCCTGGGGTGTCCCTGCTGCAGGGCCCGTCGTGCCCCAGGGGCCAGCGGCGCTGAGTGGACGGGCAAGAATACAAGGGGGCCATCATCCGGGTCGGACGCCCATGCTCAGTGCTCCTGCGCGGGCCCGAAGGGCTGGGTCCACTTGGACACGTCCAGGAAGATGGTGGAGGCCCCGTGGTAGAGCCAGAGGCGGGGCAGGGGGCCGTGGCGCACCCAGGCGTTGCGGCTGCGGTCATAGGCCTCCATCTCCACGCGGTAGTCGCCCTCCATGCCCTGCCAGCGGCCCCCTGTCACGAACAGCGCACCGCCCAGGGGCACCAGCGCCCCGTTCTCATGCAGGCTGTGCAGGGGCTGCACCTGCGGGCGAGGTCCAATGAGGGCCGAGTGGCTGAGGCCTGCCCGCACCCTCCAGGGTCCCTCAGGCACCCCCTCTTGTGGGGTGTCCCTGCGGCCCCCTCTCCAGCTGCCCCTGGTGTCCAGGCCCTCTTGCTTTCCGAGGCCCAGATGTGCCCCGATCTGACGCTGGGAGTCACGATGGGTGGGCGAGGCTGGCTGGGCCTCCGTTCATGGGGCTGTCTTGGAGGGGCAGATGTGACCCCAGCCCTGATGCACGCACACGAGGGGCCGCTTGTCCCATGAGCCCCTCACCCTTCCCCGCACCCCTCTCCTGGGCCCACTGCCTGGGAGCCCGCCAGGGGGCCACAGAGTTAGGGTAGGAGCTTCCCAGGGGCCAGAGGGGGCGTGTGTGTCTGGAAGAGCCTGTGACCGGCAGGTGAGGTGGCGGCAGGCGCCCGCCCGCAGGCCTGGAGGGGCCCAGAGGAGTCTCATTGGCTGGGACCCCCACAAGCTGGGGGACCCCACTCATAACCATGACCTGAGCTTGGGAAAGCCCCCAAAGCAAGCTGGCTTGGCGGGGTGCAGCCTGCACCTGTTTGCGGCCGTCCCGGGCCTCCGGTCAGCTGAGTGCTGACGCAGGGGACAGCTGTGGCGGCGGGTGGCCCAGGCCCTGCCCCCCAAGCTGGCGGGTGGGGCCTCGCGGGGGCTGCGGTACCAGCACCCGCCCCCAGGGACCCAGCGTCTCGGGCAGGTGGGCGTCGGGTGGGGAAGGGAGTGGCTGGCGGGTGCTGCCAGGAAACGGGGCACCCAGGGACCCTGGTCCCGCTTGACCACTCCTGGGGACGGGAGACTCACTCCCTTTGGGCCTGGCTGGCCAGGGGGGAAGTGCCGGCGTCGCGCTCACGCCGTCCCTGATGCACCCTGGCCGCGGGGGCCGGCACCCCGGTGTCCCGCAGCCGCTTGTCCGAGTCCCAGGGGCCTGCCCGGCTGAGCACCGCCCTCCCTCCCTGCCCCCCGCCAGCGCCCCGCAGCGGCCCAGGCTGCCCCGCAGAGCCGGGTGGGCTCACCTTCTGCCACAGGTTGGCGGCCGGGTCGTACACGTAGACCTTCTTGGTGTTGTCGCCCACCAGGTACAGGGCGCCCTGCAGCGCGGCGCAGCGCGGGGACGACAGGTACTTGGGGAGGAAGGGCGAGGCGATGACGCTCCAGGCATCTGCGGGGCACGGGCACTCACTGGGGGCGGCGCCCGGGGGGGCGAGCCGGGGGGCCTCCCCGGAGCTCCTCGTCCCCCGCCTGCCCTCCCCCGCCGGGCCGGCTCCTGCAGGTGTGGCCCGTGCCCCCCCGGCCCGTCTGGGCTGGGACAGGGCTGTGCCTCCCTGCCCCCCGCTCCGCCTGGCCGGGGCGCCCCCCGGCTCTCCCTTGGGAGGACTGTAGCCAGCAGAGGGGCCTGGGGTCCCCTGTCCCTGGTTCCCTCCAAGCCCCGGCCCTGTTGGCACTTGAGCACAGCAGGCAGGAACCTGCGACCTCTGACCCCCACTCCTGCTCCCCGGGCCCCCCGCTTGCGCTGGGCAGGAAGCACCGCGGGGCCTCGCCTGGGCCGGGCCTCACCTGTGCCGGGGTGGTAGCACTGCAGGGCCAGCGCGTTGTACTTGCAGGCGCTGGAGCCCACGAGGTAGAGCCTGCCGCTGCAGCCGGCGGCCGAGAAGTTGCTGACGTACTTGAGGGCCGGGCTGGCCGGCGTCCAGGCGTCCGTGTAGGGGTCGTAGCGCTCCACCTCCACCACGTCCAGGGTGGTGCCTGCGGGCAGCAGGGCGGGGGTCGGGGTGGCCGGGAGGGCCAGAGCACCCAGGGGGCAGGTGAGTCACCTGAGGCATGAACTGGGGTGGGCCCCTGGAAAGGACCTGGTGGGAGCCCCAGCGGGGGCTGGGCCTGGGGGGGTCAGCCCAGCCCAGGGGTCGTGCAGGCACGTGCCACCCCAGCAGTCAGAGGCGCCGGCGGTGTGGGCCTGCCCCGGGGCAGACACGCTGGGTCCAGGCAGTCGGGGCTGGTCCTTGGGACGCCCCCGCCGCACGCATGTCCGCCCTCCAGCCATCAGCACCCGGCCACTCCGGGGAGCCCTGCGGGGGCCGGGGGGCCCAACCTGGGCTGGGTAGGCTCGCAGGGGCCCGCGGGGGTCATCTCACCCCGGGGTCTCGACCCTGGCGGAGGGCGGGCCCCAGGGTCTGGGCAGGTGGGCCCAGCGCCTCCAAGGCCCCTGCCGGGTCCTGTTTGCTCCGGAGCCTGGGAACAGCCTGGCGTCCCCCAGAACGGCCAGGCGGGCGGCCCAGGGCAAGCATCCGGCGTGTAGCCCGCGGGGCACCCTGGTCTGGGGCTCGTTCACCCCAGACGTGCCCTCTCGAGGGCCGGAGTGGGCGGCCGCCCCTCGAGGTCCCGGCCGGCCGGCGGCTCTCTGGTCCGGGTGAGGACTGGGGCTCCCGGGCCACTAGCAGGGAGAGCCGGGGGGGGCCTCACCGCCGACGGCGTAGATCTCCCCGTTGAGCGCCGCGCTGGCGTGGTTGGTGCGCGCCTTGAGCATGGGGGCCACGGGCCTCCAGGCCGCCTCCTTCAGCGGGAAGCACCAGGCTTGGGTGGTCGACCAGGTGTCCGTCTTGGAGCCCCGAGAGCCTCCTGCCGGGAGGGTGTGTCTGCTTGGCGCCCCCAGCCTGGGTGTCCGGGCCAGAGGGGTCCGGGCACCTGGGGCCCCGCGTCCTCTCCCCCAGGACCCCGGGTCCCCCCACCCCTGCCCCGCGTCCTCCTCCCGGGGCCCCATGTCCTCCCCAGGCCCTGCTCCCTCCCCCCACCCCCGGGTCTGGTCCCCCCTCCCTGTGCCGGTCACCGTTGCCAGAGGTGGGGGCACCGTGTGAAGTGGGGCATCCCTCATGTGCCACCATCGAGGGCGACAGGGCCAGCGGCTTTAAACCCCCACCAGTGGGTGTTTGTGCCAATTCATACAAGGACCCCAACTTCTAAGCCATAAAAGCACCACGTAACCCCACGACACAGCTCCCCCGGGGAGACCCAGGCTGGGGAGCCGGGCAGGGCCGGGCCGGGCGTCCACGGAGCGGGGACTCGGGCGGCTCTGCCGGGACGGGAATGCCCTCGTCACCACATCAGTGCTCTGGAAGTCTCGGCCACGCTGCTGGGGCTCTGCGAGGGCGCGCCCCGGCTGCCCACCTGTGACGTAGACGACGTTGTTCAGGGCCGCCAGGGAGAAGCCCCACTTGTGGTAGTCGGGGAAGTCGGGGAGCGCCATCCACTTCTCTGGGGAGAGAGCAGGGTGAGGGCCCCTGCACCCCATGGCCACAGAGATGTCCCCTCGCTGGCAGGAGGGTGAAGGGGCAACTGCTGGCTGCGGGGGTGGGGCGGCCCTGGTGGGCAGGGTGTCGGGGCCCTGGAGCACCCCCACAGCTATCAGGCCAAGCTCTGGGGCCACCTCCCCCCCAGGCTCCAGAGGCCAGCCTCACCGTGAGCGGCCACTGACCCACTGACCCTGAGTGTCTGTTTGGTCAGGTCCCACCGGGCAGGTGCGACCTGGGCAGGGGCTGGACAGGGGCCTGGTCTGCTGTCACTGGCGGGCACACGGGCATCACTGGCTCAGTCCTCAGTCATCCACGGCCCCCTGGTCCAGGCACCCGGGCCACGCGCCACGAGTGGGGAGCGGGCCGGCATGGCCCCCGCAGGCGGCATGGTCAGAGCACGCCCTATGCGCCAGCTGCATGCCTCGCACTGACTCCAGCCTCGGCTTCCCGTCTGTAGAGTCGGGGCAGCGCGGGGTGATAAGGACGCACGGGCACGCAGCTGCTCAGCCACGAGGCCACGGGCTCACTGTCACTATTTCGAGGTTAGTGAGCCCAGGGAGGACCTGTCATCATGGAGGCCGGGAGGTAAACTGAGGCAAGAATAGGGAAGCTCCTGGAAGGATCACCAGGAGACCACCAGCGTGGGGATGTTCATGTACCCCCATGTTTGGGTTCGTGGGGCTGTGGGGAGCCCCAGCCTTGGGCGTGCCAGGAGCTTGAGGGCAGGCAGGTTCCGGGCCTGCTGGCCACCTGCCGCGCCAGGGACGGCTTGTCCCCCTGACTCATGTCTGTGTCACCCAGGGGGGTTGCCCACCAGCCACTCGCTGCCAGCTTCCCCGCCACCCTCCCCGCGGGTCCGAGAGACAGCTGCTCCGGGCGGAGCTCCGCTCATCTGACGTCAGCCTCCAAATCCCCCCTCGTCACCCCTGACCCAGGACAGGCAGCCCCGACCTCCTCGGGCCTCCAGCACTGACGCACGGTGGGCGCGACCTGGCAGGCCCGGCGCCCGGCCAGCCTGAGCTGCTTCCCAAAGGCGCCGGGGCAGGCGGCCCACAAAGCCCGCGCAGGGCCCTCCTCCCTGACGGGGGCAGGACGCAGCAGGAGACCGTGTCCCAGCAGCGACCAGCTGGCCCGGCACGGCTGTGAGGAGCCCCCCGGGCTGGCCCAGGGCCTGAGCGCTCACCCAGCTGCCGCACCCCAGCCTCTGCTCTCGGGGGCCACGCAAGGGCGGGGCTCTCCACGAGGAAGCAGCCCCGGCCCACAGGGGCCAACAGCCAACCCCGCAAAGGCTCGGGCAGCGGGGCCCTGGAAATCGGGTACTGTGGCTTTGGGGTTGCAATGCTCCCCACCATCAGCCTCCCCTCCCCCGTGTGCCCCCCAGTTCCCTGTACCCCTGGCGACCCAGCACACGGCGCGGGGGGCTCGGGTGGGCCCTGTTCCTGCCACCCCCACTGGGTGGGCACTGGCGGCCCCGTGGGGCAGGCCCAGGTACTCACTGGCCTGGGCGTGGTAGAAGGCGAAGTTGCTGGGCAGGGGGGCGGGCGCCTCCGTGCCCTCCTCATCCTCCTCCAGCGCCCGCCCGCCCACCACCACCAGGACCTCCTCCAGCTTCCGCGGCAGGGCCGGCAGGGCCTGTGGGCAGAGGCCGGGCTCAGAGCAGGGGCTGGTGTCCAGCCGGGTGTGGGCAGCCTCGGGTGGTCTGAGGCAGGTGGGGGCTGGATGTTTGGGGCCAGCTTGGGTTCATGAGAGTGCCATGTGCTGGAGTGTGCCATGTGCTGGAGTGTGTCCGTGTGCACATGTGTGTCCCTGTGTGTGCCCGTGTGTAGCTGGGCACACACACCCACCATGGTCGCCGTGGGACCACTGACGGCGGCAAAGCTCAGAAAGGGGAGGTGGGACAGCAGGCCACTGTGCACCCCAAGTGTGAGAGCTGGTCCCCTCTCAGCTGCCACCACACACCTTTCAGAGACAGTCCTGCACCCACCTTCCTGGAATGGCCCCCTGGTGGTCTCCCCAATTCCGCATAAGCTTCCCCCAGCCCCTTGCACACTGCTCTTCCCTGGGCCAGCAGGGAGCGCCCCAACTAGGCTGGCCCCGCTGTGGTGGAAGGGCTGGGTGGGTCCCCTGTGGTCAGTAAGTAGAGCTCGGCCTGCCCCGGCCCCAGCAGCTGGCAGGGCCCAGCAGAGCCCAGGGGTGCTGGGTCAGCAGTTTGCCGCCACACACCACCCGCCCGAGCCAGGCCAGTGCCCCCTGGGCTGGCTCCAGGCGTCCTCGGGAGCAAGGCCAAGCGGGCATCGGGCCGCAGACAGGCTCCCGTTCCAGCCACGGCCGCTGTCACTCCATCAGTCCCCGGCCACTGCTGTCCAAGCGCCTGTCCCTGCCCCCCCGCAGCCACCCAGTGCCCTGCGTGGTGCCCGGCCCAGGCTGGCCTTTCTCACGTGGGCTCAGGTCGCTCTCAGGCTGGTGCCTCTGAGCTGTGGGCTCCTGTGGGGCTGGGGGGGTGTCGGGACCTGCAGGCTTGGGTCCTCTTTGCCCTGGCCAGGGAGGGCGGCACCGCGGGGTGCACAGCGGGGCCCTTGCACATCCCTCACGCAGAACAGGTGAACCCGCAGGTGGGGCACCACGGCCTGTGCCCGTTCGGGGTGCCCCGCTCCCTGCCCTTGCTCACCCCGTCACGGCCCTGGGACAGGGCCTCCCGACACGCCTCTGACTCTCGTATCAGCGGCTCCGTGGCCAGTAGCTGCTGCACGCAGGGCTGGGGCACGGCGTCCAGGCGCACGAGGCTGAGCAGCTCGGGCAGGTGGGTGGCCCGGGCTGGGGGGTCGTGGCGCACCCAGCGCAGCAGCGCCTCCAAACGGCTCTGCTCCGGCCGCGCCTGCAGCAGGTCGCTGGCCAAGCAGGTGGCCAGCCGGTCCTGGGACAGCTGCAGGAACTCGTCCTCACGTGCCACAGCCTCGAAGTTCTCCCGCAGGAAGGCCCAGGCCTTGGCCGCCACGCCCAGCAGCCCCTGCTGCTCCCCGAACTCACAGATGCCCAGGCAGTTGGAGGCGTCCAGCTGCTGCTGCAGGTAGCGGCCGCACACCTGCTGCACGGCCGGGAAGTTCAGGCGCGCGGCCGTGCGGGTCAGCGCCTCCACGTTGCCCTGCGTGACCGTCAGCCGGCCCGTGTACACAAAGTCCACCAGCTGCGCCACCACACCGGGCTCCACGCCCTGCAGCTCCACGCGTGCAGCGACACTCTCGGCGAAGTCGCCGGCGAACATGGCCCGGAAGTAGGGGCTGCTCAGCGCCAGGAGGCTGCGGTGGCAGGGCAGCTCCCGGCCGCCCACCAGCAGGGTGACGTCGGTCAGCTTGGGCTGCGTGCGCAACCGCTGCAGCCCGTCCAGCATGTCCTGCGCGTGCGACGGCAGGTGGAAGTCCAGGTCCTCCACGTTGCGCACCATGGCCGTTGTGCCGCCGCCTCCGTGCCCGCTGCTCTGGGGAGGACAGTCACCCACGGGCTCCTGAGAGAGACGAGAGCAGGGGCAGCAGGGGCTTCCCATCAGCCCAAGGTGCTCCGGGGCCGCGGTCAGGGCTGGGAGAAGCCATCCTGCCCCCCTCAGCAACTCTGGACAACACAGAACAGACCCCAGAACAGGGGTCCCCGTGGCTTCCTCTGCCCCCACGACAACATCGCCAGGGAGGGTCCCAGAGCCGCTCCTGCCCTCTGCCCCTCACTGTCCTGGGTTACAGCGACCTTGGGGAAGCCGTGCCCCTCTCTGGTGCCCCTTTCCTCATCTGCTGACAGAGAGGCAGGCGTGAAAGGGACTGTGCAACCTTGGCCCAGGCAGCAGCTGCCCGCCTCTGTGCTCCCTCTGTGCAGCCAGAGCTCCCTCTGTGCAGGCTAGTGCTCCCTCTGTGCAGCTGATGCTCGCTCTGTGCAGCCAGTGCTCCCTCTGTGCAGCCCAGTGCTCCCTCTGTGCGGCCGCCTCGCCCCCAGACAGCACCTGCCTCAGCCCTGTGCTGGGAGGTGGGTGCTGTTAATGTCCCTTTTACAGGTGGGACACTGAGGCTCAAAAGACCTCTGTCATGCGTCCAAGGTCACAGCGAGGACATGGGGAGTCGTGCTGCGAGCCCCGTGTGACGCCCCTGGTGTAATTCTGCGTTCCAAGCCCCCTCCTTTGGGTTCGGCTAACCTGCTTGGGTCTGGGCTGCATGCACCCTGACCTGTGCTAAACGCCCCCGAGAGAGCCAGCTCTGCCAGGGGATCACTGCTATTGCCAGAGCAAAAGGCCACACCCCAGAAAACGACACCAAGGGGTGCTCACGGGGCCCTCAGCGGGACGGGAAGGAGCCAGCGTGCCCGTGGGGGCAAAATCCTGGGAAAACAGCGCCTGGAGGTGCCAAGGCCCCATAATGCGGGTGCCGGGGTGGGGACTTGCTGAACTGGGGTGTCAGTGCCCATGGGGGCTTGGGCCCCTCGACCCCCCATGTCCAGCTCCATCCTACAGAGCTGGGGCTGCCGAAGAAGTCCACTTAGGCCCAAGGATCTGCTCGCGCACGGACAGGACATTCGGGGGGCCCGCCAGCGTCCGTCTTGCCTGGCTCTGTCCAGGGGCGCTGTGACCAGGGTGGGGGTGCCAGTGCCTCCGAGGGAAGGTGGGGCTGGGGGAGGAGAGGGGTCGGGGCAGCCACCCAGGCTTGGGTTCTGGTCTTGGCTGTGGCTCTTTGGCCAGCTGCCGCGTGCCTGGCCACCGCCTGAGGGGCCTTCCCGTCTGCTGCCGCTGCCGCTCTGCAGCCCGCACCGGCGGGGGCTTCCGGCCGGGGTGGGGGGCACAGGGCTGGAAGGGAAGGACAGCAAAGGACCTGAACCCAACTCCGGCCGCCGGACGCTGTGGCCTCGCTGCGGTCAGATGCGCGGTCCTGCCTCCCCCCACCGTCCAGCAGGAGACCAGCAGTCCTCTCGGCCCCCACCTCACCTCGAGGGCCTGACGTGGCCTGCATGGACGCCTCTGGCCACGTCACCCAGGCTGTGCTCTCTGCTGGCCGGGCTGTCCCTCTGCGACCCGCTCCTCTCCGCCCTGGTGCCCACCCCACCCCCGAGCCCTGTCCGGAGCCCCCGGATCCTACCTCTCCGTCGACCCCTGGACCCATCTGAGGACACGGGCCGGAGCACAGGACTGGCGTTGGCAAGGGGGCTGGAGGCCTGTGGGCTGTGTCGGGCGGGGCTGGCGGCCACGCGCTCGGGGTATTTTTAGCCTGCGTCTGCCCGGGGGGGGGGGGGGGGGGCGGGGGCGGGGGAGGCCGGGGCGGGCCTCCTCCCGGCCAGGAGCTCCAGAGCCCACGCCCGCCGGGCACCGGGCTGGGAAGGCCGAGGCTTGCGGGGCTGTGGGCCAGGGGCCGACAGCAGGAACATTCTGGGGTGAACTTGTGCCGAACCCCACCCTGGGTCCTGGACTGGCTGGGGAGGGGCGCACAGCTCCCCCAGTTCTGTCCTAGTTTGCCAGCAGGATTCAGGGGACCTGCTGGGTCCTGCTCAGGACGGCAGGTGCGGCCTCCCCTGGGGACTGGCCCTTCCACCTGCTGTCAGGACGGCCAGCAGGGCCTCGCAACTTGGGGTCCGGGGTAGAGAACTCCGTGAGGCAGGGAGAAGAAGGCCCCCGGAGCGCCCCTGGGCTGGGGACAGGCACACGGGGTCACACACACTCGTGGTCGTGAGAGCCAAGCAGGCCAGACGTAGGTCCCAGGCTCCCGGGTGCTGGGGGGGGGTCCCTCCCTCCTGAGGCTCTGACGGCCCCCGGAGGCAACCCTCACTCCCTAAATTCGGGAACTTTCTCAAGGCCTCTGGATGCCAGGGCAGACGTCACCTGCCCGACAGCACGGCAGCTGCCCCATTGACGGCGGGGGCTGGCCAAGGGCAGGGCGCATCAGCAGCACCCGGCCCGGCCTCGCTCCCAAGGGTGCCGTCCTGCATGACTCGCCAGGTTGCCCGATTCCACATGGCCCCCGGCCCATTGCAGTCCACTTCGCTCAGCCCAGTCCAGCCCAGGCTAACCCAACCCGGCTGCCCCACCCAGCCCAGGCCCTCCCCTGGCAGTGCCAGGATCCCACAGCTTGGGCCACGGCTTCCCACGGGTGGGTGAGGGCGGGGACCCTCCCCATCTCCCCAGTCTCGCTGTCTCCAGGCCCACAGCAGGGAGAGTGCCGGGGGGAACCAAGGCATGCTTTCTTGTGAGCACGCGTGCACACACACGCATGCACACGCACACGCACGCACAGGAAGGGCGATGCTCCCTCCACCGGCTGGAGGGGTGGGCAGCCTGAGCCGAGCCGCGGTCAGGGGCCGCCCTGCTGGCCGTCTGGGGACACGGCATAGAGACTAGGCCTTGGGCCGGGCAGCCTGGGACACTGGACCCCAGGGTCAGGGCTGACCCTCACGTCAGGCCATGGGTCTCCGGCAGCGCCTGCTCTTCGGGTGAGGACGGCGTGTGCGTTGGTCATGGCACGTCTGGGAGACCCGGATCGCCGTGAGGGAGGAGTCCAGCAGCGGGGGCCGCCCACGCGCACCCGGGCCCTCCGCCACCTGCCCACGCCCAAGGGCGCCCGCGGGCCCTGCTGGCCCCGGCCTGGCCCGAGCTCGTCTGCGCGGTCGTCTCTGGCCAGATCTCAAATCCCGCCCCCTGGGCCGTCACCCCTTAGGCCTGGGAAGTGGTACCCGCCCCGTCAGCGGGCACGCGGGCCCTGAGCCACCCGACGATGGCTGCATGATGGGCACCTCGGTGCTGTGGGCCCCCGCCTTGCAGCGGCTGTCCCCGTGGTCCCCAGAGTGCGCCTGGGGACGGCCTCTCCCGTGGAGACGCGCGTGGCCTGGGGACGGCCACTCCCCACTCCGCGCTCCGCCCGCGCCATCTCTGACTTCATCTGGGTCAATTTGGGGTCCGGGGACCATAAGGTCTTTTATTTACAAGCTGGTTCTCAGGACAAACATTGACGCCCCTTTGCGGTATCATCTCCACCTCGGGCCATGTTCCCCTCCGCCCGCCGCCTCCCCTCCGCCTGGAGCCGGCAGCGCTCCTGGGCCGGCTCCCCCCGCACTCCGTGCCCCAAGGCCCCAGGACCGAGCCCACCCCGGCCCCTCCCCATGCCCCTGGGGGGTCGGGCCGGCATGGCACCCCATTCTGCGGTCAGGGTGGAAGCTGACCTCAGGCGGGTGCGTGGTGCTGAGACGAGGACCCCCCATGCCCTCACGCGGGGTGCCTGGGGGCCCAGCCTGGCAGGGCCGGCCAGGAGCAGAGACTATTTAGCAAACTCAAATCCAGCATCCAGGGTGGGGCCCAGGGGCCTGGGGCTCCCGCCCCTGTGACCCTCCTTGTGGGACCCCGAGTTGGCGGGGGGGGGCCCTGTTCCAGCCACGGGCCTCCCGGCAGAGATGGAGCTGACAGGCGCAGGGCCCCGGGCTCAGGCCCACGTCCGGGTGGTGGCCCCCAGCGGCCGCGGGGCCGTCGCATTCTGCCCCCCGACCCCCTGCAGCATCTGAGCCCTTGGGGCACTGTGTCCTCTGCCCCTCGCCTCGGGCGGTGCTGCGCCTGGCTGTGATCTCCCCCTTGGTGCGCGCCCCCTCTGGCCTGGCCACTGCCTTTGAGGGTGAGGTGCTGCCTCCCTGAGGACCCCCTTGAGCTGCCTCTCCAGCAACGTTCCGCACGCCCTGCTCGCACAGGCCTGCAGGGGCCTCGGGCGTGTGTCCTGGCAGGCGGTCCGTGGACTGGTGCCCGCTGGCCCCTGCCTTTCAGGGACCAGGACCTCGGCGGCACTAGCAGGACACGGCAGCAGGACACGGGACCGCCGGGCGGGCGGCTGCGCTGGGATCGGGACGGCCTGCCCGGAGGCCCCGTGCCGCAGAAGCCTGTTCCCTCCAATCCCGCCTCGTCCCGCTTCAGAGGGAGCCGTCTGGGCGGTGAAGCGAAGGCCCAAGGTCCCTGAAGGAGCAGAGGCGGGGTCAGTGAGGTTCAGACGGAGGCGCTGGACACGGTCAGGGTCAGCAGGACCCGAGGGACCAGGGAAGTCGGTGCTCCGCAGGGGGCGGGGCCAGGACGGCGCGCTGCCCGACGGCAGGGCCAGGTGAGAGGCGGAGAGGGCTTTGCGAGGGCTCTGAAGGGGCGTCCCACGGAGGGTCGCGGCAGAAGGGGCCGGCCCTGGCGCTCACCTCCAGCAGGAGAGGGAGAGAGGAGAGACGGCCAGAGCCCAGCCCGAGCCCCGGCCCACGCCCCGCGCCCGCCTCACTCTCCCGAGCTGAACATCTCGGCTTCTTTCTCCTTCCAGAAGGCGAAGCTCCGGTCGATGTAGCCACAGATGTCCTCGCTGTTGAAGCTGCCGGGCGGGGAGCTGGACCCCAGCCGCAGGGCGGGGGGCTCGGGGCCGCTGCCGGGGCCGGTGGTGTGGGCCGGGGGCCCGGGCAGGGTCAGGCCTGGCTTGCGGCCGGGCTCCGTGTCCCAGGCGGGACCACGGCTAGCGCCGAAGAAGCGGGCTTTGATGTCCTCGAAGCCGTCAGACCAGGAGCGGCGGCCGGCGGCCACCTCGTCGGTCACCGCCTTGTGGAAGGCCCGCGCGGCCTCCCAGCCGTGGGCGCCCAGGTGCTCGAAGACCTCGAAGCACAGCAGGTGGCGCGTCCGGCGCTCCTCGGCCGGCAGGTCGCACTCCAGGAGCTGGAAGTAGCCCAGCATGAAGAGGCCCAGCGAGAGGCTGCCGTAGGGTGCAGGCGCCCCGTCCACACGGGGCAAGAACTGCTCCGGGGAGAGCAGGCCGGGGGGGCGGCGGTTCAGCCGCTGCAGCCGCCGGGCCGGCACGCGGGCCATGACAGCCTTCCAGCTGCCCAGCAGGTGCGCGATGACGCTGTGCTGCTGCCACAGGTGGCCCAGCCCCGGGCCCCCGGCAGGCTCCTGGCCATGCGGGCCTGCCCGGTGGGCCGCCAGGGTCCTGCAGGCCGCCGTCCAGAGGGCCGGGGCGTAGGCCGCCCTCTTCCAGTGGCTGAGGAAGAGTGTGACGGCCCGCTCCTTGCGTGGGCTGGCCAGGTCGGGGCCTGGGCCTGCCTCGGACGGGACCTCCTCGAAGCTGATGCCCAAGTCGCTGGCCTCCTCCGCGTGGCCCAGCCCAGGGTCCCCTCCGACGGGGTTTCCACGGGGCTGCGGAGGGGCCAGGCAGCATCCTCTCGGGTACTGCCCGGGCCGGGCCCCCAGCACACAGGAGCCGGGGGCACAGGACAAGCAGGGGGCGGACTCGAAGTTGCCACGCAGCGTCTGCACGGACACCCCACACTCCTGGATCTCACGCTGGGCCGTGCTCCCCGGGGGCCCGGCGGGGGCCTCCCTGGAGGCCTCTTGGGGGACCCGGGCGGCCGGCTCATCTGTGCCCTGCACCAGCCCGTTCATGGCCTTGAGCAGCAGGCTCAGGCTGCGCACCAGCCGGGCCGTGTGGCTGCACCAGAAGGGCAGGGGCTGCCCACCGGGGGCGGACTGTGGGGCCCCCTCGGAGCCCTGGGGTGTGGCTGTGGGGGCCTCCAGCCCCCCCAGCGCAGGCGCCTGGGGCAGGAAGTGGCTGTTGACAGTGATACTGACGAGGGGCGCGGGCAGCAGGGCCTGCAGCTCGGCCGCCAGCCGGCCCAGCTCGCTCTCATACTCCTGGCAGCGGCGCCGCAGCTGCAGCTCCCCGATCTGCCTCTCCAGGTGCTCCAGGTCGTCCTCGGTCAGCAGCTCCCCGAAGGGGCCCAGGATGGCCTGGTGGGTCTGTGAGTAGCGCCAGGCCGCCTGCTCCGCGGGGCCCGCGCCCACGCTGCCATCCTGGGTGCAGGGAGGGCGGTCAGTGGGGTCAGGCAGGACCCCATTGGACACACTCCCTGCAGGGGCTGGGACCCCAGTGCAGGCCCTGACGCAGCTGGCTCTGGCCTAGCTTGGGCGCTGGCCTGCCCAACCCGCAGCCAGAGAGCAAGACGGCTTCCCTGCCCCCTCAGAGACGGCCCAGGGGGCGCCCTCAAAAGAGCAGGTGCCCTGCTCTGCCACCTACCCACCACGTCCTCCTAACCACCCCTCATGGCCTCAGTGTTGCACCCCAAGGCTCCTCTCCTGAGGGCCCTCCTAGCAACCCCCAGCACGTTCTGTGCTGGGCGGTGGCTTCTCCCAACCCACCCCCCAGCCTTCTCTGGAACACAATATAGCCGGTGCTTGCACACTGAGGGGGGCAGCCATGGAGGGGCCTAGCTGGGCTCCTGTGGGGGGCTCTGGGCCAACTTGCTTACCCTCCAGCTCCCCAAGGGAGTGCTGTGTCCACCCCTTCTTGGGCTGGGACTGTGCCTGGCTGCCAGGTTCGGCGCAGCCCCGCCTCTGTGGTGCCAGGGGCGTCCTGACATCACGAGTTCCCATTTCCTGGCCCAGCACGTGGGGAGCAACGGCTGGCCGGTCAGGGTCTGGCCAGTGGGGCTTAGGCCTGACCAGGCGTGTCCAGCCTACCCCAGCTGGCCCCCGCAGCCTTCCTGGCTCTCCACAAGCGCTGGCTCTGCTCCTAGGTGGGCTCTTAAGGGCTTCTGGCTGAGGCAGAAGTCCCCACCCTGCTCGGCCCTCAGCCCACACGTGGGACAGGCTGGACCCCAGAGCAGTGCTGTCCATCGCTCCGTGGCGATGGGGTGGTGTGCACTGGTGTGATGGGGCAGCAGGCCCTGGCTGTCCCTTAGCCACAGACACACGGGGCGGCACTGTCTGGCAGGCGGCTCCCGAGCAAGGTGCAGATAGCCGCGTCCTCCAGGCTGGGTCTAAGACTGCGGCCCGCAAGTGGCCAGAGGGCCTGTTCGAATCCAAGTGGTGCCACAGCCCTTTCCACCCGGCGCTCACGGGCGTTCCCTGCTTCTCTGGCCCGCCTCGGCCCGACGCCCCCTTCACCGGGCTGCAGCCCTGCGCCTCCTCCTGGGCCGGCGCCTCCCGCCCCAGGGCCTTTGCACTTGCTGCTCCCTCTGCTCAGAGCGCGCTTGTCCCAGGGCCACAGGGCTGGGCGCCCACGGCCGCCTGGCCCGGCTCAGAGCCCAGGACCGAGCCCTCGGCCCAACTGACGCCCCCAGCGCTGCTGCTCCCGGCGCGGACCCCCGCCCAGCGCAGCGGCCGTTCACCCCCTCCCGGAGCGCGGGCGCCAGAGGGCGGGGCTGCCCCGCCGCCCGGACCAGGGCCACGCGGGGCCGGGGCGCACGGCTCATGCAAGAAAGTGGGAGCCCCCTCTCCACGGGGGGGGGGCGCGGCGCCCGGACCTCGCTCTAGCTGACCCCGTTGTCTGACAGGAAAGGAAACTGAGGCCCCAGAGGCTGGGCAGTGGGTCCCCGGGGACCCCAGAGGAGGGCTCAAGGCCCCCACTTCCCACGCCCACCGCTCAGGACAAAGGCTTCGGCTTGGCCTTGGCCCCTGGGCCCGCCCCCGCCCTGGGCCCGCCCCCGCCCTGGGCCCCGCCCTTTTCCCGCCCCTCGCCCACGCCCCGCCCCCCGCCTCCACGCCCGCCCCCGCCCCACGCCCCGCCCCTCGCCCCCATGCCCAGCCCCTCGCCTCCACGCCCCGCCCCCGGCCCACCCCGCCCCTCGCCCCACGCCACGCCCCACGCCACGCCCACTCCCCCAACCCTCGCCCTATGCCCCGCCCCTCGCCTCCACTCCCCGCCCTCGCCCCGCCCCACGCCCCTTGCCCAAGCCCCGCCCTCGCCCCGCCCCGCCCACCTGGACCTCCAGGGCCGGGGCCGCTCCCAGGCGCGCCTGCAGCTGCCGCACCATCACCTGCCGCTTCCACTCGGGGATGGGCCGACCGCGCTCGTCCTGCGTGGGCACCAGCCCGTCGAGGTCGCCCGAGGGCAGCCCGTGCAGCTGCAGCGCGGCCAGGCCGCTCCGGGGCTCCTCGGTCGCCGGCTCCGTGCCCTGTTCCGGCGCCGGCAGGTCACTCCGGGGCCCGCGCCCTCTTCCAGGGCCCGGCTCAGCCCGGAGGACAGGCCCCCGGAGGACAGGCCCCGATGGGGGGGCCCAGCAGTGGGCGCCGCGGGGAGTCGGGGCGGAACCCTGGTGTGGGCCTGGGACCTGGGTGTGGGGGCGCTGAGCCTACCTCCCTTCCCTGTGTGTGTCCCAGAGGTTGCCCAGAGCACGCCTCAGGATGGGCAGCCTCACGTGGGCACTGGCTGCAGACAGAGGAGGGCGTGGGCTGCGGGGCGTGTCAGGGCCTTCAGTGTGCCCTGTGCTCTGTCCCCCCCCCCGGGCGAGCACGCCTGGCATCCTCCACGCTTGCTGGCCTCTCGCGGCTCCCAGGACCCCTTCAGGGAGGGGGCTGGGTTTGTCGGCGCCTCTTGCCCAGAAAGGGGAGACGGCAGAGCACCCCCCAGCCGGTGCCTCCTCCTTCCTCCCAGAGCACCGGGGACGTGCCTGCGTCCTTAGAGGGGCGTGAGGCCTCCGGGGTTCCGGGGTCAGGCTGAGGGCTCGGGCTGCTGGGACTCCCTGGGGCTGCGGAGGGGCCCGGGACCGTCTGTGACGGAGTGACACGTGGCTTTGCTGTGCCGGAATTCCCAGGGTACCCTCAGAGTCGGCCAGTCCCCTCGCCCCACGGCCACCCGCAGGGAAGCTCCTGGCCGCTGACAGGTGACCTTGTGTGGCCAGAGGTGAACACGCTGGGGCTGGGGGGACAGGCTGGGGCGCACCGTGGGGATGGCCTCGGCACTGGAGGTGGCGCTCGGGGGGGCTTCGCGGGTGATCTGCTCCCTCGGGAGAGGCTGCTCACGCTGGCCAGGCCAGTCTGGGCTGGGAGAGGCTGTTGGAGGAGGGAGCTGGGTCAGAGGAGCTCTGGCCAGGCGGGGGGCCGGGGGCAGGACCCCAGCTTTTCTGAGGGGCCTCGACAGGGAGCCGAGACCCAGCAGCCCAGCACAAAGTGTCCAGGACAAGCTCATTCACTGCGAGGTGTCCACAGGGCCTGACCCCACCCCCAGCCCCCACCCTGCCCCCGCCCTGACCCTCAGCCCCTCCAACAGCCCGAGGAGCGCGGAGGGTGGGGGTCTGGAGGCCCAGTGAGCTGGTCTCGTCACGCCTGTCCCGTACCCCCCTCGCCCTCCACAGACACGCCAGGCCTACCCAGCCAGCAGCACTGTGCACCCCCGGGCCCACACGCTCACTCACGCGCACGCACACACATGCACGCACGCTCTGGCACGCCGCCCCGGCGCCGCTAGCTACGTGGGCCCACGTGGGCCTGCTGGTCTGCCCCACGCCGCTCTGTCCACTGTGTCCACGCCGGCTGGCCCCAGGCCCGGAGGAGGGCGGCTGCGGACTGTACCCCAGGCCTCGCGCAGAGGCCTGTGCCCACCCCACAGGCCCTGGTGGTCCTCCCCGCAGATGCGTACTCACAGGTGGGGCTCCCGAGCCCTGAACCCCCTCTTCTTCCATCCTCCAGGGAGCACCTCGCAGCTGACAGCGGAGGAGGGGGGAAGGGCGGCGGCGGGGGCGTCATCAGGAGCGGCGCCTGGGGGTGGGGGGTCGGGTCAGCAGGGGCCCAGCTGGGCCTTCACTACAGCCGTGGTGTTCCCAGGTGGGGGTTACCGGCGGGCCAGCCCTGGCCCAGACCCCTGGTGGCTGGGGGGGCTCAGAAAGGGTTAAGTGTGCAGGAGTGAGCAGCTGTACCCCTCGGTTCTGCCCCGTGTCTCTCCACCTGCCCTGCACTGGGTGACCTGGGCTCCCAGTCACCCCTGCCCTTGCTGCATCCCCCAAGACAGCACCCTTTAGAGAGCCCCACCACCCAGGCCGGCTCATGGCTCCCTTCGGGGGCAGCTTGCTGGGCAGCTAGATGCTGGGACGGGGCCTGGGGTCCCGCTCCCTGAGGCCTTCCAGGAGCTGCGTTCCACACACGCGCACACGCATACGCACACGCACACACACCCCTTCTCTGACTTCTGTCCTGAGACCACCGTCTGGAGAGGCCCGCGCCCCATCTGGCCCCCACCATGGGGATCTGACCCTTCCCAGCCCCGCAACATGTGTGGCTGAGGCCCCGGTGGGGGGGCGCGGGCCAGGCCCACTACGCGGTGTCTGGCTGGGACGGGCAGGGACTGGCCGCTTGCCCCGGGCTACGTCCCCAGGGCCACCTGGGCACAGAGACTGAGACCAGCCCGGGAGTCTGGTGTCGGGGAGAGGCACCCTGGGGCTGCAGACCCCCACATCCCGCGCCCTTGTCTTGGCCCCTCTAGCACTGACCCCAGGCACTGACCGCTGGGCAGCCAGAAAGAACCACTGACCTGCAGGCACCCTCGGGCTGCGGCGCCAGCCTCAGCTTTTGCATCTGACCAGTGGGTGCCAGGCCGCAGGGCCCGCCAGGCCAGCCACGCGGGAGCCGGGCCCAGGGCTGCCCCCAGCCCTCCTGGAGCGGCCGAGCATTTTCCCGCGGGACAGGTGGGCACCGGGCTGTCTGCCAGGCCCCAGGCCCTGCCTGCAAGCGCCGGGTTCAAAGCTGGAAGCCAAGGCCGCTCACCCTGTCCCCGCGAAGGTGACACTGGGCCCCCCGCGGCCCCAGCCCTGCGCTGCCTCCCGCGCACCCTGACCCGAGAGCCGCTGCCTGCGGGTGCTCGGCCGCCCCAGAACCGGAGCCTTTCGCCTTAACCGGCCCCGCGCATGATGCAGCGGCCGGGCCAGCCCCTCGCCCGCTCCCCCCCTGCGCAGCCACCTGGGGCCCAGCCCGCCTCGGGGCAGGGACCGTGTCAGTGGCCGGGCCCGGGTGCCCTAGGGTGAGCCCCGGGTTGCGCACGCCCCCCCCCCCTCCCGCCTCCAGCGCCCCAGTCACAAGCCGCACCTCGCACCTCACCCCTCCGGGGGCCGAGCGGGGCTGGAGGCGCGGGCTCTGAGCGCAGGGCCGGGTGTTGGGGGCTGTCTGGGCTGCCGCCCCGGGTGGGGGGGCGCATTAATGTTTGAAGGCCCGGGTGTCAGGTGGCCCCGCGGGCGGGCCCGGGAGCGGGATCTCTTACCTGCGAGCCCCAGCCCGCCATCAGCCCTGCGGGGCAGCGCCAGGGGGCCGACTCCGGGTGGCGAGGGGCTGGGGACCTGGGTCTCCCGGGCCACGGAAGAGGGAGAGGGCACGGAACTCCCCAGCACACCCCGGCACAGAGAGGGAAACTGAGGCTGAGCGCGCGGGCCCCAGCCCGAGGGGTGGCAGAGCTGGGCTGAGTCTGCAGGGAGACCCCCGAGGGCTGAGGGCCCGCCCTGCTCCTGGCCAGGAGCACCGGGGAGGGGGCGCGGGCTGGGCCGCTAGGGCTGGGGCGCCCGGTGGGCTCCTCTGCCTCTTCGGCGGGACCAGCTGGCTCTCGGGCTGCACTTGCAGGGGGGCCAGAGGGACCAGCGCATGCCCCGCCCTCTCGGCTGGACTCGGGGTGCTGGTCCTCCGGCCGCGACACAGGCCTCCTGGGTGCGCAGCAGCCCCTGGCCCAGGCGGCATCTCCCAGGGACTTGGGGGCAGAGGGCCCAGGTGGAGGCCGGAGAGGCGGGCCCGGGCAGGTGGTGGACAGAGGAGGGTCCTGCCAGCTGCCCCCAACCCCTGCCCCCTGGGATAGCCTGGCCCAGACCCTCCGCCATCGAATCTGGGGTGACAGAAGCGCCCTCCCCTGGCAGAGTGAGAGGCTCAGCCACGGCGGCCCCCTCCCCCGGGCCAGGAAATGGACTTTGCCCCCAGGGCAGCGTGTGTGGCCTGGGGGTCTGTGCCTCGGGCTGCCCTATCTCTCCCCACACGGAAGGCCTGGGGACTGGCCCCCGCGTGGTCACCACCACAGCTTTGGTCACGGTGCCCCGCCTTTTAACCGGCACAGGCCCTGGGGTGGGGTTGCCCAGGCGATGGCCGTCCCTCGTCCCTTGCCCCTCGTGCAGGCCCCAGACGTGGACCGAGGCTTTGCGGGCCGCAAGGAGTGGCCGGCGCTGGGCCCGACCTTTGGGGTCCCAGCCCTGGGGAGCCGGCGGCTGCACGAGGTCCCGGCTCCTGTGCCCTGGGCCCGGGCCCGCTGCATTGCGCATGGGGGTGGCCAGCCCGGCGCCCACAGGCCTGTCAGGCCGCCCTGGCCGAGGTCGTGACCCGCAGATGGGCCGACGCCAGTCACCGCGGCTGAGATTTGGTTACTGGGGAGGAGGCTGCCCGGGCACCCCTGGGCCTCCGTTTCTACTGCACCGCGAAGGGCCCTGGGGGAGGGAGTCAGCATCTTCTGGGGCTGCCTCGGCCACGGCAGAGCCCGCAGGCGCCTGCAGCCAGGAGGGGCCTCTCTGGGTGCGAGGACCGTGGGGGTGGGGGGGCGAGCGGGACGGCAGCCGCCGTGGAGACAGGAGGGGCGGCACCGTGTGTGGGGGTGAGCCTGGCGCTGGTGCAGCTGTTGCCCGCACAGCTGCCAGCCTCCGTCGGGCCTGGCCAGCAGGAGCCAGCGGGGTCAGGCAGACCCAGCCCCGCAGGGAGCAGAGGGTGGGGCACTCGAGGCAGGGCCGGGGCAGGGCAGCCCGGAGCCCCACAGACCCCCCTACGAGGGGCATCCCCCGGCAGCTCCCCCGGGGCCCTCCGGCCTGGTGCCCCAGGCTGCCCTCTCAGGACGCTGGCAGCGCTGTGGGGAGGTGACGGCCTTCTCCCCTCCCCAAGCCCGACTCGGAGGGCCGGCCCTGCGGCCGCGTATCGCGTTTCCATCAATATTGCAGCAGCCCCCGCGGCCCGCAGCTGACGGCGCCCCCCGTGAGTGAGCAGGCGGCTCCTAGACAGCCCCAGACAGTGGCAAATCTGGGCACCCCTGCTGCCCCGCGTCCCGGAGGGAGGAAGGACACAGCGGCTCTGGGTCCAGCCCAAGCCCGACAGCGCCCGGCCCCCACTGCAGACACAGCGGGGAGCCCCGGCCGTGCGGGACAGGCTGGCTGCTGGCCTGCAGGCTGGGCGGGGGCTCCTGAGGCCGCGACTGGCTTGGGCAATTCTGAGCAAAGGGGACGGGCCTCGAGGCCTCTCATGACTCCAAGACACGGGAGGGCCAGCAGGAGCCCAGGGAGGCTGGGCTGACAGCCTGGGGTGTAGGGAGACACCCCGTCCCCCGAAACATTGGGTGGGGTGGCCGAGGGGCTCGCAGGTGGCAGGGCCTGGGAGGGAGGGCCTGGACAGAGCCCCTGCTTGGGCAGAAGGCCGGGGACAGGGCACGGCAGCATGGCCAGGCTGGGGATGGGCAGGGGCCCCGGCCAAAGGCAGGTGGGACCCTCCTCCTGGATGTGGTGGGCGGCGCCCACCTGTCGCAGTGGCCAGGTGCACCCAGTGACCACCCAGGGGCCAGGAGGGATGGAGCAGCTGTGTCCCCACCCAGGACGCAGTGGCAGCCACTGGCCTCTCGACCCGCGGGAACAGCCGCCGTCGGTGGTTTGACAAACGTACCCTCACGGTCACCCTCCCGCAGCCCCGGGCGGCTCAGCCAGGGCCTGCTGCGCCCAGAGCCCTGAGCCCGACGCCTGGCGTGGCTCCTGGACGGCGGTGGCCAGAGGCCCGTGGGGTGGCCGAGGAGGGCTCTGCCTCGGCTGGTCCCGGACACCCCCAGGGCAGAGCATGTGGGGGCCTCGGTGCTCTCGCTGGGAAATGTGCCAGGGGACCCCAGGACACCCGAGGAGGCGGCGACCCCAGCCACGGGCGAAGGCCGGGCCGGGCGGGACCCCAGGGCAGGGCCCGCGCCTGGGGCGCTCACCCGCAGGGCGGCCTCCCGCAGGTAGCGGGCGCAATCCCCGTGGCCGCGGTGCTCCGCCAGGTCCGCCGCCGTGCAGCCGTCCTCGTCCCGCAGCGAGGGGTCCACGTGGTAGGAGACCAGCGTCCGGCAGCACTGTGGGGGCGCGCGCGTGACCCGAGCCCGCAGCCGCCCCGTCCCGCCTGCTGGCTCCAAACCGGGGCCCTGAGATGGTGCCCTGGGCCTGGACGAGCTGGGAGTGACCGTGCCGAGGACAGAGCCGTCGGGAACAGGAGGCCCTGGGGGGGACGGAGCGCCGCCCGCGGAGCGTCCGCGCTGAATGCCGCTGCCCCCCCGCCCCCCCGGCTGCTTTTTAACCCTGGGGTATTTGCTGGTTTCTCCTGGGCACCGACGCTCCCCCCAGGTAGGGGTGGAAGCCGGGGCACGGGGTGAGAGGAGGCCTGCAGGGGGCAAGGAGAGGGGTGCTGCGGAGCAGGTGGGGGGCAGAGGTGGGGGCCTCGGCCTCAGCCGGGAAAGTCAAACAGTCGTCAGCAGGGCATGGGCTGGGGGTTCTAGGGGATTGGGGGCTGCGTGGGCTGGGTGGGTGGGGGGCCTGGGGAGGCTGGGGGCGCGCAGGGACTGGGGGGCTGGGGGGGCTGGGGGAGCCTCCTTGCGCCCTGCGAGAGGTGTCGCTCATGACAGTGTCCTGCAGACTCCTGGGCCGTGCCGTGCCCTGGGCACCGAGGCGGGGCCCCGGGATGGCGGCTCCAGCTGGGGGCCACTCACTTCAGTGACGCGCTGCCCCGACCTGCCCTGCCCAGGCCGGAGCTCACTCCTCGGGGCAGCCTGCCCAGACCCAGGGGGCAGGGGTGACACAGCAAAGTGGGGGTGGGGGGTGGGGGCTGCCCCATGAAACGGGCTGCGAGGCGGGGGGCGCAGCGGGAGTATGTCTCCACCCCTCAGACGTGGCCTCCCAGGAGCTGGACACAGGCTGCCCCGGGCAGGCCCTGCTCAATTTCGGGCCTTAAGTGTCTGAGCAGCAGCCCAGCCGCTCCTACTTTCTGGGTGTTGTTTTTGGGGGGCCATTGAGGCCCCTCCCCTGGACTGATCCGGGTAACAGCCAGGGGCGAGCACAGACCTGGCCGGCTCTGCCCGGCGCCCAGCAGGACCACGGCCGGGGCTCTCCCGGGAGGAGCCTGTGCCCGGGGCACCCGGAGAGGGCGCGGATGGGGGGAGCCACGGGTAAGGGGGAGCCTGTGCGGGCGGGCGACGGCGCCGCTGCCTGCACCTCACCTCCATGTGCCCGTTCTCCGCCGCGTCGTGGAGAGGCGTCGCGCCCCACGCGTCCGTCACCACGGGGGCGCCCATCAGCAGGAGCCGCTCGAGAACGGGTGCGTGGCCGCCCCGCGCCGCGTAGTGCAGGGCGGTCGCCCCCTCGCGGTCCCGCGCCGCCAGGCTGATGTCCGTGAAGGTGACCTGGGGCGCAGGAGGGGGGCGACCAGCGAGCCGCGGCTGGACGGGGCGGCCCCCAGGCAGGACGGCAGGGGCGCAGCTCTGCCCGGGGCCAGAGCGGGGCTGCGTCTGGACAGCAGGGGCAGCAGGGAGCCTGGCAGCCCGGGAAGAACAGCGCAGTGGGGCCTGCGGTCTGAGGACCGCCCCGCGGGGCACAGGGAGGCTCGCAGCGCCTCTGCTTCTCCCCTCCCGCACCGCCCCTCCTGTCCAGGCGCCGTCCCGCCCCCTCCGAGGCTGAGTAGAGCGGCTCCAGGCCCCCGGAGGCCCCGCACCCGGCCTGGCCGGCTCTTCTCAGAGCTTCCTCCAGGGCCAAGGCCAGAAAAGGCCCAGAGGGGGTGAGCAGAGGCCGGCGGGCCGGGCCAGGCACTGGCTACAGAGCACAGGGAGCCCTTGCATCCCCTCAAGTCTTCCTGGGCTCTGACACCCAGTGGATGGTCTCTGTCAAAGTTGAGGGCTCCCAGCGGCACCCATGGGTGCCCCCAACCACCCTGTGGGGCCCCGGTGTGCAGATGGGCAAGCTGAGACCCAGAGGGCTGCCGCCCCCACCCCAGGCAGGCCCTGCTGGTCCAGAGCTGGCTCGGGGTCGGAAGGCCCCACCCCCGGGGCGGCCCCTTACCAGCCAGACGACCAGCGAGTAGTGGCCGCGGGCGGCGGCGGCGTGGAGCGCGCTCATGCCGTCCAGGGCACGCAGGTGCACGTCGGCGCCGCGGTCCTTCACCAGGAACTGGGCCAGGTGCAGGTGGCCCTCCTGGCAGGCCAGGTAGAGCGGGGAGGCGCCGCTGTGCGTCCGCCGGTTCACACCACTGGGGGGGGGTTCCGAGGGAGCTTGGGGTGTCACGGGGGTGGGAGCACCCGCAAGGGCCAAGGTCGAGGGGAGGAGGGCCCAGTCACCTGGCCAGCCTGTTGCACCCGCCCCTTCCCGCCTGCCAGGCCCCGGCGTCACCCATCAGGTGCCCCGGTGGCGCAGCACCCAGGGACCCCAGCTCCGCCCACCCCGTCCACTGGGAGGCCAAGGGGCCCCAGGGCCAGTTCCCAGCAGGGAGTAGCCTGGGGGCAGCCCCTCCCCCGCCATCAAAGGGGCCACCCTAAGCAGAACAAGCCTCTCCCTGGGTGCCCGGCCAGCGTCCCAGGGCAGGCCCGGGGGTGCGCCCACCCAGAGCAGGGACAGGGTTCCCCACATCCCGCTGTCCCCGTGCACGCTGCCGCAGGGCCAGTGAGACCCTGGACCCCAGTGACCACCGTGGGAGGCCAGCTGCTGCCAGGCTGACCGCGCCCTGGCTCTCGCCTGCCGCTCAGGCCGTGCCGAGGGCCCGGACCTCCCGTAGTGTGAGTGTAGGCGCGCACATACACGTGTCTCTCAGTGTGTGCACACGCGCACGTGCACACCAGCCGTCACGCTTGTAGCCGTGTGCACGTGTGCATGTTTGTGACCGTGTGCAGTGCGTGTGCATTCGTGCGTGTGTCAACATGAAGTCTCTGTTTTCCAGTGGCAGAAATTACACACGACAGCTCTAAGAAGCCCCTGGCCACCCAGGCCCGGTCAGCATGGGGCCAGCATGGGGCCAGCAGCGTGGACGCTCTGGGGAAGACCCCCCGCCCTCCTCCTTGCCAGCACCCGCTCCGGGCGGGCACGACGTCACAGGACACACAGGCGGGGCCCCGTTCAGGGCAGAGTGACCTCACGTGATGTCCCCCCAAATCTGCTATATGGCCCATACTCTGTTCAGGTGTACGGCCCCCCCACCCCCCGGGCCCCTCGATGACCCCGGGAGCTTCCTGTTGAGGTTGTTCTTGCAGTTTCCTGGATGTTCTCGCTGCCACTCCAGGGGCTCCGGCCACACAGGCGGGGGCCGGCCTCTGCCCGAGGCGCCTGGCTGGCCCCTGCACTGCCCACGGCTTCCAGACCCCAGCTCTGAACCTCGGCCTGCACAGCCCACCCTCGCGCGGCCCCCGCGACCTGTGCACCCAGACGGCCCGGCAGGCGGTGCTGTGGCCTCACCTGCTGTGGGCGGTGGCCAGCAGCTTCAGGCAGGTCAGGTCCCCGCTGACGGCAGCGTGGTGCAGCGGCAGGGCCCCCTCCCGTGTCTCCAGGGTGGCCGCGTGGCCCTCCCGGAGCAGACACTCCACCAGCACCGGGTGTCCGAAGCGGGCGGCCAGATGCAGTGGGGAGACCCCCGAGGCATCTTGGTCCTAGGGGTCCGGGAAGAGCCGTGAGCCCCAGCACTGGAGCCGGCCCTGGCTCGGGAGGGCCCACAGCACAGGCCAGCGGGCGGGAGCCCTGCCCAGGGGAGCACAGGGCTAAGGCTCAAGCCTCCTGGTTCAAGCCGTGACCCGAGGCGCTGCCCTCTCGGGCACAGCGGTGGCCCTCCCTCTGCTCACAGCTGGACGGGCTCCTCGGGTCAGCCGCGCCGGGTCCTGGGCTCCCGCCTCTGGGCCTCTGTCCCCACCCACCTGCGCACCCACGCGCCTGCTACAAGGAGCATTTCCACCTGCTTCCCACACAGAGGGGTGCCCTCCCTCGGGGACCCGCAGACCTGGGTGCTCCCCAGGGCCCCGCTCCCGCCTCCCTCCTTGGGAAGGGCCAACGGGGAGTCAAGCTGGTCTCCTTCTCGGGGACCCCTCGGGTCAGGCTGCCCCCCCACCCCCTGGCTCCGCCAGAGCCCGCTGACCTCCTCCTAAGGACTCTGCAAGGGTGTGCTGGCTGCTCTGGGGCAGCGCCCACACTCGGGGACACTGGGCTGCAGGGAGGGAGAGGGTGGGCCGGCAGGACTCCCTGGCAAGCCAGCGCTGAGCCCCGGAGACCCCTCTTTGTACCATGGACCCCTCTCGCCTTCTGTCCCCACAGCCTGGCCTGTGCTGTCCCTGCCGTCCCCCCGGGCCCACAGCGCCCAAGCCCTGGGCCCACCGTGCTTCTCTGGGGTCCTTTCCTAGGCCCTTTGGGAAGCAGGCCCCATGCATCAGGCCTGATGGGACCCGGCAGGACCCCACTGGCCAGCAGGGCGCTCCTGTGGCAAGGGCGGGGCAGGAAGCGTGCCCCGTGCCCGGTGCCGGGCAGCCCCAGGCCCTCGGGGGTGGCCCTGGCTCTCTCAAGGGCTTGGAGTTGGTTTTGCGCGGGGAGAGGCCGGAGACTGGCATCAGGCCAGCCCCGGGGAGACTCCTGGCCAGGCCCTGGAGAAGCCCGGCCCAGGGCTGCCCGGAGGATCTTCCAGCTCCGCTCACACCGCCCTCTCCCCCTGCTGGGCTCCGGCCCTGCCTGCTGCTGCTGGCCGGCTCACCTGCAGGCCACAGCCGCCGTCACGCACCAGCCAGCACAGCTCGGCCAGGCTGCCGGTGGCCGCGGCGTCGTGCACGGGCGTGGCGCCGTTGTGGGCCCTCTGGTCGCCGGGCAGCTGGGCCCGCTCCACCAGGAACCGGACGCAGGCCAGGTGGCCGGCGCGGGCAGCGTGGTGCACCAGGCCGGCCCCCAGGGCATCGGTGATGCCTGGGCCGAGGGCGCCCGCCTCCAGCAGCTGCTCCAAGGTGGCCAGGTCCCCGGCCTTGGCGGCAGCGAGCGCCCGCTGTGCCTCCATCCCCTGGCCACCCGCGGCTCTGGCGCACGAGGGCCTGGCTTCCTGTTTCAGGGGTGGCTGCAGCTTGGGCTCCGGTTACCTGATAAGTTGCACCGGCAGATGGGAGGCGGCTGGGGGGCGGGGGGAGCACTGCTGAGCCTCTCCCGCCATGCCCGGCTGCAGGGCAGGGGTGCGGGGCAGCGGTGGGCTCTGGCTGGCCGACCACCCCCTTCCTTGGTGGGGTGAGGGCGAGTCATCCATTCTCCCTCTCGAGAGGGTGTTTCTGGTTACCAGTGCGCTCCTGCCAGGATGGGGGGGCCCCCGCGTCTGGTCCCCGTCCGGGCAGTGGCGGTGGTGAAGCCTCCCGGGAGACCCTCTCACGGTACAGACCGCGCCAGGCCCGTCCTGGGGTGCTGGAGGCTCTGAGCGTACGCAGAGATGGAGGTGCCTGTCCTGAGAGGTCTGCTGGTTCCCAGCTCGCGCAGCTTGGGGGGCCATGATCCCAGGGAAGCCCAGGGCCCCAACTTCAGACAGGAGGGCCCTGGGGGCGAGGAGGGCCCCACGCGCCCCTGCAGCCCACCTCCCGGCCCGACTCCGGGGCTGCAGGCCGAGGCCTCCCAAGTGCATTTTCCAGGCTGCCAGGCAGCTTTCCGGAACGTCCCTGCGGCAGAGCTGGAGCACCAGGGTCACCGGCCTTGGCCCACGGGCACTGGCCGCCCAGGGCCACGGCCTCGAGCTGAGCTCCGTGGCTAACGCGCGGTCAGGCAGCTGACCCTCGCCCCGGCCCAGAGCGCCCGGCACCACCAGCCGGACACGCAGGGCGGAGGCTTGTCTGCGCTGTGGCGGGCCTGGCCGGCGCGGGTCTCCCCGCCTGGAGCGCGTCGGCAGCGCCTGGTGTCCGCGCAGGGCCGGCTCAGGCGGACGCGGCTTCAGGCGAGCTGAGTCCCCTCTTGGGAAGGGCCGGAATCCACGGACGGCCGTGAGGCCGAGACGGGGTCAGAGGGCGCCCGGGAGCCGCCTGGGTCACGCGCAGAGCAGAGGGACCCAGCTCTGGGGTCGTGAGCTTGGCCTGGCAGGGCAAAGGACCGCGGGGCCAGGGGCATCGCCGGGTGGACCCCAGCCCACGGTCGCAGGCGGAGGCTGGACCTCCCAGTCCCACGAGGGCGGCCGACAGCGGATGGTAAACACCAGGATTTTATGTCTGGATAAAAACACTCCCTTCGGATGGGGGTGCTCCAGGCTCGCCCCAGTTCCCGAGGGGCCATGGCTGCAGCGGGACCCACGCCCCACAGCCGTGGCGGCCCCCCACTCTGCCCGGGCAGTGGCCCGCTTTCCAGGCCGGTGGGGGCACTGCCCTGGGCACCAAGGAGGCGGCGGCCGGCCCTACGAGGCGCCCTCGGCCCGCGGCTTGCCCTCCAGCCGCGCCACGGCCTGCTTCAGGTCCTGCACGACGAGGTCCACCTCGGCCCTGGTGGTACCGCGGCCCACGCTGAGCCGGAGGGCGTTCCTGGCCACGTCGACGGGGACGCCGCAGCTCAGCAGCACCGGAGACGGCCTGCGGGAGACCAGCATGAGAGTCCCGAGGACGGGCTGTGCGGCTGGGGCGGAGGGGCGCCGCCTCGCTCCAGCCCCCAGGTCAGGCTGCCTCGGCCCCCCACCCGCCCCCCCCCACCCTGACCGAGTCCCTGTCTTCTCTCCCGCCAAGGTCCCGGCAGGGTCCGTGGGCTGCGCCCTGGGGCGTGGATGCGGCCCCCTCGGCCCCGGGGCCCCAGGGTTTTCTGTCTCCTGGGCTGCGGCGGGCGTCCCACCCCGCTGGGAGGGCGCGTCCCTTGCCACAGCCCCGAGGCCCCGCTCAAGGCCCCTCTGCAGGCTGCCCGCGAGGCGAGGCAGGGCTGGAATTGTAGGCGAGGCCGTGGCGGGCCCTGCCTTCCTTCTGGGCCTGGTGAAGGGGTGCCCGAGCGGCGCCCCTGGGCTGAGCCTGGCTGCTGCTGGGGACTCTGGGCCACGCCCTGCATCCTGCCCCCTCGGGACCGCGCCCACAACCTGCCGCCCTGGGATGGGGGACTGCCCGCTGCGCATCAGCCCACGCTGCTGCTCTGTCCAGGCCCGGCAGCTCCCCACGCCCATCTCTGCGGTCCCCACTCACCCGGAGCCAGAGACGGGCCCAGTGCGCCGAGTCTCAGCCCGCACCCTCCCCTCTGCCCCCACCTGCCCAGCCCCGGCCCGGCTCCCTGCCCCAGAGACCCTCCTGCTCCTGGCGGGGGAGGGAGCATTGGGGACCTAAGTCCTACCCCCCAGCAGCGCCCCTATCATCTCCGGAAGCCACAGTCAGGGCCACGCTGCCTGTCCCCCGCCCCCCGCTGGCGCCCCCCCCCCCAGGGCTCCCCCTGGGAGGCCCCGCTGATCCTGGGCAAGTCCTGCTCCCACACCTCCCTCCCGCGCGCCTCGCCCACTCCACTGCCGCTGGACCCGCTGGTCACCGGAGTCCCCGTCAGGCTGCTCCGTGCAGGCTCCGGCCCAGGCAGGCCCCCGAGCAGGACAAAGTGGGCACTTACCGGTCCCCCTGGTCCGAGTGGCACGCAGCCCCCACGCTGGCCAGCAGCGTCCTGCACTGGGCCAGCACCGAGCGGCCTGCAGAGACAGAGCAAGGTGTCCCGGGGGGGTCTGGCCCCAGCCCCACCCCCACCCCCGCCTGCCCTGCCCCCCTGCAGTGCCGTTGTGCCCCTTCCCTGCGCAGGACACGACCTGCGCCCGGAGCGAGTGCAGCTGGCAAAGCGGGCGGGGGACATGGCCTGGCCAGGGCCCCAGTGCAGATGCTGCTGGGCCGTCCAGTCCATGCTCAAGGCCCCGTGCCCCCCGCAGCTCGGCCAGACCCACCACCCATGGTCCTCACCTTGAAGCTGGGGTCCCAGGATGGAAAAGTTACACGTGTTGGGGAGTCGCTCGGTCCCTGGAAACCGGCTGTTCAGACGGATCCTCTTAGCAAATTCCACCTGCAGGTGCAGGACACTCAGGGCAGGGCCCCCCCCAGCGCGGGGCCTGCGGCTTCTCGGGAAGGAGGGCCCGACTGGAGTGCAGGTCAGCACCGGCAGAGAAGCACCCGGGGCCCCCAGGGCTGCTCGGAGAGCAAGGTCAGCTAGAGGACGCCCGGGGCCTGCTCCCCTGCAGCCCCGCTCCAGGCTGCCCCGCGCCCCTGCGCGCTCACCTGCAGCCTCTCCTCCAGGTAGTCGCGGACGTCCCGCATGTGGGCCTCGTACGCCTCGCAGTTGCGGGTCACCAGCTCCGCGGCCTGGGGTGGACGCGCGCGTGAGGGCCAGGAGGCCATGTGGCCGGCGGTGGCGGGAGAGGGGCGGGCCCTAGTGACCGCGGACGCCCCCGTGCGTCAGGGCCCGGACGCTTCCAGGCTGAGACGCAACAAAAATGACCGAAAAGTGACGCCAGAGCTTGCGGCGCCCACCCCAGCGCCGGAAGCAAACACGACGTGGCCGCCACACGGGCAGCACTGGGGCGGGGACCACGGCCAGCCAGGGCAGCCCCCAGGGAGCAGTGTGGGCCGTGGACAGGCCCTGCAGCCCGAGACGGGGGTGCGTCTTGGTGCAGGCGGGGCTTGAGGAGCGGCGGGGGGCAGTCTCTGCCTCACGGCCTGCTGGTCGCTGTGAGGGCGGAAGCGGGAGGGTCCACAAGACTGTGGGGCGCCGGGCGGGGCGGGTGCTGGGAGTGGGGCCCCGGAAGCAGGGAGAGTGTGAGCGGGGGGAGCCGGCACAGGCAGCCCTGGAGGCCGGAGCTGGCCAGGCACAACCCGCCTGTCACGCCCCCGGTGGGCGCTGCACTCCCTCGAGCAGCCTGTCGTCGGGGCGCAGTCTGAGGGTCGCCTGATTGGGAACGAAGAGCTTGGAACCTTCTGAGTAACTGAATCACTCACTCACCCGCCCCCCAGGGCATCCTCTGTGCCCCCTTCCAGGCTGGCAAGGCCAAGCACGGGCTCTTGTGGTACTTCCAGAGCGACAGGAGGGGCTCAAGCAGGGAAGGGCGGAGGGTGGCAGCAAGGGGGCAGGAAGCTTCTGTGGGTGCAGCCTGGAGGACTGCCTGAAGGAAGTGGCTTTGAGCAGACCCTGAAGGGAACACGTCCTCCACAGCTGCGGTGTAACAGGCACCCCACCTTCCTGTCACAAGCCTCGGTCAAGGTGGCCCCCAAACCCTGTCCCTGCTCAGGCCCATGGGGCTGTCCTGCATGCGACGTGGACGAGGAGCCATGGCTGCCCCCGGTCGGCGCATCTGAGACTCACAGCACAGCTCCTCCCTCGGACCCGCTAAGCACGTGCACCTGCGCTCCCGGCCAGCGGCCACGAAGCGGCTTCTTGGCGCCCCGCTCCGTTTACGGGCGCTCCCTCGGGCAGTGCGGCTGGGAGGAGGGCAGCGCCCCCTGGCCCGCCGCGGGCTCCAGTGAGAACCGCAGAGGACAGCTGTCCTCCCGCTGGGGCCGGGTCCCGGCCACCTGCAGGCCGGTCAGATGAGGGGCCTGGCGCTGTGCGCCCCGCCCCGCGCCCCAGTGGGGTCAGCGCCAGCGAAGTGCCAGGCGAAGCTGCGGAGTCCGGGTGTGGGGTTCCTGGGCCTGCGAACGCAACGCCCAGCCCGCCCTGCGCCCGCGCCCTCCTGTTCCTCCTCCGCGCCTCGGTCATGTCTTTCCTAAGCAACCAGTGACCAGGAGTCAGGCGGCCCCTGGTCGTGTGCGCGGGCTCCACACCCTGGAACGCGGCGGGCTCCGAGCCACAGCCCTGGGCCAGAGCACGGGACAACCCGGACAAGACGGGGGTCGCCTCGAGGGACGGAGCCCTTCCCTGGAGCTGGAGCACAGCCGGCGCCCAGCACGCTGGGGTGAGGGCAGCGGTGGTGGGACGAGAGAAGTGGGGTCGCCCCCGCCCCCACTCACCTTCCCGAGCCCGGCGATCATCGGGGTGTTCTCTGTCCTGAAAGACACGGGGGTCCTCAGTCCTCGTTCAGAGCAAGAGCAGACCCGGGCCCAGCCCGCCCCGAACACCAGCCTCAGCCCGCCAGGCCCACGCAGCCCCGCCCGGTCCACCGGGCAACACGTGCCGGGCGCCCCCAGGGGCAGTTCTCCTGGACCTTCTCCCACCTGGGAGAAACCCCTGACGGTGGACCCAGAACCCCTGCTCTGGTCCCCACCGCAGACCAGGCCGGCTCGGAGGGCTCAGCCGGCACCGGCCCCGCCACCCAACTTGCGCCTGGAGCCATTCCACTGCCAGACGTGAGTCCTCTGGGGTGGGCTTGGGCATCACAGGGCGTGTGCCCGTGTGTGCGTGGGGTGGGCGCCCTGTGGCTGGCTGGAGAAGTGGGCACGGCCTCGCCTGTCTTTCGAGGCCGTCCCTCGCTGGCCCGCGGCGGGCCAGGGCAGCCGGCGGACTAGCTGCTTGGAAGCAGGGAGGAGACGGCGGGTCCCTCCTCCGGCGGACGCGCTGCTGGGCCGGCTCGGGCTCAGCTGGCGGTGGCCGCGGTCACGGCCCGGAGACAGAAGCCCCTGCCTCGCGGGCAGCACGGCCAGCAGGTTGGGCCGGAGCACCCTCTCCCTTACCCTGGCCGGAAACTCTGCTCCTGCCCACCTCCGAACAGCATGGGGTACAGCGGGGTGAGTTCCCCGAGTCCTCGCACGAAAAGTGCCCCGATCCTGGGGCCGTAGAACTGAAAGGGAAGCGGATTTACTCGGGGGAGCCTCGAGGGCCCCTGGACACGGGGCCGGGCGCCAAGCGGAGCACGCTGGACGCACAGCCGCTTCGGGGCCCTCCCGCCCGGCCCCTCGTTCCCTGGACTCGGCAGAGTGACCGAGGCCTGGGGGCGCAGCACCAGCCCCGTGCGGGAGGCCCCTCTGCCGGGATCTGTGGAAGGGGAGAGTGGGCCGTTCCCGCGCGTGGCTCCACGGCCGCCGTCACACCACGCCCGTTCCCAGTGCCACGGCCTCGGCTCGGCACACACGGGAACCGGCTCCGAGCACTGTGCTTCCAGGCGGGCGCCAGACGGGGGCCAAGGCTCGGGGGGCTCTGTGTGCACCTGGCCACCCTGAAGGGGAGTCGCTAAACGAACCCCCACCCCAGGAGCCCCTGACCCTGCAGCCCCTGACCCCCACCGCTGGCTGAGCCCACGCCTGGGGTCCCCCAACACCCCCAGGCAGCACATGGCCTGGCCCGCCTGGCCGTCCCATGCGCCTGACAGTTGGGAGCCCCACGGTCCCCGAGCTTTAACTCCGGGGGGCTGGGCCCAGGGGCGCACTGGGCGGGCACCCTGAAGACCAGCGAATCCCTCTGAGCTCGGCCCACAGTGAGCTGGGGGGGCCCTGGGCCTTTCCTACGTGTGACCCCTGTTGTCAGTGACCCTGGCGCCCACATTGCAGGGCGGGGCTCCCCCTGCTGCCTGGGACGCACCTTGTGGCCCACGATGGTCAGGAAGTCCACCCCCAGATCTGCCACGTCCACACGCTGCTTCCCCAGGGCCTGGGCGGCGTCCGTGTGCACGAAGACGCGGGGCAGCCCGGCGGCCGCGCGCTGCTGGTTCAGGCTCCGGACGCGCCGGCTGATGGCGGGCAGCGGCTGCGGGGGCGGGCAGTGAGTGCGGGGCCCGGGCGGGGCGTGGGCGAGGCCGGCCCGCCCCACTCACCATGACCACGCCCGTCTCGTTGTTGGCCAGCATGACGCTCACCAGGCACGTGGCCGGGCGCACGGCCGCCAGCACGTCGTCCGCCTCCGCCCGTCCGCTCGCCGTGGACACCGGCACGAAGGTGACGGCTGCGGCAGAAGCAGACGGTCAGTCTCCGGGCCCTCACGGTTCATGTCCACTCGGCCCCACAAAGCGGTTTCTCGCGGTGGAGAAACCAACTTCTTGAAAAGGCTCCGGAAATGAGAAAGGAGCAGGCGCCGCCCCTTCTTGCCCACCCGCTGGACGTTCCGGCTGCTGCCCGCAGGGAAGGCCTCTTGGGGCACCTCCGCGCTGTGGCCGAGGACCATGCGGACCCTCAGGCCCTGAGGTACGCTCGCACCCCAGGGCCCGGCCTTGCCTTCCATGCAACCCACATCTGCTGGGCACCCGCCATGCTGGGCACTGGCCCGCACTGCTGACCTCACGCCGCACCCGGAATGTGGGGAAATCGAGGCTCCTGGTTCAAAGCAAAGGGCCCTCCGCTTTCCCCAAGGTCCCACGGAAGGGAGAGGCGTTTCTAGACCGGGTGGCACCTGCAAGCGGGATGTGAGGCGCCCCAGGGAGCAGAAAGGGGGTGCTCCTCCGTGCAGAGTGAAAGGACACCGAGCTGCTCAGGGCGCAGCTGGGGGGCAGGGCCGGAAGCAGGGCGGGGAGCAGGGTGGGCAGCAGGGCGGGGCACGCGCTGCAGCAGGTGAAGCCCGGGGTCCAAGGGGGAGCAGTGAGTGGACAGTGCGGGCCTGGCACACAACCAGGAGAGGGACGGGGCCCAGAGGCCGGGCAGGCAGCCAGGATGCGCCAGCAGAGGACGGAGCTGGTGCGTCCGCCCGGACCCCACAGAGAAGCCGGGACGTGCATGTCCATCGGGCGATTAAAGCGGCAACAAAACCCCCAGGTGCTCGGGCTGAAGGCCAGGTGGCCGCTGGGGTGCCAGGCGGGACCGCGACTTTCTGCTCTGCTTTTCCGGGACCTCACGTCACGGCCGGCGCGGGCAAGCTGCTTGCAAACCTGCAAGGGGCCGCGCGGTGGGAGGGGCACAGGCCAGCCGCTGGGCCCAGGCGGGGGCGGGAGCGCAGGGGGCTGTTTCACAGCCTCCGAGGCGGAGGGCAGGCGGCAGGCGGCCGCTGCCACCGCCCTGCAAGGCCTCCAGGTTCAGGCCAGACCGTGTCCTATTTTGGGGCGCTCTGGTAAACACCGGCTTGTTGCTGGGACATAGGGGAGAGGCGCTGCTGAGGGCCCTCCTGGAGAGACGCGCCGTGCCCGCCAGGCCAAAAAGGTTCTCACAGTTTCACTTTTGAAAGTGGCGGGTCTCACCCTGGGCTCAGGCCTCAGCCCCTCCAGCCGAAACCCCCGCCCGAGTCTGGGCGCCCCTCGGGAGGGCTGGGGTGGAGAGCCGTCCTGGGCGCCCAGATGCGGTTGCCCCCGCAGCTCTGTCCACTCGACCCTTGTCTTGTCAGAGACTTGGCTAAGCTCTGGGCTCCCAGCCCCGCCCTGGCCCTGGCTCCTCCTGAGCACCCCGGTGTGGCCGCGGCCTCCCGAGGGCCAGCAGGGAGCGTGGCGAGGGCAGTGACCGCGAGGCGCTGAGGATCCGCCTGCCCCACGCCTGGGCACTCACCCGCCGTGCCCGCCTTGGCCAGGCGCTCCAGGGGCAGGCGCACGGAGTCGTGCTCCACCGAGCAGGTAATGAAGTGGGGTGTGGCTGCCGAGGCACCCCCGGACGCGTGGCTTTCCTGGAACCAGCGCACCATGGACTGGATGACCAGGTTGTTGGACTGCAGAGACAGTGGGGGCGGCACTTACCAGCTGCCCGGGGAGGGCGACCTGCCCGCAGCACAGAAGACGCTCAGCCCCCGTCCCCGCCAAGACATCCAGCCACCGGGCCCCCAGAGCCCACCAAGGTTGAGGGGCGCCCGCAGACCCGACGCCAGCTTCCAGCCAGGGCGGGTGGGGCCCATCCACCCCCCACCCCGGGGGCTCCCGGGACAGGGCTTGACTCCCGTTTTACAGGACTTACAGCACCTTGATAAGCAAATTTATTTCCTACGCATTTGCTATTTTGGGGTGCTCTGGGGAACACCTAGTTGTGGCCGGGACGTACAAATAGTTGACCTTGGGAGCTGATAATTTGGCTCAACGGTCTTGTCAGGCCAACGGCCTGGCTGCAGGCTCTGGGGGCTGTCCACGCGGACACCGCTGGGGTGACCGGGGCCTCCTTCCGGAAAGGCAATGCAGGCCTCCTCCGCTGGCCAGCAGAGGCCCGGGGCCACCTCAGCGACCGTGAGCCTCTTGTCAATTCACACGTCACTGCCCGAGTGATCGCCCCTCCAGCTGCCACCCAGGCAGACAGCTCCGCAGGGGAGCCGCGGGGAGACTCTGGGGCGGCCGGAGCAACGGAAGGACAGGGCAAAGCAGGTTCCTCTGCACATGGCGTGGGGGTCCCCCACCCCGGGCCACGCCTGGCTGCGGCTCCCCTGTCCGTGACCTCATAGAACAGCCTGCTGGCGCCACCCGGAGGAGGGCACCTGCGGTTTTCTGCGAAGCTGGCTGCGAGGGTGCGCCCTTGGGAACGTTACCTCGGTGCCCCCAGATGTGAAGAGGATGTCCTGGGGGGCCCCGCCTATCATGGCAGCCAGGTTCTCCCGCGCCGCAGCGATGATGGCCTTGGCCTTCCGACCTGGGGGCCAGAATGGAAACTCCTGAGCGTCTCTCCACCGAGTCCAGCCCACCAGACGCGAGGGGCGGGGTGAGGAGACAGTTCCAAGACCGCCTGCCCGCCAGCGTGGACACGACACCCACCGCCTGGAGGACCTGGCAGCGGAGGGGGTTGGCGCCCATGGGGGCTACCAAGGCCCCATAACTGGAGTGGATGGAGGGACAGGGCTGCGTGGGGCGCTACAGGCCCGGACGTGGTCGCCTCTCACCGAGGCTGCGGGTGCGGGGAGATGCCCGGGCCTCAGTGCGGGGCAGGGAAGGACAGACTGGCCAGCTTACGCTCTCGCTGCACAATCAGAATAAGCACAACCAGCGGATGGCTCCTGTTCACCAGGCCTGGTGCCCCCTGGCGCCGGGGCCCAGGCACTGCCTGGCCTCCAAAGACGCAGCGTGCCCAGCGCCACCCGGCCCCGGACGGCGGAGGGAGGGGATCTGCACGTTTGCATCATGACGGCCGGCAGGTGCCCTCGGGGCGGGCCCGCCCGGACTGGCTGGGGCCCACCCCAGCGGCCTAGGGCCCACCCCGGGGCCCACCTTCTCCTGCGCACACCGCCCCCCACTCCTCACGTGCGAGCTCACTGGGGCCTTCTCCCCGGTTCAGAAACGCGTCTCATAAATCGCACATGGCTTTGCAAAACCTCCCTTGTCCACTCAGAAACAAGTCAGGCCCCGTGGGGCCACCTCGCCAGCGCTGGCCGCCAGAAGGGTGTCCGTGGAGAGACTGTTCCCGTGGTGGGGACGCTGGGGGGACAGTGTGGCCACTCTGAGGGGGCAGCTGGGCCTGACGGCGCAGCCAGTCTCCCCAGGTGGACACGACTCACCCATGTCCACAGCCCACTCTTTGGCGTGGGCAACACTGGAGCCAACCGAAGTCCACCCAGGGAGGACGTCACGGCCCTGGAGGACACCACACGGCCCAACAAAAACAAGCGCGTGCCCCAGAGAAGGGTGCCTCTCGCCTCGCTCCCCGGCCCAGGGCCGTCTCCACCGCGTAGCCGCCAGGACAAAGACGTGGGCGCAGGGCGCAGGCCCACCCTCCAACCCGGGCCGGAAACCACAGCGACGCAGGCAGCTTCCAGCGTGTCCTCAAAGGACTCGGCGCACCTTTCTCCCCCCTTCTCTCCTTCCCACCACGGGACTGCGGACGTGATGGCTGGAGCTGAGGCAGCCGCCTTGGCCATGAGGGGAAGGAGCCAGAAGAAGCGGGGTGCCTGGCCCCTGGTAGTGTCTTGATACTGCGTGGGCCCTGGCCTGAGGGAGAGAGAAACCCCAGGCTGTTTAAGCTACTCCCGGGGGGCGGTGGGGGGGGTGTCTCCCACAGTAAAGCTACATAAGACGTTTCCCACATCTGCTCTCATAGCTCTGCTCCTGGGGGCGGGCGGAGGTGGTTAACTGGAAATTACAGTCTTGGTGACAAAGAGTTTATTAGCTCATCAGAGGGAGGCCTGGAACCGGAATCGTCCAGCAGGTCTGCCCGGTGAGGGCTGTTCCGGCAAACATGGTCAGGACTTGGCTTATAGGGGCGACCGCAGCCCCGACGCCAGCTGTGATCGCCCTTGACGGGAGGGGCCTCTGGGTCTGGGTGCCCGATGGTCACTCGCTGCGTCCAGACGAGGGCGGGGCCCAGAAGAGAGTGCATCCTGCTGACGGGAACCCCACCGCACACCCTGCTCCATGTGCTCGCTCTGCTCCCCGGCCATCGCCCCGGTCGCCGTCGTGGGACAGAGCAGGCAGCAGGAGCCGCTGTCCACAGGGCACCGGGGACTTGAGCGCTCTAAACCAGCAAGGCTGTGAGGGCAGCTGGACAGCGGACCTCCCCTCACGGCCCGGGCGTCCTCTCAATGGAGCCACAGGCCGAGGCCCGTGGGGAAGCAGGGCCGTGCCTCCCGCGCCTTTCCTCCTGGCATTTCTGCCCCAGCCCAGCACACAGCGAGCCGTGGGGTTTGAAGTCACGGCTCTGTTTATTCGAGGCCTCCAGGCCCGCCAGGCCGCCTCCTCCAGAGCAGTGTCGCCCTGAGGGATATTCCTGGACTTCTGCAAGACAAATGCTTTTTATTGGCATTTGAATGTTACTCAAGTTTCAAGCTTAAAGCCAGGGAAAGTTCAGTGTTACTGGAGAGATTAGCCACAGGCAAAGTCCAAGGAGTGGGTTGATCAGTGACCGGCACCGGCTTTTAACAAGCTTTCATTTGACGCGCGCGACTCAGCCGCAGATGACCGCCTGCCGTGACCTTGCCTTCCACCGGAGAGTTACTTAGCGATCACCGTCCAGACGGTCCATCTCTTTTAAAGATTTATTTGTTTATGCGTACAAGAGCTGGGGCGCGGGCCAGAGGTGCGGGGTGAGAGGACTCCCCAGAGACACAGTGGGGAGCAGAACAGGCGGACCCACTGAAATCCACTGCTGAGGGGGCAGCAGGGAGATGGGGGGCTCTGCTGCCCGGATCAAGGGGCCGGCCATGCTGAGACTTGCCTGCCCCCCCAGGGAGGCCCCAGATAATGGATCCTAATCACCCCTGTTAAACCTGCAGTGAGAAGGGCAGCCCGAGCCCCACCGGCCTCTGCACAGCCCCCGAGGCTGCAGCCGGTGCTGCAGAAGCCCCGTCAGGCCCCCAGAGTGAGGCGGGTGAGACGCTTCTCCTCGTTCTAGTCGGAGAAAGTGAAAGTGGTTTCACAAAAGCCAGGATTAATGGGATCCGAGCTGGGTGGCTGTGCAAGGCCCAGCAGGGCGGTCAGCACAAAGACCCTTAGCCCGACCCCGCTCCCGGCGGGGCGCTGGAGACGCGACAGCCGCTGGGTCCGCGCAGACTCGGGTCTGCAGGAAGCACAACCTGGGCTCACAGGAGGGGTCTGCGGTTCGGGGCGAGGAGCCGGGGCCGGTGGGCCATTCCTGGCGGCCCGTCTCTTACCTGCAGGGTAGGGACTGCTGGGATTCCCCCAGGCGTCCCGCATGGCCTCGACCACGGCCTGGATGACCTCCGGCTCCAGGGGGGTGGTGGCGTTGTAGTCCATGTACACTGTCCTGGGGCGAGAACAGAGCCGAGCGGTTAGTTCAGAGCCACAACTGCTGAGGGCGGCGCCTCCACAGGCCGAGGGCAGGGCGGGCAGCTCCTCAGGGGGCTGGGGGGTGTGAGGCTCTGCAGGAGCTCCATGGAGGGGCTTCACCGGGGTGGGGGGGACGGGGGGGGGCATCCACGGGGGTGGGGGCCTCCATGGAGGGGCTCCACGGGGACTCTGCGGGGAGTTCGGGCCTGAGACGGGGGAAGCCCCAGGCGGGCACCCTCACAGGGGGCACCCACGCCTTGCCAGCTTCCTGTACAACGGACAGAGGCCACCGTCCTTGTACCCCTCACAGGACTGAGGGTCACTCCAATGGAAAGACGGAAGGAAGCCTTATGTGGGGACCCCACTCGTCCAGGGCCCCCCAAAAGTTCTCTCCCTCCTTGGCTGTTTCAGCTCTTCACCGGGCAGTTCTCTTTTCCCTCCCCGCCGGACTTTCCATTTCTTGGCCTTGCATGACCATCTCCCTCCCTCCATATTCTAGGTCTCTGTGTCCACTCGACCTTCCTAGTGAGGCCCCTGAGGTCCACGTATAGCTGCCCCCTGTGCCCCCACAATCCTCTGCAGCCACTGGCGCATCCCTGGTTTGTTGTCCACAGTACGTGGGCCACGTCCCCTCATGGCTCAGCAGCCAGCACTGAGAACGAAGCTGGCACACAGGACAAGCCGGTCACGTAGAAAACGCAGGCCTGAAGCCCCCGGGGCTGGAGACGAATATGCTCGTTACTCTACCCGGCTGGGAAAACCCACATCGGGTAACCCGGTGAGAGTAAAATGCAGCAACCAGGCACAGTTACGAGCCGTCCAGAGTGGCGCGCCCAGCCTGCTGGGTCCCCCCAGCCGCCGGGGGCGGGGGAGGCTGGACGCCGGCATATGGGGCCCGGTGCCTGCCACGCTGCCACCAAACCCCGCGGCGTGCTCAGCCCCCACATTCCGAGGGCTGTGACTGCAGTCGCTCAGTCGCCGCCTGGTCTCCTGACCCACGGCCTGGATGTCAGGTGGAGGCGCTGCTGACAGACAGGGCTTACCAGACCCTCGGTGAGGATTCGAACCCGGGAAGCGGCCCCACAAATTGTACCCCGGGAGCTGTTCCAGCAACCATGAGTTTGAGTTGAGTTTATATAAGTAGCAACAGGTGGGCCAAAGACATGGGGACTCCCCGGGGCGCAGCTGGTTGAGCACAGAGCGGTGAAGTTATCCGCAGCCTCTGCAGCGCGGGCTCGATCCCCGGCCGGCCGGCGAGGGTCCCACACGGCGCGCAGACCTCTCCTGCCACCCGCTGCTCCCCTCTGCAGTGGATTTCCTCAGTCTGCCTGTTCTGCTCCCCGCTCTGGCTCTGGTGAATCCTCTCACCCCCCGCACCTCTGGCCTGCACCCCGGCTATTTATAAATAAATGTATCTTTAGAAATACGTGATGGGGGGCGGGGAGGGAGCCTCTGCTTCTAAGTGACTTTAACATGAGGACGGGCTGAGCCTCTGAGCCAGGAGGCGCCAGGCTGGGTCCCCTCAGATCCCCTTTATCCTCCTCATCCTCCCTACTCCTGGGTCAGCCCGGGGGCGGGGTGGGGGGCGGGCTGGTGACCCCGCGAGGACCTGAGCACCGGCGCGGGCTTCTGCCAGAGCCGGGCGGGCTCCCGGGACTTCAGCTCCCGACCGGCCGCCTCTGCCGCCGCCCCGCACGGCACGGAGCAGCCCCTGCCGCCCACGGCCAGGACACGGCGCGGGGGACAGTCTCGGGGGGCCGCGGCCCCCCACGGGGCACCGGCCTGCGCGCGCGTGGGATTCGGTCTGGCCGGCGCGGGAGACACGCGCGCCCCTCCCGCCCCGCAGAGCAGCCCCGAGGCGGCGGCCGGCCCGGCGCCCCCACCCCCGGAGCGGGCCTCCCGCCGGCGGAGGCAGGGGCGCCCCCCACCCCCCCGCACCCCCAGGGCCTCCCGGGGGGGGCCGAGGCTCCCGCCTGAGTCACCACAGAGCACCCCCGGGGTTTCGGGGCCCCCCGCGCCCCCGCGGCCCCGCGGCCGGGGCCTCTGTCAGCCCAGCGCGGCCGGACGCGGGGCTCCGGGGCGGGCCCGGCCTCGAGGCGGGCGGGTGTCCCGGGAGTCCGGCCCGCGCCCCCGGAGGGCTTCCCGGAGGAGGGCGCCGGCGCCCCGCCCCGCCCCGCCCCGCCGCGCACCTCTCGGGCGGGGTCTCCTCTGCGCGGCCCCGCGCGGCCCGGCCCGGCGCCTCCATCCCGCCCGGCGCGACGCGGGTCCCGCGCGGCCGCCCCGGGCCTGTCAAGCCGCGCGCGGGCCGGGCCGGGCGGGGGCGGGGCGGCGGCGCCGGGGCGCGGCCGGATTGGCTGAGCTGCTCGCGGCCGGCCAATCCCCGCGCTTCCGCGCGGCGGGCGGGGAGGCGGGGCCTCCGGGACGGGGAGGGCGCTCATTGGCCGCGCGGCGTCAGGTGACCGGCGGGGGCGCGGGGCGCGGGGCCTGGGACCCCGGGGGGCGCCGGCGCCGGCCTTGGGCGCGGGAATTTCTCACGGGAGCCCCCGCGCCGCCTGGATCTCGAGCGGCAGAGGGGTCCCCGCCCTGCCGGCGGGGAGTTAGGGTGCAGGGGTCCGAGCACCCCCGAGCCGGGCCGGGGGTCGGACGCTTTGCTGGCTCGGCCCGTCCGGCCTTGGGGTGCGGGGTCCGCTCCCCTCTCCACACCCCGCTCGCGCGCGGAGCCGCCCTCTGGGCGGTGCTGCCGGCAGCTGAACCCCAAACCCGGACAAGCTGGGCGCAGCCCGGGGCCCGGGACTGGGGGCGCGGGGCGGGGCCGGGGAGGAGGGAGGCGGCGCGGGCGGGGGCGGCCGGCCGGGGTGTCCTGCAGAAGTGGGGGGCGGAGCGAGGGCGGAAAGCACGGGAACCCCGAGGGGAGCTAGTCCGGGAGAGGCACCGGCAGGGCGAGCCGGGTCGGAGGTGGGGTGAAGGAGGCGGCGGGACGCCGGGGCAGGGACGGTGCTTGCTCCCCAGGACCTCGGGCGGGGGAGCGGGGAGAGGCTGTGTCCGGGGAGTCGGTCACGAGGCGCCCGGGGCCGGGGCGCCCCGGCCAGGACCAGTGGCGAGGCCGCCGGGCCCCGCGCTGGCAGCGCCCCCCGCACGCAGGCGGGATGCGACCCGCGGCAGCAGCTGCGTCCAGGCGGCCGGCCACGGGGCGGCCGCGGTCGCGGCGGGGCAGGGCGAGACCTAAGAGGGGGCACTCGGCCGCCAGCTCCGGGGACCCGCCGGGGCGGAGGCGAGACCTGCAGGGAGAGAGTGGACACGTTATTTTTATTTTTTAAATGGCAGTTGTAAGAACAAAAACAAAGAAAAAACAGATTTTGGGTGTGAAAGCTAATAACCGAGGCTTAAAATCTCAGTTGTTGGGGGGCAGGGTGGGGGGCGAGGGGCTGTCGGGGCGCGGCGCGTTGTGGGTGCCAGAGGCGGGTGCCGCCGTCACACGCCTGTGAATCCCAACAGAAACTCGCGCACCAAGAGTGAACTTCAACAGGAGCCGTGGACGTGGGGGGCAAAGTGTCAGCGCAGCTTCATCAGCTGTACCGAATGACAAATTGTGGGGTGTCGTACTAGGGAGGCTTGCATCCACTTTTCTCTCAATTTGCTGTCCATCGACTTCTCTAAAACAAGTTCTATTTCCAAAAAAATCAACAGATGGACCAGATAGAACAAGTGTAGCAAAGGATGAGTGAGAGGCGCCTCCCTGGGGCGCAGGGTTATGTCTCAGCACTATCAAGCTGTCCCCATCCCCTGCGGCCTGGGTTCAATCCCCAGGCAGGGAGTGACGCACACAGTGCAGCAGACCTCTCCTGGCCCCCGCCGCTCCCCTCAGCAGGGGATTTCAGTGATCCACCTGTTCTGCTCCCCAGTTGTCTCTGGTGAATCCTCTCACCCCCTGCACCTAGCTCTGTATGCATAAATCAACCCTTAAAAAAAGTGGGTGAGGGCCTCCCCGGTGGCGCAGCGGTTGAGCGCTGGGTTGCGAAGCTGCCCGCAGCCTCTGCGGCGCCGGTTCGATCCCCGGCTGCTCCCCGGCCACCAGAGGAGGGTCCCGCATGGCGCGCAGACCTCTCCTGCCGCCCGCTGCTCCCCTCAGCAGTGTCCTTCGGTCCTTCTGCCTGCTCTGCTCCCCGCTCTGGCTCTGGTGGATTCTCTCACCCTCCCGTGCTTCTGACTGTGCCCAGTGCTTGTGTAAATAAATAAATAAATCTTAAAAAAAAAAAAAAAAACCTCAGCGTTCATACAGATGAAGACAGTATTTTGGCCTTCACCTTCTGAAAGCAAACATTCTAAGTGGCCACCCCTCCGCCCTGTGTTTTATTTATTTATTTATTTTTTAAAAAAATATTTATTTATTTATACAGGCACTGGGTACAGTAGAAGCGCGGGAGGGTGAGAGAATTCACCAGAGCCAGAGCGGGGAGCAGAGCAGGCAGAAGGACCGAAGGACACTGCTGAGGGGAGCAGCGGGCGGCAGGAGAGGTCTGCGCGCCATGCGGGACCCTCGCCGGCAGCCGGGGATCGAACCGGCGCCGCAGAGGCTGCGGGCAGCCTCGCAACCCAGCGCTCAACCGCTGCGCCACCGGGGAGGCCCCCGCCCTGTGTTTTAAAGATGTTTCTTCGCTGTTTTCGAACTTGCTGGTTTCCGAGGAGACCTCTATCGCCACTGGCTGTGATCCGCCATGTATTGTCTTCACTTCCCGCCTGCTTGTAACGTTTCTGCTCTGGTTTAAAGCCACTTAGAATGTCACCTGTTGCTTCGGGTTCGCTGACCGCGGACCTGTGGGTCTATTTCGTCAGGTTGGGGGGTTCCGTCTCCTGCTTCTCTCCCGGCCGCTCCAGGCCCGCGCGGGTGTGAGCTGTGTGCCGGGACGCCCCGCTCTGAGGTTCTGCGCTTCCCCACAACGCCCCCTCGTTGTGGGCGGTTACTGCCATCGCCAAGCTCAGGCATCTTTTCTGCAATATCCGACCTGCCGTTAAGCCAACCACTGTCCTCCTCCAGGTGTCTTTCTTCTGGAAGTTGAATTTGGACTTTTGCCCCTTCCCCGCCCGAGTTAACACGCATGCTCTTTCCTCTTGCTCTTGTCTACGCTTGATCCCTGTCGTTCCCGGGGCTGTTCCGACGGTCTGATTTCCCATGGCCCTGGTCCCGTTTCCTCTGCACACCCTGTCATTCCCGCCCTGTCCCGAGACACGATGACACGCATCACTGTAACTAAGGTGTACGGCGCGACTGGCATCTTGATCCCACGTCTGCTTGGCATCCACTCTCTCACATGACACAATAAAAAAGCAAAAAACAACAAACCAACCTGGGGTGGGGGGTGCTTGTGACTTTATTGAACGCCGTGGGCGCGTCGTTATATTGTCATGGAAGATTTTGTCCCAATCACTGCGGATCTGCAGGCGGCGGAGATAAATGCTGTGGGGCCCTTTGCCCGGTTGTCATGTTTACGATGGTGAAACCTCCCAAGACTAGAGCAACCCGCGGCCAACCTGCCTTTTGGGGCAATGAGACCGCTTTGTAATCGCTGATTTTTTTTTTTTAAGTGTTGGTGATGTTCCCTCCCTCCCTCCCCCTCTCCCCTCCCCCCCTCCAGCACCAGGTACAGTCAGAAGCGCGGGAGGGTGAGAGAATTCACCAGAGCCAGAGCGGGGAGCAGAGCAGGCAGAAGGACCGAAGGACACTGCTGAGGGGAGCAGCGGGCGGCAGGAGAGGTCTGCGCGCCATGGGGGATCCTCGCCGGCAGCCGGGGATCGAACCGGCGCTGCAGAAGCTGTGGGCAGCTTCGCAGCCCAGCGCTCATCCGCTGCGGCACCGGGGGAGGCCCTGTAATCATTGATGTTAACGTAAATCTCCCGCCTTACTGATCCTCTTGCCAACCACCTGCTTCTCTGAACTTCCCTTCTTGTGGGCTATTTAAAAAATTCTGTCATGATTTCTCAATAGTTTTAAAAATTATACTTCACATATCATTGAAATTCACAGGATTATATGAATTATAATTCTATAAGTGTATGTGAATTGTAATTCACATGCCATAAAACCCACCTTTGAAAGTGTTACGTAGTGGATTTTAGTAGTCACCACCCCTTTCAGAGTATTTTTATCATCCCCAAAGAAACACGCCCAGTAGCACCCGGCCCCCCCCCTTCGCCCCTGGGCACTCCTGTAAGTGGGATCCCGCAGGGCGCGACCTCACAGGCCTGGCCCCTTCGGGTGGGAACCTGCAAGCAGGTCGAAACATGTAGCAGTGGCCTGTTGACCCCCGACGGGCCCGCGGCCATCCCGGTGCCCAACTACTGGGGACAATGGCGCTGGACGTTCAGGCCCCGCTAGCAGGCATCGCGCCCTTTCTCCTGCCGGCGTGCCCGGAGCAGGGTGTGCGGGGTGACCCACTCATCTCATTGTGCCGAGCAGCTCCCAGAATGTTCCCAAGTGGCCACGCCATTTGCCTTCTGCCTGGGGGCACACGAAGGCTCTACCCCCAACATCACCTGTGACACTTGTTCTTTGCCCTTTCGGGCCCCTTGGGGGTGAGCTGGCTCTGCATCTTCTTCCCAGCTGTGATCGTAATCCTCGAGCCCTGCGTGTTCCTAACTCAGAGCTCCCACCACCCCTAGGCCCCCTCAGCGACGTGGGTGATAGAGGTGACAGGAGCCTTTCACCTGCGCTGGAAGCCGCCATGACTTTGGGGCGCTGGCTGCGGGGGAGCCGACCACGTGGTTACAGGTGGGCACTCCCGGCACCCCTCTCCCCACTAACCAGCCGCCAGCGGCCCGCAGCGAGCTCTCCTCAGCAGCCCCGGCTGAGGGGCTAGCAAAGACCCTGCTGGTGAGCAGGCAGGGTGCCGGGAGGGCGCGCAGGGCCCCCCACCCCCGCCTCACAGGCAAGCTCCCCTGTTCTGTTGGCAGCGAGGCCTTTCCCGAAGCAGTCATGGCGAAAGGAACTTGTCTTTCTGGGTCCTGGGAGCCGTTCTAGCAAATGACTGACCTGGGGTGCAGCCCGACTTAGACCTCGCGCTGTCCCTGGCTTCTGCGGTGGGGGCGGCCCTGCTGAGCCCGCAGGCCGCAGGCCCTGGCGCTGACCCGGCCAGGGGAGGCTGAGCGCCGAGAGCCCCTGGGCAGGCCGCGTGTTCCGGTCGCCGGCAAAAGCCTCTTCCTGGAACGCACCGGCCACCGCCGTGACGTGCCCGCGGCTAATGCTTCAGCTGTTGGGCCTCGAGTGTTCCGGTGCCGGGTGCTGCCCAGGTCTGCAGGGCGGCATCTCCCGAGGCTGCTCTTCGCCTCCTGATGCCCTTGGAGGCCAAGGCCCAGGCCCCGTGCCGCTCTGGCCGCTGTCCGGGCGGCCCCTCAAGGGGCGCGTGCGCCCGCGGGGCCAGGGCGTGTGTTTAGCTCTGGCTGAAGACCTGGCGCCCCACGGCAGCGCCGCTGTTTCGAGTTCCCCTGGTCTCCACGCACCTGACTTGGCGTCTGCGGCGTGGACGCGCCCACGTGCGCCCCTCCCACGTGGCCGTCTCGGCAACGTTTGCCGTAGCGGCCTCGGCGGAGGCGCGGGCTTCCTCCCGGGGACCCCGGGGTCTCCCCGAGCCAGCACAGGGCGCGGCCACCCGCGCGGGAAGGCGTCAGACTTCGCGCCCCCGGACCGTGCGGGCGTCGGAGCCCAGCCTGCTACCGTCAGCATCAGCTTGGCCGGGCCGCGCTGACGCTGGGGAGGCCGCCCTCCCCCACCCCCTCCCTCCCCGCTAGGTCTTAAACATCTTTGGGGGGTTTTACTCTATTGTAACTGGAGTCGTTAACCTCGTTCTGGGGCCGCTCAGTTCCTGTAGGGAAACAACCGGTTTGGGGCCACTGGGCTGCCCCTCGAGCCTGGCAGCACCTGTCCAGCGGGCGAGGCCCAGGAGGTGGTTCCCACGGCCACTGGTTTGCTCCTGACAGCCCTGGAGGGAGGCTGCGAGGGGGCGCCCCCCGCCTGCTGGCCTGTTCCTGCCGCGGGGCTGGGCATCGCCGGGTGGCCCGGGGGTATCCTGCCTCAGTTCTGAGACTGAACAGCTGCTCCGTGGGTGACTCTGTTCATCTCCCAGGTTCTAAAGGAGCTGACAGAATTTTTGCCTTTTGTTGCTTTCATGAGGGAGAAGTTTGAGACGTTCTTTGCCAAGCTGCCCGCGGTCGCACCTGCTGGCCCCGTCACTGCTCCCCAGGCTCCGAGGCCGTTCCGGGGAGACCGCGCGCGGCTTCCGGTCTCTGCACGTTTATCACGTTCATGGAGGTGAGGCAGCCTCCCCCGCACTTACTTCCCTACCTTCTCTAGTCTCATCAGATGAATTTCTTATTTAACCGCCCCCTACAAAGACTTACAAAGACTTCTGCCTCCATCGTCTCCTTCCTGGCTGAAGACTTCTCTCCGGTCATCTTGACGGGCAGCTCTGCCAGCGACACATTCTTAAAGAATTTCCCTGCCAGTATCTTGATTTCACTTTCATTTTTGAAGTTTGAGGGATACAGAACCCGTGACTGACGTTTTTCTGCGCCTGAGCAGCGGCATGTCACTTCCTCTCAGCCTTCGCGGCTTTGCAGGAAACAAGTGGCTCGCAGGGTGCCCCGACGGGTAACGGGCCCCTCCTCTGAGGGCTTTCGGGTTTATATAAACTTGGCTTTGGCGTGGACTTTTCGTTTGGCGTTCACGCAGCTTCAGGGCTCTCTCAGAAACGATTCTCCTGCCAAACTTGGGTCCTTCCCAGCTCCCTTTCTTCACGTTCTTCCTTTCGGGGCCAGGAGTGCTGCTATCGGGCCTGCTCCCGCCCCCCCCACCCCCAGTGCCACAGCTGTGCCCCTCTCCCGTGCTGCCTCCTGCTCCAGGTGAGCTCCCTGGCCCTCCCCGGCCCTGCCAGGAAGTCTTTCCACTTGCCAGTCCTAGGAAGGTCACAGGCGAGGAGGCTGCTGCCTCCTGCACCCCAACGTCTTTCCAGACAGGTGTGCAAATCCCCAGGGAAGGACTTGAAGGCGGGAAGCGTGCCGGGCACCGTGACACCCGTCACCGGCAGGCAGCAGGCAGGGTCCTTCCCAGACTCCACCTGAAACGTGGGAGCTGCTGCAGACAGCAGGCCCAGCAACACGCGGGCTGCACAGAAGTGTCTTTAAGGCAGTGGCCTCTCTGGAAGGTGCATGGCCGACTTCATTGGCCGCTGGGGGAGACCAGGTAAGCCACTCCCAGGAGTTCCCACGCGCTAGCCTGCCCCACAGCAGCGGCAGGGCGGCCCCCCAGAGCCAGGAGGGTACAAAAGCAGAGGCAGGTGGGGCTCCGCCTCAGGGCAGTGCTCTGACCCCGGGACACTGAAGGGGAGGGGTCTTGCAGGTGCAATGCTTGAGGAGAGATGAGGGGACCCCACGCTGGACCACCACACATAGCTGCCTTAACAATCCCCAATCAGTGGCACATGGGGACGTGCCGACATCTGGCAGCACTGTGCCCCCGGGCCTGCCCCCAACGTCTCCCTGGCAGCCCTGCCTGCTGGGGACCGGGTCCCACCCGCGCTCATCTGGCTGGTGGGCACACACCAGAGCCGGGAATGCTCCCTCGGCCTGGCGGCGGGGAGGAGCCCCAAGAAGCAAAGGGCCCAGGAGCTGGGGTCCCCAGAGACTGACAGGGCCATGTGGCCTGTCCACAGTGGCAGTCTCGCTCTCCAGGGCTGGGTGGCGGGAAGGGGTGAGCCAAGCAGCACGTGCTAACGCCGTCTGTGGAGACTGGCTGGACCCAACGGATGCTTGCCCGCGTCATGGGCTCCGGCTTGCGTCCCGCACCTGGGGCCGCCATGGGCGGCTGTGAGTGGTGGCTGCTGTGTCTTGGGCCTGGGCAGACCAGCTGTGGCCTCCCGACACCACATGGACCTGTGCCCAGTGGGTGTCTTCCCTCAGACCTCAGGAGGGGGTAGTGCTGTGCCCCGGGACGGGCCCTTGACCCAGCCCCCTGCCCCCCGCTCTAAGCAGAGGTGTGGCCCACGAGGCAGCCGCCCTCAGTCTGCTGGACACGATTCCTCAGCACGGGCCAGAAACAGGGCCCCACCCTTCGCTGCTGACCACACATCAGGCAGGGCAGGTGGGTGGGGGAGGGCCGCACAGGGCCCAGAGCTGCCAGTGCCCGGGAGCGCCCGGCAGCAGCGCGGGACCGAGCCCACATTCGCCCAGTACTTGCTCACTGGTCCGGTCGCCCAGACACCAGAGGAAGCCGCCGCTGCTGCGTCCTCGCTCCTGCGCACCGACACGACCGCGTCCGGCTGCCGGCCACCGACTGCGAGTTCACCCCTGGGCGGCCGGGTGCCGTGGCAGCGGAGAAGGCCCGCGGGCTCTGCCACAGTGCGCCCCTGGGCCTGGCCAGCTTCCCGGCAGCGGGGGCTCCCTGGGACTCCACGCTGAGCTCCAGGTGGGCACCCAGACCCCCCAGCTTTCTCTATTTTCCTTTCTGTAAATCCTCCAGCTCCACTGTCAAAGGGCCCCGGAACTTCCTGCCCCGTCCGGACCCGAACGCGAGAGCTGGTTCTCGGGGCCCGCCCCGCGCTGCGCGGGGACAGAATGGCTGCTGTGCCGTTCGTGTTTCCTTTGTATTTCTCTGCAAGAGCTGCGGGACCCAGCATCTGTCTGTCTGCTCTATAACAATGAAAGTACAAACTAAATGAGAATAGAAAAAAATAATTAAAGCATTAAATTGTACAAATTACAAATCTGTTCCAAAATATACTTACATTAAATAAAATACGCATTTCAGTAAGAGACCTACAGTGAGTGACTGAGCTCCCGGAGCGGCCAGACCCCGCGTCCGGCCCCGGGGCCGCGGCCCGTGCAAACGCAGCTGCGCCGGGCAGGCGTCGGTGCCGCGGGCGCGGGGGCTGGTTCTGCCGGGGAGGGAAGAAGCGGGCTCCGGCCGTGGCTCGAGTTCATCCCCCTCCTCAGGCCCCGCGGCGGCCCGACAGCAGGTTCAGAGAGCGAACATGTTAGGGAAGCAGACAACGCGTTAGACCCCAAGCACACGTGCTGCTGTATTTATGCGGCGTCGCCGTCTACAAGGGCCGTCCGGGAGGGTCTTCCTCAGACCACACGGCCGCGGGGCGGGACGGCCCAGCGCGAGGACCGGGGAGGGTCCCTCCAGGCTGCCGCTGGAGACAGGCTGGGACACAGCCCGCTGCCGCCCCGCCGATCATCTAGCGTAGCGCCGCATGTAGTCCTCCACCTTGTTCCGGAAGTCCTCCTGCGGGGGGGAGGACGGGGTGAGTTAGTGAGGGGCAGGCGGGACCCGCTCGGCGCCCGTCCTCAGCCGCCCAGTGCAGGGCCACGGTGGCGTCGGAGCTGCGCACCAGCCCTCTCCTGGGGGCCGCCTGGGCGGGACGAGGACACCAAGCTGACAGAAGGGGCCACCAGCCCCCTCGTTGTGTGGATGGGGCAGTGAGGCCCAGAGTGGGGCCGAGGTCCGCACGGGCCAGGCCAGGCTCAGGTAGGTGTGGGTGAGGGCGGCTGCCCCAGGGAAGACTCTGCGTTGAGCCCTCTCCCCAGAATGACTTTCTGGGATCTCACTGCCAGGTGCTACCCTGCCCCAGAGCCACACAGTCCTCCTGGGCCTCAACCAGAGGCCACCGGCAGTCTAGACTGACCCTCAGGCAAAGCAGGGTGGCACAGACTTGGAGTCCCCCAGTCAGGTGTGTGCCCAGCTTTGCTGTAGGGCTGGAAGCCAAATGCCTGTCTTGCAGGAGTAAGCAAGGGCCCTGAGTGACAGAAGCTTGCCCATCCGAGGTCTCCCTGTACCTCAGGGGCTCTCAGATGGGGCTCCGGACACAGCCACACCTGCAACACAACCGCCAGGCCACTGAGGTCCCGTGGGGCCCGCTGCTTTGTCCTGTCAGGTGACAGGTGAGCCCCAACATGAAAGCGCACAGTGAGGTCTGGCTGGGCGTCAAGGCCGGGCTCTGGAGGACCAGCCATGGCTGAGTGGCCAGTTGGTCCCCTCACTGCCACAGAGGCGGAGGACCTGGGGGGGCTGTGCTCCAGCCACGCGTCACCCACTGCGGCCCCCACACGGCCAGCTCAGCTCTGGGCCCTAATGTGCTGGATGGCGTGGGGACGTGCCCAAGGTCGCGGTGACCAAGTGGAGAAAGATGTCTGCTCCTGTCCACGAGGCAGCCTGCCCATGGCAAAGGTGGGCAGCACAGAAGCCCGCATACCTCTGGCAAAATCTCTCACAAGGCCATTGCCGCAAAGTCCAGGAGCCAGAGATACCACCAGGTCCTGAGAGCCTCAGCCAAGGCGCATGGCCACCCGACCCCACCCCACCTGTGGCCACCGGTTCCTCTGCCTCGTCTTAACCCCTTCTGCACTATCATCTCACCCAGGACGAAGGCCGCAGTCCAGTCCAGGCCCTCCACATGAGGCTTCTGCCGCCCCCTGCCTCCCGCCTTAGGCCTGAGGGTCACAGAGCAGGACCTGCATGAGGACCATGGGCCCGGAGCCAGAGGGCGTGGTTCAGACCTCACGCTCCGCCCCTTCCCGGCGAGTCTTTTACCTCTTTCATGCTTCGGCTTCCTCACAGCAAGTCAGGGGCAACAAGAGCACCCCCGAGCTCTCATGCGAGCATCCGCACCCTGGAGGAGTAGGAACAGCCTGCACCCAGCCAGCGGCCCCACTCGAGGCACTGCCGCCATCACCACCCTGTCCCGCTCCCTGTCACGCTGACCTTGACACTCTTCCCCGCACACCCCAGCACGGTGCTGCCCCAGGGGTCTCTGCACAGGCTAGGGACGCCCCTAGATACCCTCTTGGTTCACGGCAAACCTCTAGTCACACTGAGCAAAAAGGCCTGCCCTGGGCACCCTACATGAAACAGCAACACCCACCCCCGGCCTGCTTATCCGTGCTCTGTGCGCACCACGGGGACGGGGTGGGGACAGTCCTTCACAGGTCTGTCCTGGGTGCGTGGCCGCTCAGTGGCCATCATGAGGTCGGGACAATGAATGACCACTAAAGTCAGTCACAAGCGGTTGGCCGCTCCGGCCAGGACATGGCAAGGGCTCCCGCGGGCCGGCCCAGGGTCTGCAGGACTTGGCTCACCCACTGGAAGCTGGAAGCTTAGAAACTGCAAGTCACCCCCTGATTTCATACCAAGAGCAGGAAGCAGTGCCCCAAGAAAAATAAAGATAGGCCTGGTGGCAGGTCTCCCCAACAGCCCCAGGGAGGCCTGTGCGGCAGCCACGAAGAGCGGCCTCACCACGGCTCCAACTGGTGGGGTCTTCACAGGAACGCAGCCTTTTGAGGTGGGGCCAGGGCGTGGAGCAGTACCCCGAAGGCAGGCAGGCTGTGAAGACAGGCAGAGCAGCACGCCTCCCGGGACCCCCTCAGCAAGACCCCGGCTGACGGGCGGCCTGCTCGCCTCCCCTGGGCACACCCCCACGGTCCCTGCGGCGGCCCTCACAGGCTCTGCAGGCCTCACCAGCACCTGGCCGGGCGTCGGCCCTCGCTGCAGGCCCTGCCGAGGCAGTCCCCGGGCCCTGGGTTCAGGGTCGGGGTGGACGCCAGCCTGGCATGCTTGGAGAGCCCACGCGTCTCCACAAACAGATGCCAACACCAAGCTCGGCGCACAGAACCTCCCGAGGCTTCCAGAACTTCAGAGCATGGTCAGAGCCGCAGGAGCCAAGGCGGCGTGCTGGGGGCCACCCACCGGGTGGTGAGTATTCTACAGGGAAGCCGGGCCAGAAGTGAAGCGCGCTCGCTCGGCCCAGCGTGCCGGCACACTGGAGGGGACCAGCCCCTCGGCCCATTTCCCGCCCAGGCCGCATGCCCCAGCTGCGCTCCGTGAGGAAGCGTGTGCAAGGGCTGTTTTCTGCACTACTACTCGTCGATGGGAAAGACAGACTGCCCTCTAACGAGAGAATGGATTTTTAAAAAGCACGACAGAGCTCCTAACAGAAGACTACACAGCTCCTGAGCTGAGCGGTGAGTTTATGCACTGACCTGCAAGGAAACATTTAAAAACAAATAAATAAGGAACCGAACATGGCCCATTACTTCAGACCAAAGCCAAACACGCAGGCATGGCCAGGATCACAGGGACCGAGGGCGGCCTGCGGGCGGGGGCTACCACCTGGTAGTGCCAACACTGCCTGCGATGCTGAGCAGCCTCCCCGGGCACACCCCACAGAGGCCACACTTAGCCCAGCCCTGGAGCGCGCGGCCTGGCTTCCCCACCCTCAGCGGGGACGGCCCAGGCTGGCTCACCTTGTCCCGCAAGTGGTGCTCTGCGGCCTCAATGTTCAGGGGGTCGTCGAAATTCAGGAGGTCCTGGGGAGAGGGAAAGGCAGCGTGAGCCCCGGGGGCTGCTCCGCCCTTACAAGGCCCCCCTCATTCTATGAACTAGGCAACAGGGATCTGACGGGCAAATGGCAGCACCTGATTGCTGACAAAGCCCAGCAGGAACGGAAATTCTCTCAACATGTGGCTATTTTTCAAAAAGGCGAGGAGCGGTTGGCCAAGAGAAGCTGGCACGTGCTCACCCGTGACTGTCCAAAGGGAGGGGCGCGGGCAATGCGCCGTCTCCGGCTTTAAAGCGACCCTGGATGACTGGAGACGGGGCCTGAGCTGATTCCTTTTAAACTTTTTTTATGATCAAAAAACTAAAATTCATAAGAAATAAACGCTACATAAAAATGCAAACAACAGCCCTTTCAGCTCTTAACAGCTCCTGCCCGTGAGCCCCGCGGTGGAGTATTCCCCAGGACAGGAAACCTGGCAGCTCATCCCCGAGAAGGGCATTTCGGGTCTGGGCATGCAAAACCCGGGGGTCGGGCCCACACACCCCAGCTGGACGCCGAGGAGCAGAGCGGCTGGTGGTGAGAGCAGACAGTGGGGCTGGCCAGGCGCCCCGCCAAGGAGACCAAAGCAATGGGCGTGGCTCATGCCCCCCAAGGGGCAGGGGCGGCCTCCCAGCAGGGCAGAAGTGGGACCCTCTGCCCCTGGGGGTCACTCCAGACCTGCTGTGTCTTCTGACCCCAGAGAGCGCAAGAGCAGGCCCGCGGCTGCCGGGGTGTCTACCCCTCCAGAGAGGCTAAAGGCAGCAGCCAGGGGAGTCAAGGAAAACGTGGGGTTTGGGTCAATATACTTACAGTAAACAAAGAGTTTAATCCCCAGACAACATCCTGAAAGAAGAGAGCAGAAAAGCAGGTGTCAGACGCCGGCGCGGTCCGTCTTGGAACCCGCAGCCAGAAGCTGAGCCGCGCAGGCCACAGCGAGCCCCGTCCCTGGCGCCACGGCTCTCCACAGAAGAAAATCAACCGACTCCGTGGGTGGAGGAGAGCACCCCCTCCTGGGGCGGGTCCCACGCCTGCCCCGCCCAGCAGAGCTGGCTCGTGGGCCACCAGACAGGGACGCCTGCTGCCTCCCGGGGCGCAGGGAAGGGACCGTCGCTGCACACAAGTCTCCTCATTTCGCTCTCGATGCTCCACAAGCAAGACTGAGCTTCCCAGCACTCCAAGGTCAGAAACTGTCACCAGAGAGAGCTCGCAAGCCAAGGTGGCCTGCGGCTGACTTGTGACCTGTGACCCCAGCGTGGGACCGCCCGCACTCCCGCCAGCCCATCAAGGCCCCTTCTCCTTCAGAGCGCTGCCCCCGCGGCTTTCGTGGGCCTTCGCTTCCTCTGGCCACCTGTCCCCGCCCTCCCGGTGGGGCCGGGGTCAGACGGATGGGCGTGAGGGCAGAGCCCACTGGGGAAGGGTGACGTCACAGAGCTGCGGGTAGCTGATGGGCAGAGGGAGGCAGGAGCCCCTCCCAGGCCAGGACCACCTCAGGTGGCTAAACCCGAAGCGGGCAGGAGACGCGGGGAGGGACAGGGCAGCCCGCCTCAGTGGTGGGGACCACACTTCAGAGCAGCCTGGACCCTGTGCCTGCCATGCCCCAACCTCAGAAGGAGTCCTGTGCTCTCCCCCTAAGCGCCCACTGGCTGACGGCCGGCGTCTGACCGTCCTCTCCGGCCATGAGTGGCCGCGCTCCTATTGCCATCTCCCGGGAGGGCAGTCCCCTAAGAACCTGCCCTGCCTAGGCCCAGAGCCATCACTCCTGGCCCAGGGGACCCACGCCCGTCTCTGGCTGCTCCTCCCGGACAGCGGCCGCGGGGCCACAACAGCCTGTGCAGTGGCCCTGGCCGCAGCCTCCCTCTACACACTGTCCCCGCCCACCCTCCTTCCTGCCCATGGCGGCCACGGTCCTACCCCAACCCCAAAGTGAAATGAGGACAGAGGGAGGGATGGGCCGAGTTGCCCAGCAGCCGCAGGCAGGGGGAGGTGGTGGGGGGGAGCGTGTGTGCCTGGCCCCCACGTGGACACAGCTGCGAGGATGGGGCGGTCCTTAAGGGGGGCTGGTGACCAGGGGAGGGCCCGCGGCCTGGGTCGGGGCGCTCAGCCTACCTTCAGCGTCCTCGTGGGGGCCCAGCCAGTGCCGTCAATTGAGTGCTCCCTCAGCAAGCTGGAACAGACAGACCGGGTCAGAGGGGCCGTGGCGCCTGGGCAAGCGCCTGTGGGCTCTGCCTCCAAGGCAGCCCTTCCTGTGCCCCGGGCTCCCGCCCTGCTGCAGGTGCCAGTCCTCCCCCGCCCTGAAGATGTCTTTAGCTAGGGCGCAGGAGTGTTGCTGGGAAGGGTCATGGGGAATCAAGCGGAGACCAGGGGGGCCCGGCTCTTTCCCAAGGGGAGGGGTGGCAGAGCCCAGGTAGCTGCCGGGCTGGCCAGCAGGGCCGCAGGCACCGGAGGACACGGTTTGGAGGCTGAGCCCTCGGGGTGGGGGTGGGGGGGCTTGGAGAGGGGAGTGGTTGGTGGTTCCCAGACCTCCCTGATCTCGGCCCAGCTGGAAAAGCGCCTCAGAGGCGCCAAGAGCTTAGATACCCGGCACGCACGTCCCTTGCACACACACAGAGCACAGGAGGGACTCACCTCAGACATATCTCGCCTGTCTCCGTGATGTTGGGGTGCCAGATCCTGGTCAGGCATTTCACTTTGGGAGGCTGCAACACAAGGAGATCCCGGCTCTGCAAGCACGCCCACAGCGTGAGGTGGCCCCGGCCCGGCACCCTCACCCAGGGGTGCCAGCCTCACTGGGGAAGCCAGCCATACCCCAGCTGACCACTGGCCGTACCCTGGGGTGTGGGCCAGGCCTGCTAGGGCCTGACCAAGGCCGGGCCCGGCGGAGCTTGCATGTGCGGGAGGGCCACACACTACAGGTCGGCTTAGGGCGTCTGCACCTCCTGCTCGTCCCTGGGGCTGAGGGCGGGTCCCGGCTTCCACTCGGGCAGAGTGCCCTCCCTCTAGGAGGCTGGGCGGGGAGGGGCCCTCACAGGGGCCACCTCGTCCCAGGGCTGAGGCGCCGGCTCCGAAAGGAGGGCAGCCCCTCCCGTGCATCACTTGGCATCTCCATTTGTGGCGAATTCTGAGGCTGAGGGTTTCTAGATCGTTGCCATCGAGTCTCGTCTTTGCTACGGCACCCAGGCAGCACTTTGCCACTGGCATGCTCCCCTGAGCCTCTGCTCCGCCTGGTCCCGCACCCCTCCCACCACATGAAACTAAAGCTCACTGTCCTGCACCCCAGAGAGGCCCCCGAGGCTCCGAGCGCCCACCCCCCTCAGCACACTCATCTCGCTTCCTGCATGCTCACGGGGCGCTAGCAAGGAAGGTGCATCCAGCAGGCCCGCTCCAGGCGAGGGAAGCCAGCAGCACCTGCCCAGGTCACGGGACAGTAGTGTCCAGGGCCAGATGCCGCCGTGGCTCGGCACCCAAAGGGCCCGAAGCCATCGCCCTCCCCCTGTGGACCCAACATGCCTGCGGCCCAGCAGCGGTGCCCACCGCCCCTCATGCCCGCGCTGCAGCCTCAGGTCAGGGGCCCTGCGCATCAGCGCTGCGTGCCCAGACCCCCACCTTTCCAGCTGAGATCTGTGTGGACGCCCACCCGCCCGCCCCGGAAGCCAGACCGTGCGTGTCGACAAGGAGAAGCGGGCCAGGCAGGGGATCGCGCTGCCAGCCACGGGGGTGAGCAGGGGACACGGTCGGGAGCCCACTTGGGAGCTGATTCCAGGGCCGCTGAAGGCAAAGGACTTGGAGCCACAGGGGCGCTGCAGGAGGAGGTGCGCGTGAGGCACCCCTCTCCCCTCTCCCAGGGACCAGTTTCAGCATTTCCTGACCCGAAAACCTCACAAAAAGGGCGATTTGACGGCAGCGGTGAAACGAAACGGCTAACTCCTACAGAACGAGGACAGAAAAGGCGAACGCAGAACGGGAGAGTATCCACAGCCCAGGAAACACTGGGCGGTCTCACAAAGCTTTCACAGCTCCTGGCGACAAACAGTCCGACCCACAGCGGCCGCGCTCGCAGCAGCAGCTCACAGAAACACGAAGAGCTGAGACGGGGCGACTGCCCCCGATTCAAGTGACCACTGGGTGCTACTTATTTCCTCCCAAAATGACAAAAAGAATCGAGAAGCTGCCCCACCTTGGGGCGAGGTTCTGAAAAGGAAGTTTCCAGGCACTGACGCTGAGCACGCCAGTCAGCACAGACTCCAGAGGGGGATTTAGGGGTCGGGGGGAGCCCTGAAATCAGCAGAAATGAGCGCCGTTTACCCCACGCCTGCCACCTGGTTCCTGGAAGCGCACCCCAGCAGCAGGTGCGGTGTGGTCAGCCGGCCCTGCCCGCAGCCCTGTCCGTGCGAGGCCAGCTGCCCCGGGGGGGCGACACACACGGTCTGCGGTTTCACAGGTTCTTCGTCTTTCAAAGCTTATTTTTAAAAGAAGAACGCGCGATGGAGACAATGCGTGGGGCACAACACCCAGGACAGCCCCCCGGCCCTGCAGGGAAAGTCTGCCTCATGCTAGCAAGAGGCTGCTCGAGCGGTGGCCGCGGCTTCCCGGTAGGACATGGGTCATGTCGAGCGCTCACTCGCTCACGAGATCACAGCTCGGTGACAGGAGGCCCAGCTGTCACCCCAGCCCATCGTGCCTGCCCGGAGGGCCCTTCCCAGGCGTGCCCATCATGCCAGGCCTCACATGCCCGCTGCTGCCTCGTGTCCATGCAGTCACTCTCTGCAGCCTTGCTAACGGGCCCGATCCCACCAAAGCCAAAACAAAACGCAGCAGTACTTGTGTAAATCTTCCCCAGGTGGGCCTCTGAGGGAGCGACATGTGGCTCTGGGTGTAAATTTACTTAACAGTCCAGAACTACACGTCATTCTTTTACCCCCAAATGTACAAACACGTGCTTTATAGACTTCTCACCGTTGGTGCAATTCTGTAAACAAAGCTATGGTTCTAAATGCAACGCTTTCATCCTCAGTGCCAGACTGAGCAAATCAGGGTTCCAGCTTGGAACTACCCCCGCGCCTGCCCAGACCCGGGTGGGCCCCCAGACTCAAGTGTGTACCCCCAAACTCTGAGCACATAGTGGAGACAGCCTCGTGTGCAGCCCAGGCCCGGGGGCCACGCGGGGATGGCCACAGCACACAGGGGGACAGGCCGAGACGCAGGGTACTCACCACCATGTTGTACGCGTCAGGAACTTCAGTTTCAAACTGAAATTTTCCACCCTGGTAGTAACCCTCATCTATCAAAAAAAACACAAAGCAAGACAAAAATATCCTTTAAATTAATAACAACAACAACAACAACAAAGCCAACGCTAAGTCACGACATGGCCAACACGCAGGCTCAGCTCAGAAACGGGCCCGCAGCCCCTCCCCGTCCACATGGGCCTGCCCGGCCAGTGCCACCCACCCCTCCCGGCCAGTCTCAGGTCATGTGTCCTTCCAGAAGACAGATGCGCCCCCCCCCCCCCGCCCTGACATGGGCCTAAGCAGCCCTGCTCTCACCAAAGCCCCAACCTTCTCTGAGCACAGCACCCATGTGTCCCCTGCAACGTATCTCAGGAAGCAGCTGCCTGCTTAAGCTGCCGGGTCCTCTACTGCCGCTGGCCTCCCCAAGACAAGGCCAGTTCTGGGGGAGGCTGCCTAGCAGCAGCCGCTGTGCCCCAGTGCCGGCGCCTGCAGACCAGGCCCCGCCCCAGGCCTGGGGACCCAAGCCCAAACCCAGGGCTGAGCCCCTGCTGTGGGCACCGGGGGCTGGCAGCTGAGTGCTGGGGCTGCCTTCCACCCGAGCGGGCCCCCTGGAGTCGGGGCTGGGAGGGCGTCACCACCCCGCGTCTACAGGCTCCACGTGCAGCTCCCAGCCCCAGACTCTGGATCTGCCCTCAGGCTCCGCCTGTGGACCTGCTGGCGCTGCCGCCAGTGGAGGGCGCCCCGGCAAGGCCCTGGGGCAGTCCCAGGAGTTAAAGCTCCGGGTTAGCCGCCCACGATGAGCACGGCTTCAAGGCAGCAGCTATCATCATGACCGAACCAGCAACAGCACTCGCTCCAGGGCGCCGCGCTCCAAGGCCAGCACCAGGCAGGCGGTGGTGTCACATCGCCACAAAACAAACGTATTCACGAACCCGAAACTAAAAAACCCACTTGCTGTTCAAGCTCACGGTCCCCTCTGCCTCAAGGCCACAGCTCCGGGGGCAGGCCGAGGGTCAAGCTGCCCCAGCGCTGCTTAGACATCAGCACCAGGAGCGCCGCGTTCATTTTTTGCAATCCTGAGGAGAGCACGACTCCAATTTTTAAAAAAAACATGCTGTTAGCAGGAGCGGGGGCTGCGGGCCCGTTGCGCTTCTCCCATGGCAGCGGGCAGGAGGCACAGCCGCACGCCGACTCCCCCGCACGCCCAGGGTGCAGCCGGACCCGCCCCGATGTGCAGTGGGGCAATCACTGGCGCGCCGCTGTCAGAGCAGCAGGATCATCCGAGATGGCGCCCCTGACAAGTTCTAATCAGCACAACATCCACGCGACTCCGCTTAGCACGCGCGAGCCCGAGCACCCGTCACTCGGGGGAGGCGGCACAGGCAGAGGCGAGGGGGACACCAAGCCGGGCCTGGAGAGGGTGGGGGGCCGAGTCACCCCACAGCCACTGCAGAGCCCTCCGAAGCCAGAGGGAAGGAAATACCTTCACTCCCAACACGCGCGCGAGATGACTCAGCCAGAGCCAACCCGGCTGCTACCACCACTCCAGACGCAGCCAGCACTGCCTAGGGAGCGGCCCTAACGGGGTGCTCATGGGGTGCCCCAGTCACCAAGAGCCGCGACACCCTCGCCAGGACAGCAGGGGCCGCGATGCGCTTCCCGATGCAGCGCCTTACCCTTTCCTTCAGGGCCTTGCCCGGGGGCGGTCACCTCACAGGCACAGCCTCCACCCAGCAGAGGTGCCACCAGACTGAACTTGTGCCCCAGAGTCGCTCGGGAGCTGCCACATGGGCACGACGCCTTGTACACGTCCGCAGCATGCGTGGGAAATGGAATTTCTCCTGTAATTAGCAAGCGACGCCCCCACAACCCCAGCCCGGCACACAGGGCGCCTCCGCACCTCACCTACGGCCACTCTCCCGCCCTCCTCCAGGCTCGGTCAGCCACACACGCGGTCCCAGCGTCTCACTCCTCTTCCACTTCCCAAATGAAGCCCCCGGCCCTGTGCGCGTGCCCTCTGGCTCCTCCCCTCCCCCCCCCCCGCCAGCACCCACTAGCCCTGGCACCAGGCAAACTCCAGTGGCCACAGAGAGCTGGCAGCTTCCACTCCGGGAACCCAGCGGTATTGAGGGCACAGGCCTCCCTCGGATGGCCCGCTGGACCCAGGGGCGTCACCCTCTGCAGCCCCTAGAGCCCAGACGCTTCTCCATTCTCACAGCACAGCCGCAGTGTGCTGCGGCTCCAGCGCCAGGCCCTGGGCCGAGGGGCTCCCCGCACAGCAGCTCTTTCATGCCCTCCCCGTCCTGCGAGATGGCCCCGCCGGGGGTGGGGGCGCAGCTGAGAGTCCTGAGCAATTAAATCCTGGCCACACTGCAGCAGAAGTGGCAGGAGGGCCCGAGTCCACACCCTCTGCACCAGCCAGCTCTGTGGTCACTCAGGCGCCATCGGTCGTCAAGGTCGTGGACTTTACTCCGATGCACCGGGAGTCGAGCACTGGGCCGACTGCCTGACCGCAGCGCACACGCCTGTCTTCCTGTGAACGCCCTCCCCGTCAGGAGTCTCAGATCTCAGGACAAAGCACGCCAAAGGTGACAGACCTGGCGACCTGAGCCCTGGCCATGGCGTCAGCACAGAATGTGAGAGTTACCTGGGGTCACCGTGAGCTGGAAGCAGTGAAGCTTGTTTGGGTCAGGAAAATGCACTTTGCATGTACCTGCAAAAGAAACAGCGGTCAGGGGGTGAGCACTGCGGGCGCCCGTGGGGCAGGCATCCCGGACACACCCAGGGCAGTGGCGGGGGGGGGGGGGGGAGGGAAGGGGAGCACTAAAGCAGCAGAGGCCCTTGCGCCCCATGGGAGGGGATCCTGCTGACCCCCGATAACCATGAACCGGGTAACTGCCGTGCTGCCCTCCCTGGGGTCGGTCACGGATTCTGAGTTGGCACGTTTCTCTTTCAACTTATAAACGTTCACGAGGCTAGAGCTCCTGCTGCTTATTTCAAGAATGACGCAACCTCACCACGAGAAGGAGAAAGCGCACCTCAGGGAGGCTCGAGGCTGAGGAGACCTGAACATGGGCTTCCCAGCTGCTGGCCACCACAGCCTCTCGGGCCCTCCTGGCAGGTGCAGGTGCAAAGAAGCACGCCCGCTGGGTCGGCCCCCACCCGGGGTGCCCACGGCACTTTTCCTCAAATGTCCTTACAGCCCGAGTGGAAACAGCTTTGTGGGTGACACGATGTCCTGCGACTCGACAGCGACCCCGCCCACGTGGCACAAGTCACAGGGGTCTGACCAGGCCGGGCCTTCCCAGCGGGGAGCTGGCTGCACCCGCACTGACCTCCCACAGGCAGTGGCCCTGGGAAAGGCAAGTATTCCTGGAACAAATGCCCGAGGAACCCGGAAGGAGCCGACGCAGGCATGGCTAGCTTCCTGGAGGTTGTTCCTCACAGGCCTGAGAGTATCTGCCAAGCTGCGCCATGACAGGAACGTCCATCAGCACAGGACGGCCCGGACTCAGACTCGCCCAGCACACTCACCACCGCGGCACCCGCGCCGGGTCAAGGCTGACTCGCGACCTGCTCCTCTGCCAGGCTCAGCCCACGGAATCACGGCCTGTCAGATACCACGCGCACACACACACACAACTGCCTTTTTCTGCCTCACTAATCCCTGAGAAAATCACTGCCGAGGGAAAGGTAGTCCCGGCCAGAAGAGCGAGGGGGCTTAGAAATGACAGCCACGTTGGGCCTCCCCGGTGGCGCAGCGGGTTGAGCGCCGCGCTGTGAAGCTGTCTGCAGCCTCGCAGCGCGGGTTCGATTCCTGGCTGGCCACGGAGACACCCACACCCGCTGCTCCCCTCAGCAGCGCTTTCGGTCGTCTGCCTGTTCTGCTCCCCGCTCTGTCTCTGGTGAGTCCTCTCACCCTCCCACGCCTTTGGTCTGTGCTCCAGCTCTTGTATAAATAGATAAATCTTTGAAAAAAAGAAATGACAGTCACGTTCCGTGCTGAGAAGTAAAGAAAATGCGGGCCGGCAGGTCCCCAGACTTGCCCCAGTCACTCGCTCACACTGTGCACAGAGTAAGTCAAATGGGCTTCCCCCCCCAGGCCCGCCTAGGACAACAAAGCCATCTCCCCGCGGGCACCGGCAAGCAGGACGAGGCACGGATGCCCGGGGGGCGGTTGGCGCTCACGCTGTTGCTCGTTTCACTGCTCTGGCCCTAACCCAGCGCTCCCCTTCGCTTCAGAAAAGGGACAGATGGAACCGGTCCCTCTAAAACAGGCCGGCGCGCCAAGAACCAAGACGTCATGGAGGTGAAGCAAGAACAATGGAACTGCTGAAAATAACCTCAATTCTCAAGCGCAAACAGGTCCGACGTTCCAAGCACGAAGGCCGACAGGGTCTGCCGCGGAGAGCGCAGGGGGTCTAGCGGGAGTGGGGGAGGGGGGAAGCACGCTCTCCCAGTGGGCGAGGCCAGCCTCTCGGACCCCGCGTCTCTGACGGGCGGGCGGCTTCGTGGTCCCGCGGGCTGCGGCCCCAGGGCAAGGGCCTCTGCCTTGACAGACGGCTTAGACGGACCAACAAGCAGGTCACTCCTCGCCTCCTCCTGAGCGTGATGACCCGCGCGCTGCTGGGCAGCCCCGCGCCTGCGCAACCCGACTGCGGTGCCCCCTCGGCCCGGGGGGAGGGCCCGGCCGTCCCCTGACTGCCTGCGGCCAGTCCACGGAGGGGCAGGACTTTCCCAAACCTGGGGCTTTCGTCCAGATCCTGTGTGGAAGCCAATGGTGACGTTGTACTGTTTCTAGACCTTTTCCTCAGATGACGCTAAAGCTACACTCCACGGGGTGAACCCTAATCATCTCTGTGGGGCTTTTCGTGGTTGTGGATTGAATTTCCACAGCTCAAGTGACAGCCAACGGGAAGATGTGATGGGAGAGAAAACAGACGCGTCACTTATTTCACCTTACTAGGAAAAGGTCCTGGCGTTCATAATAAGACACCTGTACAGCGAAGCCACTACCCGGTTTCCAGATGCTGCCGGTCCTGCTTCATCCACATGACCACACGCGAGTGCTGCTCATCTCTCAACAGGCAGAAAGAGAATCTTTCGTTTCAAAAGATAACCTTTTAATTGAATCCCTAGATATTTTCTTTGCGCTGTGACTAGAGGAAAATGCGAGGTCAAGCACTCCAGCGACTTTTAAGACATTCTTCGCCGAGACCTACAGTACGAAACGTTTTCTTTCCCGACCTGTTATATTTATAAAAACTACATATTAAAGTAATCTTTCAAGAAACAACGTGCACTTCCCCAACGCGCTGTGGGTGACGACACCCACAACACGCTCCGACTTTAGGTGGAGGCTGGGGGGGCCTCTCTCCCCCTGGCCGGAGCCTCCCAGCAAGCTCTCTGGGGCATCCTCTCCAGCCTGGAGGCCCGGTAGTAAGAGAGTCCCCCACATCGACACAGATCCTCAGCCTTGCAGCTAAAAAGGTCTAATTCAACAACTACTACATGGCCCATCAGATGTGACGTCTTAAGGAAACAGAGAGGAAAGGGATCAATGTCAGAGAGAGGCCGCGGCTGCCCACCGAGTCTTTGGGGGGGCGCGCATCGCGAACCCGCGCCTGCTGGACCCCAAGGCCGGTGTCCTCACGTACAAAAGCACGATTGCCCGCCACTGGTTTATGTACCTTCACTCCAAGAGGCCCGGGCAAGACCCCGTGGAGCACGCAGACTTAGGCGCGCGAGGCTGACACTGGGGGCGCCGCGGCACGACACGTAGGAGACGGGCCACAGCGCCCTTCTCAGGGCCTGCAAAGGGTTCCGCTACCCACCCGCGCGAGGGGAGGACCCCCACACGCGGGACCAGGCTTTCACAAGGCCAAGCTACTGAGACTCCAAAGAAGCTCCGTCCACACAACGATCTCCCGGCACTTACGTCTGGGGACGCGATACTTACACGGTAAATTAGCTTCAAGTTCCGCAACCTCTGTGGAAACAAAGAGAGTGTGGTTAATGTCCGTCGAGGGCGCCACACACAAGCACCAGCTCTAAATGGGCAATTTCCTCCAGAACATGGAGCAAAATCCGAAACTGAACTGATGAAACCTTCCCTCGGGCTGGGGCTCAGATTTACAGGGAGTTCACACACACAGAGACTTGCAGGACCCGCTGCTGTTAGTCTCACGGTGCCCGGGGGTGGGGAGTAGGGTGTGGGGGTCCAGCTGCTCCTCGTCACCCCTCCCCCAGCACGGGGTACCTGCCGCAGGAACCTGGACACCGCGGGGCTGGCCGGGCGCTCGGAGAGCGGGACGCGACTTTCCCTGCTATTTGCTCTGGCGCCGCGACCGCACCCTCCAACACGCCAGGACTCGGCGACTCCGTCAGCTCCGTGTAGGATCTGCCACCCCGCCCTCCCCAGGCCTCTGCTGCCGCTGCTCTGGGGGGCCTCGGGGCTGGCTTGACGGCCCCGCGTGCAGGGAGCTGCCAGGCTGCTGGGCCCCGCCAAGTAGTCTCGCCCGCACCCGGCAAGGCTGGCCTGGGGACGCCACAGGGTAGTCTAGACTTCCAGCGCGAGGAGGCGTGCCGCCACCTGCACCCCGCCGCCAGTGCCACGCACTTGAGGCCGGGGGCCGGGGAAGGCGCGCCGCGCCCTCTGACACAGGCGAGCCACAGCCTCCCCCGCCAAGAGCCGGAGCAGCAGGAGCCCGGGGCTGGGAAACGGCTGGTTTCCGTAAAGACGCGCGCAAATCCGTTGGGCCCCGTGCAGAAAACAGAAGCTGCGCGCGCGCCTGGGTCCTCGCGGGGACCGGCGACACTTCGTGCTGGCAGGTGGCTCACGGCTCGGGGAGCCAGTGCCTTCCTCACCGACCCCAGAGGACTAGAGCCCGGGAGCCACGCGAGCCGCCTGACCTGCCGGGGGGCCTCCTGGCAAAGCAGCAACGTGGCCAGCCCGGCGGACCCTGGCCTACCGGGACGGAACGAGACGCAGGTTTCTCAACCTGCTCAAGGCCTAACGCTCGCGCCCCCGCCAGGCCTGCTGGGCGGCACCTGGGAGCGTGCACAGAGGCGCTGCACAACTTCCTGCCGAGAAACCACACTCCCTTGCCACAGACCCCCTGGAGCCCGGCCGTACCGAAGCACCAGATCGCGATGCCCCCGCTGAGCACAGTGGCACGGCCCGGCCCAGAGCCCGGGGCCGCAGGAGGCTCTCAGCACGGCTGGCACTGGCCGCTCGTAGGGGGCACCGGCCTGAGGGGGTCCAGACCTGAGCCCGGCTCCGCGTTGGGCACACATGCTGGCAAACGAGCGCACGTGCCGCCGGGGGTGAGGCAGACCCCGCGTGAGGTCCTGGGACCCGAGACCCTCCCAAGGGACGGCAGGGAGAGCCCCAAAGCGCTCCGTGGCTGTTGGGAGGCGAGGTCCTTAGCGGGTGAGGCGGTTGGATGAGGTCATGAGGGTGAGGCCTGCTGCAGGGCCAGGGTTCAGGCAAGAGGCCGGTGCGCCCAGCCAGGAAGAGGTGCCGTGGCAGGAAGGGCCCCGCGAGTCGTGGTCCTGAGCCCCAGCCCCACACCCGGGACGCTGGCCTGCCACGGCGGCCGCTCACCTTCGGCAGGTCATGTGGCCGGAGTGACCGAGACGGAGGCTGACCGTGGGCGCAGGTGGCTCTCTCTCGGCAGGAGCCAGCCTGCGCCCCTCGGGCAACTCCGGGCAGGGCAGCCGAGCCCTCTCCCCAACCCCGCCCTGGGCCTGGCGGCCTCACCTGAGAGACTGGAACCAAGACCATCAGCCCCTCCACGGGGGCAGCACTGCTCCAGCCAGGCCCAGGGCCCCCGCAGAGCCCCAGAATGCAGGTCCTGCACACTCGCAGCTCCTGCCACATTTGGGAAGCAGGGCTGTAACCCTGAAAGCCAGCGCAGCCCCGGCAGCCGGAAGAGAGAGGGGAGGAGTCAGAAGGCCTCACACCACCCACCGTCAGCATGAGCAGTGGGGGCTGGCAGAGCCCGCTCCCGCTGCACATCAGGGGAGCACTTTCCGGGCAGCTTCACTGGCACTTGACCCTCCACCCGGCCCCGCTGGCAGCCGCCCCAGGCCCATGGGAGCAGGTCTCCCCTCCGGGTCACTGCTCTAGTGTCTGAAGGCTGGGTGCGCGCGTGGGGCCCCGGCTCCGGCGCTGCTGGACGCGCTGGATACCTGCCGCCACGGTCAGCTTGACCCGGAGCCCCCAGGGCCTGCCAGGGGGGGAACGGGCACCAACACTCTTCCTGCCCCTCCTCTACGCGCGGCAGGGAGTGGGCCCGCCGCCTCCACCACGCGAGCCGGCGCTGGGACCACGTGCCGTACCACCCAAGGGAGCCCTGCATGGCACCCACAGAGGCGGCGGCAGCGCAAAGAGCCAACAGCTCAGCCCCAGCCCAGAGCCCAGCACTGACTTGAGACACGGGCCACTGGGCTGACGTGGACAAGGCCCCGACAGACTCATCCCGCCAGCTCCCCGAACGCCAGGCCTGCTCCTGAATGGGCCTCAATTCCAAGCCCCACCTTCAGCAAGGACTGGTCCCAGGAACTCGGTCTCCGCAGCAACGTGTGGAAGGCAGAGCCCGGCGGCCTGGGGTGGCGCAGCGTGGCTCCTGGGTGGCTCTTGCGAGCTCCCGGGGCCTCCCACTCCAGGAGCTGGGGGCTCCGGCCTCAAGCTCCTCAGTGGGCCGCAGGAGCACTCACTCAAGAGCTCCCGGTGAGTCCCAGGCAGCGCGCGGGTGCAGGGGCCTCTGAGCTCCCCTCGGGTCTCTCTCCGTGGACTTGCACTTTTGCTCTGCTCACATGGTCTGTTTGTGGGTCTGCGCCCCCCCAAGCCAGTGCCAGTACAAGGCCAGGCCGTCCTGCTACCATAAAGCAGAGTCCCTGGGTGTGCAATGACCACCCACCTGGCCCACCTGTGCCAAGGCCGACGGGAACTGCCCGGCGACGGCCGACACCGGGCCTGGCCACTGTCAACCGCGACGAGGCCGCGCAGGGGAGGGCACAGTCTACTTCCCACGTGCGCCCCGTCAGCTCACGCTCCTCCCTCGCGGAGACTCCCAGGCACTAAAATAGCCTCCGCTCCAAACGCACCAAGCTCCTCCCCTGGTGTCCTCGGGTCTGGCTCCCTCTACAGACGACCCAGGAGCAGCTGCAGCCCCGGGGGGGGGGAGGGGGGGGGTGGGGTGGGGGCCGGGGCGGAGGACGACATGCCTGCCCTGCAGCCAGGCGTCTGGGTCTGGGTCTGGCCTGGGCTGCAGAGCAGGCCATGCCAAGGTGTCAAGACACACTTCCTGCTCGCCGGGCGCCCTGGGGGCCAGCCAAGCCGAGTGAAGCCAAGATGCAGGGCCGGGGGAAAACAGGCAGGCGGCCCGGAGGACGCCCCAGCTGCACAGTGGACACGGCACCCCATGCACACCCGCTCTCCTGCAGGGACCTGCCCAGGGGCCCGCCCTCACCAGGGCCCCCACGGCGCCGACCACCTCACGGGCAGGCAGCCCAATCCCCCACTCGCCCCTCTCTGCTCCCCGACACTTAAGAAACACAAACTCATCCGAAAGCAAAGGCCTGCAGATCCCAAGTCCTCAGAGCAGGGATAGTTCTCCCCGAGCCACCCGGGTACCCCAGCAAATGTTTGTGCCTGGCCTGCCGGCAGGCTGCTAACAAAACTGGGGTGCCACCGAGCACAAGCGCCCAACACGTGCACTAGGAAGCCCCTCCGTGGAGCCCGGCCTCGAGCAGAGGAGGCGCCCCACCCCTCCCGGACCGGCAAACTACGGTGTCCCCGACACACGCCAGCTGCGCGTGGCAGCCCCAGGCCAGGGTCTCGGGCCTCGCTCCTCACCCCCTGCGGGGCCTCCACGGCCCACAGAAGCCCATGTGAGACGCGGGCTGCTCGTGTCGAGCCTGCCGTCCGCGCCACCACGGCGCAGGCCCCGCCGCCAGCGAGGGCAGCTCTATTTCAGGAGTTTCAGGCGGGCGCTCGGAGCCTGCAGCAGCTGCCCGTGGGGGGCCACACCCGGGAGACCTCAGCCCCAGGGCCCGCGCCCGCCGGCCTTACCTTTCACCAGCAGCCTGTCTCTTACCGACACCCTCCGGGTGGAGTCGGAGGCCGCGGCTGCCGCCCGGGACCCGCGGAGGCCGTCATCCCTCTTCAGCTTGCTCGCCAGCGTCAGCATCGCTGCGGCCTTCACCTGAAAGACCGGAAACAGGCTCAGGGCGCGCCTCTGGGCTCCGGCTGGGCCCCGCGTCCCTGCAGCCCAGCCCGCGCGAGCTGGCGCGGTGAGGATGAGCCCGGAGCTGTCCACGCCGCGCTCGGCCAGCCTGGTTTTCCAAGCCCGAACCGAAACATGACAGAGCAAGAGTCGGGCGCATCACACCCCGGACCCAGCGCCGGTGGAGCTCCAAGTGGGGGCGCCTCCGGGGACCACGTTCCACCTGGACCACACCCCGGCGTGAGCCCCGGGGGCTGCCCGCCATCATCAACGCGGAGAGCCAGGTGGAAATAAGCGCCCGCACCCCCTGACGCGGTGCCTTCTATTTCCAGGCAGAGCAGCATCAAGAATAAGTCAGAATGAAGCCCCAGAAGATTCTCTCCGCCGGCTGCTTCCCAGCCCCCGTGCCCCGAGGAGGAAGGCACGGCGACCTGACGGGCGGCCCGGGAGAAGGGGCCGCGGAGCCAACGCCCGCGAACAGGCGTGCCCAGCCCCGGCCGGCCCGGCCTCGTGGGGAGGGCTCTTTTGGCAAAAATTGGCCACCAGGTGCGAGAGTTCCCTCCGGCTTCCCCAGCACCCCCTCACCGCCGCCCGGCTTTCTCAGAAGAAAACATCAAAATCCCCAGAGGAAAACCTTGACCTAAACAGACGCTTTGGAGAATAAGACCCCGAAAGCCAAAACGCGCTATTCCCCCCCCCCACTGGTGTTTTTAACGCGGCGCCTGGGAACCTGCGCACCGTCCCCCGCGTGTTCTTCGCAGACGCCATCCCGCCGCACACGCCGCAGGCTGACGAGCTTCTGGGCCGCCCTGAGCCCCCCCCGGCAGCCCCCAGGCCTCAGCGCACCAGAGGACAGGAGAAGATGGACAGGCTCACTTGAGGGTGCTGACGGCCTGAGGGACGACCCCCGCGGAGACCCACCCAGCTGCACCCCTCACAGCCGGGCCGCTGCGCGCGTCTCCACACCCACACGGGCTCTGTTCCCGGGCACCACAGCCCCTGCCCGGGACCGACACGCGGGCCCCTCGGAGGTCACACCTGCTCCGCCCACCCGGGACCATCAGGTCAGTCTACCCAGGGGCCTCCCAAGGGGGAGGGCGGCGGAGAGTGGGGACACCCAGGGCGGCCGACACAGCAGCCGACGGAGCCAGGCTCGGCCCTCACCAGGAACAGGGGACCCTCTCGCCAGGAACACCCCGCACAAGGCGCACCCCGTCCCCCCCACCCCGTCCGCGAGCTTATCACTCCTGCCGCGCGGTCAGGACGCCCGCGTGGGCCAAGGGGCGCGCCGGCCGCAGGGCCCGCTCCCTGCAGTGCTCCAGCCGAGGCTCGCCGCAGCGCCGAGAGCACGAGCCAGGGCCCAGCCGCGCCGGCCCGCTCAGCACCCAGGACCTGCAACGAAGCCCCACGCTCCAGGCCCGCCGCCGGGGGCGCCCTTCAACGCCGGAGCCCCGCCCGGCCGGCACACAGCTCCCCGGCAGCTCCGCTGGCCCTTGGCGCCACTGCGAAATGCAGAGGACAAGTGTTTTGTTTCCATAGAAGCCAGAGGCGAAACTCACTTCCCCAGCACGCCGCGGTCTAACCAGACCCGCCGCCTCTCCCGCAGCTGCCCCGCCACCGGAGCCACTTTTGGGATAAACCACAGGCCTCATCTGGGGGTTTCCGAAGCCGGAAAATGAAGTCTACACAAAGGGACGTGAGCAACAATCACTCCTCAAGCTGTCAGGCAGGGGGTGCAGAATTTTTTCTCCTGCACTGGGCTTCACGAACCCGCCAAGGCCCGGGCAGAACTCAGCTTCCCCTTTCCTGCCAGGCGCGGGCGCGGGCGCTGCCGGGGAACAGGAACAGCAGCCCTCGGGAGCGGCGCCGGGCCTGGGCTCCTCGGGTTGTCATTGGCCCAGTTAAGTTCCTCCTCGGGGTGGGACCTGCCCTGCACTGTCCGAGATTACGGGCCACTCCCCGGCTCTCCTGGGCAGGCAGGCCTGCAGGGGCGCGATCAGGCCGTGTCCCCTGGGCAGGGACACCCAGGGCCGGCCGTCTCGCGGGAACTCCTGGCCGCGGCCCTCCGCGGTGGAGGCGACCGGCCCAGGAAGGAGAGCGGAGCCGCCGGCCCCCGCCGACAACCAGCTTTTTCTGCCAAAGAGGCCCAGACTGGGGCGCAGAGGCGGGCAGCCCCCTCCTCTCTCAGCAGGGCTGGCCAGGGTCCCGCCGGCACCGGTCATCCCGGCCGCTGATGACCTTTGGAGCCGCCGTTGCTGCCAGCAGGAGCTGGCCCGCTCCCCACCCCAGGGGGAGGCCGCAAGGACCCTGGGCCTCACGCTGGGGGTCACCCCTCAGGCCCTCTCCCGGTGGGCCTCTCCGGCGGCCGCCCCTCCCGGCCGAGGGCCCCTCCCAGCTCCCCCGCCGCACGCTGATCCTTTCTGGAAGCTTCTGCTGTGTCCCATCCAGCCGCCCTCCCGCCCCGCGCCGCCCCGGCCCGCGCCTTCCTCGGGACGAGACGCCCCGTCCCGGCTCCCGCAGCTGCTCCGGGCCCTGAGCCGGGCCCCGCCGCCCCACCCCGCGCCCCCCGCCGCCGGCCCGGTGGGCCCCCCCCCCCCAGCCCGGCCCCTCACGCCCCGGCCCGCCCCCCGGCCTCCCCCCTCCCCGGCCCCCCCGGCCTCCCCCGGCCCCGGCCTCCCCCCTGCCCCGGCCCCCCCGGCCCGTCCTCCCCGGCCCCCCCCGCCCCCCGGCCTCCCCCCGCCCCAGCCTTCCCGGCCCCCCGGCCTCCCCCCGCCCTGGACCCCCCTGCTCCGGCCTCCACGGCCCCCCGACCTCCCCCCGCCCCAGCCTTCCCGGCCCCCCGGCCTCCCCCCGCCCCGGCCCCCCGGCCCCCCCCGCCCCGGCCTCCCCGGCCTCCCCCGCCCCGGCCCCCCCGGCCCCCCCGCCTCCCCGGCCCCCGCCGCCCCGGCTTGACCTTGGCCGCCCGGCCGCGCGGGGCCCGCGCCGAGCCCGAGAGCCGAGGGGCCCGGGCCGCCGCCGCCCTTCCGGGCGCCCCGCGGCGGCGCCCGCCTCACCTGGGCACCCCGACTCCGGCGACGCGGGCGCGGCGCCCAACACCATGCCCGGCGGCGACGCGGCCCCACAGCCGCCCGCGCGGCGCGGACCGGAAGTGGCGGGGCGGGGCGGGGCCTCCCGCGGGGCCGCCGCGGCGCGGGCGCTTTAAAAAAAAGATTCAAAGTCCCGGAGAACTTTATTTGGGCCCGGCTCGCGGACAGCGGCGCGCGCCCGGGGGCGGGCCTCGGGCTCGCGGATGGGCGGCGGGCGCGGCCGGGGCGGGGCGCGGCCTCGCGGCCCTCGCTGATTGGCGGGCGGCGGCCGGGGGCGGGGCGCCGAGCTCGTGCCCGAGCCTGCGCGCGGGCGCCGGGGCCGCCGTGCTCGCCCCCGTCCCCATTCATTGGTCCCGCGCGGGGCCGGGCCGGGCCGGCGCCCCGGGATCCCGCCCGGCCGGGCCGGCAGGAGCCGCGGCTGGAGCGCGCCGCCCGCACATTGCCGGGGCGCGGCCCGGCCTCCGCGCTGGCCTCCGCGCCCGGGCCGGGGCGCGCGGGGACCCCGCTTCCAGGCTGGGCCCCGAGCCCGTCGCCGCCCTCGCCCCCTGCGTGCTGGCCGCGGGCCGGGCGCGGGGGCCGGGGACGGGCGCCCTGGCAGGGGAGCCCCGCGCCGGGGCCGGGAGCAAGGGCGGGGGGCGAGACGTGCGCTCGCAGGTGCCGCTGGGAGCCCCGAGCGGAGGGCGACTGTCGGGGGCGCTCCCCGCGCCGGGCGGGCGGGAGGGGCCGGGCGGAGACCAGCGTCCAAGGACAGAGAGGACGCGGCCGGCCGTCGTCCTTCCGTGTGGGGTCAGTTTCTTTTTCTTCACCCCGCTAGTTCCAGGTTTCCCCGAGCCCAGGGGCCGCCGGCTTGGCAGGCCCCAGAGCCTGCGGCGCAGCCCCAGATGGTGCAGGAGGCCCGAGCTTCCACCCCTGGCGCTGCAGACGCTGCCCCTGAGCTCAGCGCCCCAGCCCCGCCGCGGGCCCATCCGTCCTGGCTGCACAGCCCGCAGCGCGGTCCTGGCTGTAGTAGGAGTCAACGCTCCTGCAGGGTGGATGCTCGGCAGGGCTGGTGAGGGCTGGTGAGGGCAGGCGAGCCGTGAGGTCAGCAGTGGGGCAGGTGCCCTGAAAGGGCGTGGGTGGGTGTCCAGCTGCCGAAGGCACCGTCCTGGAGCCGGCTGCGGCGGCCGTGGGTCTCCGTGGCCCAGCTCTCTGGGCTGAGGCTCAGGGAAGCCACTTCTGGCTGCTCCGTTCCCCGACACTGCCGCCTGCCTTCAGCCAGGCTTACGAGGTGGTTCACTCGCGTGATCCTCACAGCCGCATGAAATGGATATTTTATCTCCATTTTATAGATGAGGAAGCTGAGGCAAAGGGGTTAAGTGGCCTGCCCAAGATGGCAGAGCGGGGATCTGCCCTCCACCTGGGCGCCACGCCCACCAGGGAGTTGGTGGCAGCAGCCTGGGGGGGCCCGTGTGCCCCAGGCTTCCTGGAGAAGCAACTTGTCTCCACCAGGACCTTTGGAAACGCAGCTCCAGCGTAAGCACAGACCACCCAGAAGGCCGGGCGTGCCCAAGAGCCCGAGGAGGTCGATTTAGGGAACCCGGGACGCCGCTGGCACTTGTGGCCTGCGGGCCCAGCTCTCAGCGCCGCCTCATCTTCCCGGATGCCTCTGTGAGTTGCGGCCTGAGTTCTCCCAGAGCCCGGGCTGAGCTGAGCCTCTGTGCTCCACAGGCTTGATCTGTCCTTTCTTCAGAAACGTATTAAAAATCATCCGGGCACGTGTTTCGCATTTCCCTCTGTGTCATCACAAACTGAGGGCGACGCCCATCTTCAGGTGCTGATGACAGGGACTCCTGCCACAGTTTGGGTCTTAAATGTGTGTGTGTGTCACCACATATGGTGGCTGGAGACGCCTCCACAGACGTCCTTGTCCTCAATTCTGGAGACTGTGACTGTGTCACTTTACGAGGGAAAATGGGCTCTGCTGCTGTGAAGTTAAGAATTTTGAGTTAGGGGCCTCCCTGATGGTGCAAGGGGTTAAGACACAACCTATGAAGCGATCCACAGCCTCTGCAACACAAGTTCAACCCCCGGCCAGGGAGCAACCCACACGGCGCAGCAGACCTCTCCTGTCTTCCCACTGCTCCCCTCAGCAGTGGATTTCAGTCAGTCTGCCTGTTCTGCTCCCCACGCTGTGTCTGGTGGCTCCTCTCACCCCCCGCACCTCTGGCCTGTACCCCAGTTCTTGTATGCATAAATAAATTAATTAAAAAAAAGAATTTTGAGTTAGGCACTGAATGTTTGTGTACCCCTCATTCATCTGTTGACATCCCAGCCCACAAGGTGATGGTATTGAGGGCGGAGGGGCTACGCCATGAGGGCAGAGCGCTATGAATGAGATGAAATTGGTGCCTTACCAAGAAGCCGGGGAACCCCCGGGCTCTGCACAGAGGCCAGGACTCAGAGTGCCCTCACCAGGCGTGGACTCTGCCGGCACCTTGAGCTTGGACTTTCAGCCTCAGGACAGTGAGAAATCAGTTTCTATTGCTTACAAGCCGCTCAGGTATCGTGTCTAGCCCCCCGAATGGATGAGAACGGGGTGCCTCCCTGGTGGCTGTGGTCCTCGGGGCTCCTTATGTCGGGAGACGGGTCAGAATCAGGAGCAGCGGGGGCGACGAGGGGAGCAGAGGCTCGGGGGACCTGGGTGCAAGCCCAGGAGAGCAGGAGGCCTCTGGAAACTGGAAAGCCAGGGAGCAGCTGCGTCAGGAGTTCCGGAAGGAATATGACCCGCGGACCCTTGATTTTGGATGCGAATCTTCCAAACTGCAAGAGATGAACGTTTGTGTTTGAGGCCACTGTGGCCATCGTAGTCTGGAAGGCGAAGGGCACATCGGGACTCACTGCGGGGCCACAGGGCACCGAAGCCCGTCCAGCTGGAGGACAGGCAGGCCCCTCAAGGCCGCTCACCGCGACTGTGGAGACTCAGGACGCCGGGGTCCCGCCGCCGTGGTTTCTAGTGTGTGATGCACCTCTAGGCCTCGTCACTCCAGTGTCCGGCATCGACCGCTTCCACGAGAACTGGAGGCAAAATGTCGCAAAACACCGTTTCAGAAAAAAGCGCGTGCTGGGTGCACAGCGCCCGGGTTTCTGTGCACGCCCTTGCGAGCAGGCAGCAGCGCAGCAGTGGGGCCAGCCCCGGGGCTGAGCCCTTGTAACTGCCCAGCAGAGGCACGTCCAGCGCCAAGCTGGCCGAGGGGGCAGGCTCCTGCAGCGCCCCTCGCCCTGCAGCCACTCTGGCCCGGGCCAGGTGGAACTGTTAGGGGGAAATGATGTCCTGAGCTAATCCCATACAGGCTTTGTGGACGAGCCAGCCTGCGGTCTCCCAGCCTCGCCGCCGAAGTCCTCCCCTGGCGGCTCCCCTTTGGAGCGGACCTGGTCGCCACGGCTCGGCTGACAGTGAGCGGCTGGCACAACCCTGTGGCGGGAACAGGAGTCCTGAAAGCCCCCCATCTTTGGACCTAGTACCCTCCACGCTGGGCCGCAGCGGCCCTAGGAAGCAGCCCGCCAGCAGAAAAGGCCCAGCCCGGACATGTGCGTGTGGTTATGGCAATGGACTCAGAGCGGAGCGGGCGCAGGCGGGTCAGGGCTAAGACAGGGCGGAGAGGCCGCGTCCAGCCGGGTGAAGGGCTCAGAGCAGCCGCCGCCCCGGCATGGCCCAGCACCCTGCGTTCTGGCGGCTCCACGCCGCACCAGGAGCAGCAGCCACGGTTCGAGGATGAGGAAGTTCCGCAGCGAGACAAGGGCGCCTCGTGTCCCGCAGGCGCTGACAACTGTCTGGGACTCGGAGAGTGTTGGGGGGGTGGGGGGGCAGGGAACCTGGAGCCTCCCCTTTTCCTGGGACCACCTTGTTACAAGAGGAACAAAGTGAATCACACACGCACACACAAGCACACGCACGCACACGCGCGCGCACCCCCTGCCCCCAGCAGTGCTCTCAGGAGCGCAAGGGGCCCTTCTTCTAACAGGGAGGGAAAGCGGGAGAGTTAGAGAAGCGCAGGGCGCGCGGGGCCGGTACAGACACGGCGGATTTCCTCTCTCGGCTGTGCGTGTCCCGCGCGGGCAGTCGCCAAGACACTGCGCACAGCCGTGTCGCCCGGAGGGGCCCGCCAAGAAGCCACAGCGGCCGAGCAGGGCAGGCCCGGGCGCCTCTGAGCGGCTCAGAACCCGGAAGGTGGGGGTGGGGGAGCAGGTTAAACTGTCGCCCGACGTCCCTGTGTTGGAGCCGCAGCCGCAGCCTGAGGCCACCAGGTTCCACCCCGGGAGGCTGAAGAGGGAAGGGGGTGTCCCCGCAGCGGCCCCCCAGGAACGACACCCCCGTGGGAGATGCCCTCCCGTACCATGAACAGCACGGAGTGACGAGACAGCACCCCTACAGCGCGGCTGTGAGGACGCGGTCTCTCGAGGGGGCGCCAGGGCTCCTGCAGAGAGTCAGAAAATAGGCTGGGAAATCCGCCAGAGCCCAGGACACACGGAGACGCGCACGGGCGCGCACGGAGGCCCAGGCACCGGCACGGCGGTGAAGACGAATTTCGGGGGCAAACCAGGTGTTCTCCCCCTGGGCAGATCCAGGTCGGTGGGCGCCACGGCTGGGCCCGCTCTAGAGCGACTTTGCTCTGTTCTCCGAACGCGCTGCACGAGGTGCAAAAGTGGAAGTCGGAGACGGAGTTTATTTAGAGGCGGGATACAGGCCCCGGCCCGCAGGCCCGGGACACGCGGGCGCCTGCTGCTCTCCTATCCTGGCAGCACAGCACCGACTGCAACCACCTCCGCCTGCGGTCCTGCCCCCTGGCACGGCAAGGGCGTCCCCCCCTTTGTTATGCGACTGGCAACGGGAAGGTCCTGTGTTATGGGGCACCCCCCCTTGAGGGCTGGGTCCTGGGTCTCGCGTGTGCTGCTGTGGGGCGGCAGCAGCGGGTCTCAGGCCTGCAACATGCCTGGGCCAGGCGGTCTGGGGTGCCCAGGACCCCCAGGAAACACACAAGGGGGGGCTCCACACGCAGTCTTGGAGTTCAAGGACAAGGTCCAGGCCGGAAGAAAGCACGGGGAGTCTCAGGACATGGGGTGTCAGGACGGTGTTCGGTCCCCATGAGAGCCCCGCGGGGCCTCGGAGCCAAACCTGGGTTTAGGATAGGGAGGCAGTGGCGGGAGGGAGCCCGGGTGGAGCCCGGGTGGAGAGGCCCGAACCAGGGGAGGGAGTGGGAGGCTGTGACCCCGTGGAGCCGCGGGAGGAAAGTGTTCCCAGCTGACAGTGGCCAGGGCCTGGGCGGGGCAGCCCGGAAGACACGGGCTGGTGTCCGGGGCTGACTCAGCGGAGGGCGGGGCTGGCTGGTGTGGCTTCAGGAACAGACAGGGAGGGAGCTGGACAGGCGTGTCGAAGATGCTCTCTAGTTCTGCTCTCAAGGATAACAGAGAAACGGGGTAACCAGCTGGATGTGAGGGTGTCGTTTGTTTGTGGGGCCTCAGGAATCGCCTGTCACAGAGAAGCACCCCGGCTCACCCTTAGGGAACCTGAGGGGAGAGGGCGGGGCTTGAGCAGGAGCTGGAAGCTGGGCCACGGGGAAGGTGGCCATGTTGGGGGCGGCAGGCGTGGGGCCTTCTGGAAGTTCCCCGAGTGACTTGGGATCAAGACCATCCGCTGAAAGCAGAGCTGTGGGGCATGGTGGGGGCAGGGCTGGAGCAGTCCCCCCTGGGGGGAGCAGGTGGGAAGGAGCACGGGGAGGGGTGGGAGTGGGGACTCCAGAGCACCTGTCCCCTGGCGGGACCTGGACCCACAGGTGCTCCTCGGGGGTGTGGGCCTTTCGGGTGCGGCCCTATCTGACACAGGATTAGTCTCCAAGGCGAGGATTCTGGACACTGGGTCTCTTGCCCCTGACCCTCTGGAAACTGAATGCTGGCTCCAGGGCCAGGCCTCCCGGCAGCCCCCTCGGCCTCTGCTGGTGCCTCCTCGAGTGTGGAGGGTCTTGTTCTTGGTGCTTTTGGGCTCTCTGAGGGCATCTGCCAGGCTAACTCAACATGGAGAGGAACTAGATGGAGGAAGCAAGGGTGGGAGCCTGGAGGCCAGGGAGGGCAGTGCCCGAGCAGCTGGGGGCATGACGTAGGGCGGGGTGCACCGTGGGGCGGGGGTGCTGTCTGTACCCGCTTCTGCTCTGGCCCAGTGGTGCCCCCACAGGAGCAGGGGCAGACAGGGCTCCGCTGAGCCTGAGGAATGAGGGCCGGCTCTGCTGGCTTTCATTTGGCGCCACAGGTGTGGAACTGTTATAGGGCAGCCCCGATACAAAACGGGGTGCCTGACTGTGGGTCCTCACCCGCGCGCTTGAAAGGACTTATCAATGCTCCACTGCAGGCGCACGCGAAAGGTTCATAAAAGGTTTATTCACGAGGGCAGGGGAAATGAGGAAATGGACAGCTCAGGGAGGAAAGCGGGAGACAAAGTTTTAAATGCGTCCTACCCGATCCGCCGATCAGGAATCCCAAAATGGCGCTCTGAGAGCTGGCCGCCAGCCAGGAGCCGTGAAGCCAGGAGGCGAGCGACGGAGCGAGCGACCCCAACGCCCACGTGTCTGGTTTTTATACCCAGCCTGGCTGCCCAACTCCACCCTCAGGTCCCGGCCACCCTCCCTTGGGTGGTGATGGGATGTGTCTTTCCCAGTGTCCTGATGGCTTTGGTCTGGGGTGGGGGTGGCGTCCACGAAGCCTGCGTGGGATCAGCTCAGGACATCCTCTCCCCCTGACAGAAGGAAAAGGAGGAAGAGGTTACGGCTCCACGCGCTGCTAATTCGGCACCGTCAGCGCGTGGAGGCCGCAGGCCTCCGCCTGGGTGCACCCCGGATGACAGCGCGGCCTGGTGGCTCCCGGGCCTGGCGGCTCCCGCAGGAGAGATGCTGGGGGAGGGGCGGGACGGGCACCGCCCACACAGCCACCGCCCAGTGCTGCCTGCCGCTGTTCTCAGGCCGCATCTGCAGGTTTGGGGATCACCCGCACCCGCTTGGGAGGCCCCTGGGGACGCGGGGTGCGGGGTGCAGGGTGCTCGCGCTCGGCGGACCCGCGCTGCTGAGGATAAACAGGTCACAGGTGAAGTTTGTGCGCAGCCCCGCGGCCGGCGTGTTCTCTGGGGGCAAACACTTGGGCTGGGCCAGCGACATGTGGGGTGCACCGCACAGCGGGGTGGACACAGCGTGCAGTAGCCGTGGAGAGCGCTGGGGAGGCAGCTCGCGGGTGACGTCTGTGCCAGCCGTGCCCCGGAGGCATCAGGACTCCCCTTTGCAACTCCAGCTAATGCCGAGGCTGTTCCTAGCAACCGACTGTCCCAGAAGCCGTGTGTAAGGGCAGGACTGGACACAGGGCAGGTTTTCTGATCCAGCAGACCAGGTAAAGGAGGAGTCAGAGTCCTCAGTGGTTTTGCAGGTCTTTTATTGGGGTTTACCCGGTACACGGCAGGCAAGAGTGCTGGGGGGCCGGGAGGCGGGCAGGCCTCCCAGCAAGTCTTCACTCTATCTGGGCTCCCCGGCCCTCTCTGCTTCTCTTTCAGCTTCTGCTGCTTCTCGGCTTCTGCTGGCGTCCCCGTGACGCCGCCCTTAAAAGCCCAGTCTCAACCCAGGTGAATCCCACCTACCTCTACCCACACCCCACTCCAGGTGCCGCCATCAGGCCTGCGTTCAGGACCGCAGGGATCCATCATCTGTCCTGATGGCGGGAGGGCAGGAAAGCCTGACATTTTTCCTTACCCTGCACCGTGACTTTGCACTGCCTGGAGCAGGGACAGCCGCGAGTTCCAGAGAAAACATCTCAAGCGCTCTGGGTGTGTCGAGGGCAAGAAAAGGGTGGCCTGGCTGGGGAGGTGGGGAGGGGCGTGTGCTGTGAAGGCAGCTGCGCAGACACATGGCCCTTGGGGGGCTGGAGCCGGGCTAGGCAGCGGCCCTCAGGAGACGATAGGCTGCAGCTGTGACCCAGGCGCCCGGGACAGCTGGCCTCGCGCCTACTGCCCTGGCTGCCCGCTGCCCTGCCTGGTCGTGGTTTCGGGCACCTGGACCAGGCATCAGACCTGAGGGCCTGCAGGCACGACCCTGGTGCCCTTCGGATCCTGGCAGTGGGGTAACCCTTCCCGGCGACTTGCCACAGGCAGTTCCAAAATCTCTTCACAGAGAGTACGACAGCTTCCCCGCGGGGCCTTGTGTAACGACCCCCTCCTTTGGGTGTGGTGAGACCCGCGGCTTTTCCTAGCAGAGACCACGGCAGGCGGCCTGGCATTGGGGCGTCCGTGTGAGGCGAGTGTGCGCGCTCTGGCTCCACGGCGCACGCAGACAGCTCCTGTGGGAGTTTGCTGGGTGAGGGGCCTGAGGGGCTCCCCCAACAGCCTGCAACGCGGCCTCGGCCTCCCCCGACCCCCAACCCCCCCAGGAGACTCCTCACAACAACCTGAGCGAGGCGCAGTTCCTTCCTGGCTGGCCTCTGGCGAGCTGCTGGCCCCTGCCGCCCGCCTGGAGTCAGGGGGCCCAGGGAGGCTGACCCGACTTCCGACCAGGTGGGACTCTGACCAGGTGGGAATCCGTGTTGTAAATGCAGGATGCTCGTTTGCTAACCGGCCCGCGCATCCCAGGACACGGTGCACCTGGACGGGGAGAGGGGTTTGTCTCCAGGTGGTCATCACGCTAGTTTGCGTACAATTACGTGTTTGTTTGGGGTGTCTTGGGGGTGCTGATGGAAAGCGTGGTACAGAGTCCCTCTAGGGCACCCTCAGCCTCAGCAGCTGAGCCCCGGAGGTTGGAGGAGGAGGTGGCTGCAGCCTGGCTCGTGAATGAGGGTAAGTGCTTGGAACATTCTAGGACAATAACCTGGTGTGAAGAGGACGGTTGTGATCATTTTGACTTTTTGACCCAGTTAGTTAAATTTAAAAATCATGTTTTTGGTCTGACCTAGAAGTCCCTAGTGGGCCTTGCTGGAGTGTCGTGGGGCTCACGCACCCGGGCCTCTCTCCTGCTGCGTGGGTGCTCGTGGTCAGCGCACGTATGTGGCCCTGCCCTGCCCACCAGACACGCAAATGGCCACCGCTCACGGTCAAGGTTACTCAGTTCCTGCACGTCCAAGGCCATCTACCTTCACCTGAGAAAGCAGAGCAAGGAGCCTCAGCCGGCGCCCAGCCCACCGCACACCAGCCTGTCAGGCCCCTGCCGGCCGGGGTCATGTCCCGGGTCGCCCCAAGAATTGTGGGAGCAGCTTTGAGGGCTTGTGACCAAAGGCTAGTGGGTGTCCCCAAGCACGGGAGACAGGCTGCCCCCCAGAGATCTGCCTGCTGCTTCCACCTGTGGATTACTCTCCCCTGCCTGACCCCTCCCCCCGCCCCTTCCCTGCTGGGCCCGGCAGGTGCAGGAGCAGGCGCACCTGTGGCCATGGCGCCCCCGCCTGGCCCCTGCGGAGAAGAACCTTGCAGCGCGCACGGCGGTGTCTTTGTTCTTCAGGCCGCGGCTGTACAGTCAGAGCCTGGAGCCACCCTTCAGTTGTGGGTTTGGGGGGCCCTGGTGTCCCTCCTCCTCCCTCCTCCGGAGCGCCCAGTGTGACTCGAGCCATCCCGGCTGCCGGGCTGCCCCAGGCTCCGGGTGGGGCTCCAGGGGCCAGGAGCCATCGTCGTCCCTGGAGCTGGCCCCCCCCCCCCCCGTGCACCCCGAGAACAAAAGTCCATGGGCTGCGGATGGGGTTCTGCAGTGTAAGGGCAGGAATGGACACGGGGCGGGTTTTCTGATCCCATGCAGCCCGGGTGAGGGGGGAGTCAGAGCCCTCAGTGGTTTTTTTGCAGGCTTTTATTGGGATTACCGGGTACACGGCAGGCAGGGGTGCTGGGGGGCCGGGGGGCCGGGAGGCGGGCAGGCCTCCCAGCCCCCAGCAAGTCTTCACTCCATCTGGGCTCTCCGGTCTTCTCTGCTGCTCTCTCGGCTTCTGCTACTTCTTTCTCGGCTTCTCTTTCGGCTTCTTCTGCTTCTGCTGGCGACCCTGTGACGCCGCCCTTAAAAGCCCCGTCTCAGCCCAGGTGAACCCCACCTACCTCTGCAGGAACGCGCTTCTGCAGGGGCCCCCTCACCCCACTGCAGGGGCTGCCCTCAGGCATGCGTCAGGACCGCAGGGCTCCATCATCCGTCCTGACGGCGGGAGGGCAGGAAGCCTGACGCTTCTCCTTACCCTCCACGCAGCCGGGCTCTGCCTGGTGGCCGGCCCTTTCCCGGGGAGGAGGGGCCGCCTGGCAAGACCGTGCCATGAGCCTTCCTCAGAGCCCCTCGCAGCCCCGTGCCCCTGAAATCACCCTCCGTGGAGCCGCCCCCGCAGCCACCCCTGCACAGGGTTGCAGGGGGGGGTCCGCTTGCCAGTGCGCAGGACGCCGGCCCCGCGGACGGTGGGAGACGCCAGGCGCGGCCTTCGTCCCGTAAGAAGAAGCGTGCTCCTGCCGGCCGAGACGGATTCGCAGGCGGCCCGAGGGAGCGCGGAGAACAACAGCCGCGCGGCCCGCCCCGCGGGCACTGGACACCGGCGGGGGCTGAGCGCGACCGTGGGGCCCCGGGGCCAGTGACTGCAGCGCGCGTCGCCCCGTTGTCCTTCCTCTGCCCACGGCCCCCGCGCGGGACGTGAGAGGACACCGCGGCCCCGTCGCTCCAAGGCGCTTCTGGACGCTTGGCGGACACCGTTTCTCAGCCTTCCCTTGTCCTGGAGGACCCGGGCAGCTTGGGGAGACAGGCCATCGGCTTGGTGGACTGCTCCTCCCTTTGGATGTTTCCACTTTTTTGACGATTAGAGGGGGTTATTCTTCTTGAGGGAGGACCCGGAGGAGGAGCACCAGCCCTAACCCAGCCTAGGAGGAAGAACGCGGGGCTCCCGCTCTCTGGAAGCGCCTTCCTCTCTCTGTGGCTGGAGGGTCTATTTGGGCCTGGGGAGGCTCAACATGTTCCCTCTGTTCGTTCACGGCAACCGCATTCCCAGCGTCAAAACACAAGCACGTCAGAGCAGGCAGGAGTCCCTCAGCTGGCGGCCGAACAGCTCGCCCCTGCGCTCCCTGCGGTGCTCCCCCGAGCAGGTGTGCCGGGTTTTCCCATTGCCAAGTTACTTTTATTTTGACCCTTGCTTGTCTTGTCTTTTTTTTTTTTCTTGGTGTTAAAAAAAGTGGAGAGCTCACTCACTCCCCGCACCCCTCGCTGCTTCAAGCAGCCAATGCCACTGCTTTGGGCCAATGTGCAGCCAAGGGCAGCCATCCCCAGGGCCAACCCTGTTTTCAGGGTTTCATTCTCACCCCAAAAGGGAACCCGGGCCCGTGTGCGTCACTCCCAGCCCTGTCCCCGTGGGGACGGCAGCCAGCCACCCCCTTCCTTTCTCTGCGGATGGGCCTGTTCTGAGCCCTTCACGCCAGTGAGCCGCAGGTTATGTGCTTTCGTGGCCGGCTCCTTGCACGCAGCGTGTTTTCAAGACCCCTCCACGTTGCAGAAAGGATCAACACGTCATTCCTTGTCATGGGTAAACGGCGCTCTGCCCCATGGATGGGTGACACTCGCCCCACGCGCCCGGGGATGCCCCCTCGCAGGTGGCGTGAGCGAAGCTGCTGTGGACGTCGGCGCCGGGTGTGCAGGCACCTGCCCGCAGGCCTGGCGCTCGGGCTGCACAGCGGGATTTCTGACCGTGTGGGCGGTGGCACGGTTAATAGATGCTGATCGTGCGGCTTTCCCAAAGGGTGTCATTGCTTGCGCCTGCGTCAGTATCATCCCTGGGGGTTTTATCACGCTGAAGAGCTTGCCAGCGTCATCGGCATAGAAGGTGGCGGCTCACTGGGTTGACCTTGCACCCCTGCCCGCCCGCCGCCGGCCGCCCGCCTGCCACGCGCCCTTCACAGGTCTCTACCTTCCTCCTCTGTATTTGTCCTGCGCTTCAAAGCGTCCCACGGCTTGGAGCGAGGTGGAAATTTTCCAATTCATTTTACAAAGGCCACATAAACCCCCCAGCTCACGAAAGCCTGAGGAGAGGAGACTCCAAAGAAAACCCAGACTCAGCTGCGCAGACACGCAGAGCTGCTCAAGAGTCCTCAGTGCGTAGAAGTAGTTCCTGGGGCTGTGGATACACGGAGGGCGCGGGCAGGCGGTGGGGCGGGTGGAGGGGGGTGTCTCTGTCGATGGGCAGCCGGCCTGGCCAGGTCGGGCGAGGGGGCTGGCCTGGGGCTGGGCGTGTGGGCCCAGGGCAGCTGGGGCCGGGGTTCTGGACCGGGCTGGGGCCGTGCAGCCTGGGCAACTATCTCTAGACACCTTCAGGACCTCCTGCCGCGAAATTCTGCTTCTAAACTTGTGTTTTAAGGAAGAAAACAAGAATTGGCACATCCGAGCATTAATATAAGTCGCAGTAAAGAAATCAGACAAACCCCGGCCTTCCCGAACTTGTAAAGATCGTGCAGGCGTTGAACCGGCCTCTGTGAGAGGGTGAGTCGGGTTTTTGGGCGGCCCCGGCCCTGCAGGGCTGCACGCGAGCTGCGCCAGGCTCTGTGCCAGGACGGCTGCTAAGAGAGGGTCTGTTCCTTTCTATCCACACCCTCGCCAACATTTGCTGTTGCCAGTTTTTTTAATATGTGCCATTCTCCCTGGTGTGAGATGGTATCTCATGGTAGTTTTGATTTGCATTTCCTTGATGACAAGTGAAGTTGAACATTTTTTCCTATGCCTGTTGGCCATTTGCATTTCCTCTTCAGAGAAGTTTCTTTTTAGCTCTTCTGCCCATTTTTTCACAGAATTATTTTCTTCGTTGTTGTTGAGTCTCATCAGCTCTTTGCAGATTTTTGTGATCCGTCCTTTATCATGAGTGTTGGGTGCAAAAATGTTCTCCCAGTCGGTGGGATTTCTCTTTGTTTTGGGTATCGTCTCTTGCTGGTGGGAGTGCACAC